AACTGTTTCGAGGTTTCTTCAGGGGTGATATAATCTTGAGCTCTCAGGATCATTTGTTAATTGCCTTCGAGGTTCCGCCAATTTTTATTCGCGATCGAATAATGTAGTAAGGCCATTATATTGTGTGATTTTTCATCTCTTGATTAACGGCGGGTACAACTCGTATAGCTGCGGATGTTGTGAGGAGTATAGGGCAGTGTATCTGAATACTACTCATTCCTGATGGGCTCTTGAATTGGCCGTCCAATGGCAAGCTAGTCCCTCTAACAAGAGCTTGTCCCGGATTTCACCTCCTGTAGAAAGTCGTCTGGACGGGACTGTGAACATCTCACGTGAAAAATCCGGTTCCAAAATTGGTCAAAATCTCTAATAACACGATAGTTCGGCGCTTTTGTGCGGGAGACCGACTTCATTATTTCTTAGATGCAATGAGGTATTGGCAAAGTAGGAAGTCTTGTTTCGGTAAACTGACCTTCTACTTACGCGACTTTTTAATTTGTTGGTATCTGAATTTTGGTCCGAAGTATATTGTTGCTCACGAATTTTTAATTTGTTCATTTTAATTTGTAGACTTTCGTTAAATGTTAAACAAAGGACATGTATTGTCGCGAACTTTTATCTTGTATGGTTTTTATTTTGTTAAACGAGAGATTTCATTCATTTCTCGAAGGTACATAAAGGGCTATCAAGCCTGGCAAATCCCAAATAATTGTGGAACAAAGCAAATGTTAGAATGTAAATAACAAAACAGAGCTTGTAACTAGATGAACAATCTCATCCCTCAAGAAAAATTTTGCCATCATTCAGCAGTTGATCACTAGATTCAATGGTAAGCACACGCCGAGATCTCTCACTCCATTTATATTTCTTACGATGTGTGTTTAGATTCAATGTCCTCATAACAATCGCCATGCGGAGATTTATATCTGTAAGGAACTCTCAGATTTATATCTAGATCTAATTTTGGAGAGTAAAATCCCTAGATCTAAACTTAAATCTAAATCGGAAGAGGAAAGTGGCCTAATTTTGGAGAGATTGTAAAGCCATGTCACGAACATTCTCCTCGGTGGCTGTCGACCGGACAAATGGCCCAATTGGTTTCCACGTTCATCAAAGATCAGCCGTAGAAATTTATTCACATGCACGAACTTCCAAAATAGATATGGAGATAAAATAAAAGACAATCAAAGCAAAGAAAAAGAAATTCAAAGACTAAATAAGCTCTTAACTTTAGAAATAGATACTGAGAGCCTACATGAGAGCTTCAAAAGAGGAAAGAATTTTTGTGAGACGAGGGGGTTTGCCGACAAAGAGAGAGAAAAGAATGAAACCCTAGCTAAGACAGAGATCTTGTATGCTTTTCCTTGGCCCAAAAACTTGTATGCTTAAGAAAGCAGCGGAAACATAATTCTCAGTTTGGCATTGTTCATGAGTTTCTCTTGTAATGAACCTGCTAATTGCTAGCAACTTAACAATGTCGATTGTTATGAATATTAAGCCTTGTTTTGTTACATATTCCTTTCTTCTTCGAAGAATATGCTATTTCGGAAACGCGATTCTCGATTTGGCATAATACATGCCTTTCTCTTGTAATCAATAGCCTGCTAATTGCTAGCAACTTGACAATGTCGATTGTTGTGAATACTGACCTTGTTATGTATTCCTTTCTTTATGGAAGAGTCTGCTATTTCATCTCCCTTTTGAGTGCTCTATATTTCATTGTCCTTCAATTACAAACGATTATAGAACATCGAAGTGGAGCAGACGCCACCGTCCCCATTCTTTATGAGTATAGTTATGTTTTTAATTGCCTCGTTCTTGCAATTGTGAACTTTCTTATGGTGTGCGTTTCTTTGCTTCTGTCGTCTGGAAAACTTTTGAGGCGTTTTTTTATTGCACCTTTTGCATCATCTCTTTTAGTAGTTTTTGCTTTTGAGAGCTTAGATCCGGCAAGTCATATGATTAACCAAAGGTTATGTGATCTTAATCTTACCCAACGAGAGAATTCGATAGCCAAATTCTACATAACCATCAAGATTGACTCCAATAATTACATGTATAATAACATAGAAATCGCAATTCCAGTAAGGTAAGATATGGTAACTCCATACAATGTTATTATTGACATAAAAAAGCCGATTCTTCTTCTAATTTACTCATGATTGCCAATTCTTCATATTGGTCTTCTAGCTCAGTTTTATTTTAGGAATTCCTGGTAAATCTCAAGCTCGAGCGCAGACCAAGATCTACCCCACAAGCCAGGTTCAGTTGGGTCGAGCTCTATCTCAAGTGCCAAGCAGTGTAAACCTAGTCGAGTCGAGTCGAATCGAGCTCGAGTATTCGACTCCGGTAACCATTTTAGCCCACATTTTTTTCTCAGTAACATAATAATTTTTTCTATTCACATCTTATTGAAAATCGCTGGGTTATTGGGCCGAGCAAGAAAGTCCACCGAACTAAGGCGAAGAAACAAAGATGGGCCTTAGGCCCAAGTCGCCAACGAATTATTGTAATTAGTACAAGGGTTAATACCACGAAAAACCCTAAACTGGTACACTTGTGACATATTTACCCCAAACTATTTTTTTGACCATAAAAAACCCCAAACTGGTACACCTGTGACAATTTTACCCCAAACATACCATAAAAAACTCTAAACTGGTACACATGTGACAATTTTTTCTTTTCTTTTTTTTTCCTTCACCTTCAACCTCTGGCCGGTCGCCGGTCCGGCAACCAGCCAGAGGCGGAAGCCGGCGAGGGCCGCCGTCGCCGGTGTCGGGCGGCCCTCGCCAGACGCCAGATCTGGCGAGGGCGACCCTCGCCTGCGTCGGGCGAGGGCCGCCCGCCCGCCCAGTGGCAAGGGCGACCTCGCCCGACTCAGCGAGGTCCGCCCTCGCCCGACGCAGCGAGGGTCGCCCTCGCCCGACGCAGCGAGGGTCGCCCTCGCCCGACGCAGGAGGGTCGCCCGCCGGATTCGGCCGGCGAGGCGGCCCCGCCCGCTGCCGGCGAGGGCCGCCATCGGCCGAGTCGCGAGGGTCGCCCTTGCCCTAGGCGGGCGAGGACAACCCTCGCTCGACGCCGGCAAGGGCGGCCCTCGCCGGCTTCCGCTTCTGGCCAGTCGCCGGACCGGCGACCGGCCAAGGTTTGAAGATGAAAAAAAAAAGAAAAGAAAAGAATAAAAAATAAATAAAAATTCAAAAAAAATAAAAAATAATATTAAAATTTTAATTCAGGGTAAAATTGTCACATATGTACCGGTTTGGGGTTTTTTGTGATAAGTTCAGGGTAAAATTGTCACAGGTGTACCAGTTTGGGATTTTTGGTGGTCAAAAAAATAGTTAAGGGTAAAATTGTCACAGGTGTACTAGTTTGGGGTTTTTTATGGTAAAAAAAATAGTTTGGGGTAAATGTGTCGCAAATGTACCAGTTTAGGATTTTTCGTGGTATTAACCCTTAGTACAAAGTTTTTTATCTTCCATTAATTTACTAAATGACAAGCCCCCCGAACTCTTATTTAATTCCACTCCAGTCCCTGCTCCCGGTGCTCCGGCATGCCTTTGGTGCGTCGGTCGCTTCGCACTCGATCGCCGGCGACGAGCCATTGACGGTGACCGGCCAAGAATCTCCCCTTTGAGCTCGAGCCGCCATCTCTGGTTGGTGTTCGCTGATCGGCGTCATACCACATTGTCCGTTCTCAAGGTTTTTCGTTTTTCGTTTTTGGATTTTGTCGTGTCTTGGGTGGAGTCGAAGCGATGCGTGACTGGGACAGGAGGCGAATTAAGGCAACCCGGTTGTGCTCTTCCTTCCTCGTTACCGTCCGAATCGTCCTTTCCGGTATGGAATTGAGGTTCCGATGGGCATTTGACTCGAAACCGGGGACCAATTCGTGTGGAGGAAGCTGAGATATGTTCGGCGAGGTCACCGTCCAAGATGGATGTTTTAATGTAGAGGATGAGAAGAAACTAGGCGAATTGGAATGTGTTAGCCACGTTTGGTGTTGGGTATCAAGCATTTTCCGATAGTGTTTGATGAGCGGGCTTTGACTTTGATCATCCTGACAGTGAGGGTTATGGTCCCTGCTTTCAATGGTTGAACGGGGATCCCCGAATTGATGTGTCGAGCATTGTTCACTGGCATCTTACATAGAAATAGGATTCAATGTGCAATGCGAATTCAGTTGGCAGCATCTCCAATCCGAGCGGCAAGGCTCCAATTCTATCCTGTGGCTACTTAGGCCTGTTCCGACATGTTACTGTCGAGATCTTATAAATCTAGGAATGACTCGATCCTTGTCTCTGACTCCTTCGCGTGCTTCTCATGATGCCTTGATTAACTGGCGCTGGTCTATGAGAGATGCAGCACTTAATTTTTCGGTGTGGTTATTTGTGAAGGTGTATAGACTCTCTTTTCAAACGTTCTCTAACGGATTTCCTTGTTGGGGGCACTTCTTGTGCTGCTTGTGGGTGTTAGCAACACCATAGGTTTTAGATGTCATGGTGATTGATGCTTGGGGGTTGTATAGTTGCATTTAAAGTTTACTCTGAACCTAATTGCTTATGATCTTACTAATCACCATGAATACCACTTTGTTGATCAGGATTTAGTGGAAACTGCAGTCTGCAGTCTCTCTTCAAGCAAATGAGTATATGTGCAATTGACATATGATATGCACAGGTCCTGGCTCTAGCAAATGAAAAAAGTTTTCTAATCAAACATCATCATACTACCAGAGAAATTTGTACTTTTAACTGATTCGTCTGCCTTCTTTTTTTTTGGACGTAATTCATCTGCCATCTAACAACTGACTATTTGCTGTTTTACTTGTTTGCTTTGACTTTTTTTTTTGTTATTTCTTTAAATTTGCCGTTTTTAGGAGGCAGTTCATGTTGATGAGTATAGTGGTTTATAGTTACCAGGAATTAGATTGCCTTATTCTTCATTGGGATGGCCCAGTTGGGAACTTTTTTTCCCTGGTCAAGCTTCCAGATGAAAAGGCTCCAGCATATTGACCTGCATGTGTTGTAGGCATTTTCATATCTAGTTGTCTCTGTCTGCAACTTTAATCAAGATCAAGTATAGATAGTGATTATAACACAGAGTTGCATAAAGCATCAAATTGATTTTACTTAGTGGCATATCTGTCACATCAACTAATATTGATCATGTTGCTCATCTCGTTTTCTTGGAAATATGCGTTTTTTGAGTTTGAATTGACCAACTCAATTTCATTGTTGGCTTTCGCAATTTTCCTTTTGAAAAAAAGGGAAACTGAGTCTCATTCTTGTGAGTACAAGGTTTCATAAACAATATCTTTCGGCTAAAATATAATTGGAGACATTCACATGTCTTTTCTTTGGTTGAGTTCTGTATCCAGAAGGCTCAGTTGTCCTCTTTTGAATATGTTCTGAAATACTCGGATAATGTCATTTTGTACAATGTATTATGCTGTATGCACAATTTCGTCTGCCAGTTCTCTAAAAATAAACCAGTTCTGTAAAGTACCTCTGATACATGCAAGAAGTAAATTATAAGAGGCATATTGAACGAAGCTGGAATCCATAAGGACCATAACTTACTTTTCCATCTGACGTAGAAAAAAGTTAGAGAGTGGCTAGGTCGTTTGGATGAATAAGTAAATTGCACTCTTACTGTAGCTGCATTTGATTCTGATATCTTCAGCCTTTATTATGCATCTTCAAATATTTTTTCTCTGAGGAACAAATTTGTTATTACTAAAAGCAATCATTAGAAAATGTAGATATCTTAATCTGTGAATGTTAAGGTCACTGTTTCTAACTTTAAGAACAGAGGATTTATGAGGAGTTTCGCATCAGAATGGGTAAAATATGTGGCTTATTAGGTTAAGTTTTTCCCACCCGTAGAATGCACCCAGTGTTATGAGATATCTTTCTATAACATAGGTGTCTTCATCGATTGTTTCATTTCACAGATTAGAACTCAAGTAATCAAGTCCAAACTTACTTGTTTACCCATGCCATAGGAGTTTGGCGTTGTGTATGACACCGTTTGCTACTGAGAGAATTTTGCAGGGAACTACTCTCTGATGATGGATGGGAAGTTCTGAATTATTTTTTGGAAGGGTGTACTAGTGCACAAGGTCGCCCGCACTGTGGGGTCTAGGGAGGGGTTGATATACCTAGCCTTACTCCTGGTTTCCCAGAGATGGGAAGTTGTGAAGGTAAACTCAAAAAAAATAAAGTTGAAAATAGCATTTGTTTTGTGCAACATTTATTAAATATCTGTTCTCCAAGAACACGCAACATATCAGTCTTTTACTCATATCCAATGTCGATACTTACAGTATACACTTCATCTGATGCGTTTTTTGTTGCTGATATCAATCGTTGCATGATCTTCCAGCACTTTTGACTATGTTAAAATGTTTCAGTATAGAAATTATTGGATTATCCAACCCATGTGTTTGTCTTCAGAATATTTTTGTGTCCACCGTTATTGCTTTCCCAAGTGAAGTTTCAACTCTCTGAATATCTCCGTGAGAAGCAGTTGGAAGCAGAAGCTATCAAGAGCCAACATCAGAGAAGCAATGCAGTATACTTCTCTCCATATGAGAAGAAAGTTGCGATCCGTGTGACTCTTGCGGCCTCATGGTTAATACTGTAAGCGAGATTAAAGGTAAACGCTTACATTCCCCAGGCATGTGCTGTGAACAATGGCATAAACTATAGCCTAATTACTGGTCTAAGAGAATTGCTGAGCTTTTACACTGGGTACATAGAATCCTGCATATTTTCTGATATTCAGCATCATCCGTTTTGTCTGAAAACGTCATGTAAAATCCTGCATACCCTGCTCCCTCTAGGATTATGTTGGGAAGGAAAAGTAAAACATATTAAAAGAAAAGCTCGTTTTTCTTTTCGTGTTACTATAATGCCACGCCTGTCAGCCCTTATGTTATTCTATTATTATGAGTGAGAAACAACTTTTGCTAAAACTGTTGCTGAAATATGTAATCACAGACCAATATGTACATCTGGTTTACAAGCAAAACCCGGACCACCTTCTGAATGTACTAATGTCACTGCCTCCAGACACAGCCATTCCGATTCCCGTCCTTCCTCCTATCCCAAAGCCTCCATAATACAATCTCCACTCGTTGATGCTGTTCTCCATCTGGACCAGACATGGCGAGCCCACCCCTTTATTGTCCCATCCTTCGTCCTCAGAAGGCTGAAGCACTGGGCCTTCGTGAATCCTTTTCCAGTTCTTCAATCCGTCTTCGGAGACTGCCATTCCAATACTCCACTTCCCATCTGCTGCGACACCCTCGTACGCCATCAAGTAGTTTCCCGCTTTCCTGTTTCTTACTACGCAAGCATTCTTGACTCCGCACTCATCGAAGGAACCGCTTGATCCCCCTCCCAGGATTTTTCCATACTTGACCCATCTGATTCCATCTCTGGACCTTGCCAGTCCAATGGCAAACTGGCAATTATCTTTGTCGAAGGAGTAATAATACATCCTGAGATCATCGTTTTCGTGCACTATAACATGTGGTGCCGCGATAAACAAAGAATCCCATTCCTTCTCAGATCCCACATCAAGCAAAGCTCCGCTGTGGTGATCTCCTTCAATTCTGGCCCAGTGCCTGCCATCTTGACTGCAGGCTAAGCCAGGAAGCGATTTACAAATTTTGCCCACTGCACTCTTTTCGTTGTCATTCCGATCGCAGCTAAATCTTTCTGGGTTTCCTAGGGAAATGGTAGGCACTCCAGACGAATCAACTTCGTCAGAACTATATCCTGTATAGTAAAGCCAGTAAACGGCACTGTACATCGGACTGGACATTATCACCATCTCAGATGGCCTGATGCTTTCAGTGTCAAAAGCCCACCAACTGTCGCGACAGTTCATCACCATTCCTGCATCTGCACAAGATCTAACTGTGTCACCTCCCCGTGCCCAATGGATCCCGTTGCTCGAAACGGCAAGCCCGATGGACTCGGAGCCGTTGCTGCCACCATGTCTCCCATGATACCACATGTACCATCTCTCCTCATTGTCACCGATATACCTTTTCACCACCGGCGAACCGACTTCCAGGCAATCCCAGGAATTGCTAGGACCCAAGTCAAAGACCAGACCTTGAGAAGAAGTTGATGTACCCGGCGGATTAGGCAGTGGAGTGTCCAGGTTTGGCACCGTCGACTTCTGATCGAGCTCGGTGGTGGGATTCTTGTTGGTTGCATTGTTTTTGTCAATGCGTGGTTTCATGGAACAGCTGACGGGAGGGACTGGACCGGTTTTGGAGCTGGAACATGGATACAATCTCTTGAGGCCGTGAAATCTATTAGGGAAAGATCTGCTGCAAGTATAAAGGGGAAGCATTTCCTTCCTGGAGGAAGAGAAAGCCGGTTGAATAAAGTTTGTGGGGTTAGCCATTCTACCGGCGGACGAACACAAGAGGACGTTAAAGGTTTTGATCCTCGAGCCCGCCGCCGACGCCGATGCTGCTGCTGCGTCCATGGCTAGGACTCAGTCGAGGAAAAGCAGCTGAGGGGATCAAATATCACTGGCTGGAACCAATGTCAATAAAATTATTGCATATTTATAGTGGGTGGGGGGCTTCATATCCAGGGAATTTTTCTCCTTTCCCTCCTGAGCTAGTTTGGCTTGTCCACCTCTTGCTTTTTTGTCAGTATTTATAAATGAAAATGGCTTTGGGTTGCAGGTGGGTGTGTCTGTAGCTTCCTCTTAATTCACTTGCAGCCCCACAGGCACAGGTGAAGTGACCCCTTTAACCCTCCTTAACCTGTAAGTCCACCCCCGCCAATAACGGAAGACTCTAATACTTTTCTAGGAACCTATTGAATCCAAATTTCAGCATTGGTTATGCCTTAAAAGAGTGTTTAGTCTCCTCTCTCTCTCTCTCTCTCTCTCTCTCTGGATCTTGCACTTGTTTCATTAAATAATTAGGCTCACTAGTCAATAGATTATGTGCACTATGAAAAGCATTAGATGAAGAGAGGAGTTTGATTAGTATCACTCGTCCTGCTCTTCTTCTTTTTTCTTTTGTTGTGGGTATGGCCATTCACATCTACTATTCTTCTTGATGACTTGGGCGGCCCGTGAGAATGGATATTGGGTCGCTTCTACCTGTCAACCGCCAGTGGCAGAGCTTTGGTCTACTGCTTCAAAATTCCATCTTTTATGCGTGTTAAGTCCCCATCTGCAATCGATCGTTGACCTCTCTCTCTCTCTCTCTCTCTCTCTCTCTCTCTCTCTCTGTGTAATCAAATTTCATATGAAGAGTTTTATCTTCGGTTCACCTCTGGATGATGATACCCCATGATTGAGGGAATTATATTTTTGTGGGGTGGAGGAAATTTTCTTCAACCATAACTCTAATTATCGGTTTTAAAGTTACGGAAATCACCTACATACGTTGTTAATCAAATATAGATGTGGGTGATGTCCACGTTTGTATCTTACCAGTCAAAAAACCGATGAGAGAAAATTTCCTCTAATAAGGGATGGAGAAAAAAAACGAGCTTGATAGATATGTAATGGTGCTTGTGTATCCATTAAATGTGGATAAAAAGAACCTTCAATGCGGAGTTGCTTCTTGGCTTGTGTATGCAGATTATAAGAAAAAAAAGATCGCCCGAAAAAGCTGTTGGAGCGATGAGATACGAGCTCCCGAAGTTTCGCCTGTTCAAACTTCTTGCAATAGGACAAATATCAGGAGACATACTCTAATAGCTTGATTCCTCATATTTTCTATAGATTTCACTTTTTCCACGGGATTCCGCTCAGAGCATGGAAACTACGAACTTGTGATTTCGACTCGAGCGGAATTTCTACAAATTGGAATGCGCGGTTTCCTACATTCGATTTATTAATCAGGAACACCATGAGCTGAGTTAATTAGTATTTGCTCAGCAGGGTTGCAATGGTGGCAAGTGGGCATTTCCAGATTTCACAGTAGCGATTTTTGCGCAACATGTGATTGATTTGTGCATTAAACCCTTGCAGAAGCAAGTACTTTTCACCACTTGTCTTGTACCCAACTTATGTCTTGAATGATTCGACCAAAGAAAAGAAAAAAGAAAGAAAAACCCAAGTCTTGAATGAGAAAAACGTATGAATATATTAACTTTTTTCGGGTCGCTAGGGTAATATTTGAGACAATATAAGCTCTCAACCTTCTTGAAGGGCAAAAAATTGTAAGATGCATATGCTACCTACGCTTAATCAAGCTGAACTTTGTACGATCTCAAGAAGCCAAAAAATACTTTCCACTGACGTGGGATATGAGTCAAAAAGAGCTGGTAATGACGATAAAGTTTTAGCAGCACCCTCGTTGAGCTCGATTCCATTTTAGTATCGATTTCACTCGTCGCAATAGGAAGGTCGCATTCGGGTGCTCGGGATAAAAGCCACGATAAAACGACACTTTCTAACCCCGTCCCGCATCCGACCGTCGGATTGGACGTTCGATGCATCTTCACCACGTGATGGCATCCTTGGTGCTTCCCCGTCGTTTGCGCACCAAACCCCAAAATACTTTGAGCGAATGGGGTCATATTAACACCATCAAGGGGAGCTAGATCGTACGTTCTTCCTACTTCCTTTTTTAGGCCTAATTCCAAAAAAAAGTACCAATTTTAGGTCAAGGAATAATTCTGACCCGAACTTTTTTTTGTCCCATAAAAAAGCACCAATTTTAGGTTGAGGGACAATTCTGACTCGAACTTTTTTTTGTCCCGTAAAAAAGCAGCAACTTTAGGTTGAGTGACAATTCTGGCCTCAATTTTTTTTGTCTCATTAAAAATCACCAACTTTCATCATGATCCCAAATCTGGCCCCCTGTTGACTTTCACCATTGTTTGAGAAAGAAGGTTATGCTGGTGAGCTTGGTGAATCTCGTCCATGGCGTCTGTCGACAGGCGGTGGTCAGCTTTAGATTACGTTTGGCCAGAGAGATTCAATCTGGAGATATTTTTGACTTGTTAGTGAAATGAAGAAAACGAACAGTTTTACCGTTATTCTTCAAATTGTGGCTTAAAGAATAAGACAATGAATATTGATTTAAATTCAGTCAGCAAGCCATGTTGATTTATTTCTAATGTGGAATAGTCAAGTTAGATAATCAATGGTTCTAAGTCAATGAGGGCCAGATTTGGGATTTAAGTTAAAGTTAGTGCTTTTTTACGAGACAAAAAAAAGTTGGGGCCAGAATTGTCTCTCGACCTAAAGTTGGTGCTTTTTTACAGGACAAAAAAAAGTTCTGGCCAAAATTATCCCTTGACCTAAAGTTGGTGCTTTTTTACGGGACAAAAAAAATTTCCGGCCAGAATTATCCCTAGACCTAAAATTGATGCTTTTTTTTTGGAATTAACCCTCCATTTTTAGCTTTTCATTTTAGACCAAAGCGTCTCAATCCATGGCGGTATAACGAACAACATGCGCTTTGCAACCTTGACGGTAGGTTGAGGCTCCTCCGAATCATCATGGGCACCTAACCTTCAGGCACTTGAAAGGGAAGCAAGGCCCTTTGTGGTCCTGTGTAGCACTCGGGTGGCAAAAATATCGAACGGCGATTCCGCTGTCGTCTCCAATAATTGTGCCCCCGAGCAGTACCTTGCCCTCGATCCCTTCGCACACAAATGTCTCGTGCTTCGATGCACCATATCCGTGCACGTGATTCAATTCTGATCTGTTCGTTCATTTTTTTTTTCCGTCTCGTTGGTCCAGTTTTGTGGATCGTAGGCGTACGAGATAATCTCGGCCTCCTCGGCGTTTCCACGGTTTCCGACTAGAAAATTGTCCTTTCCATGAAGCCACTTGTGTTCACAATACGCTTTTTTTTTTTTTTTTTTTCATTCTACATGGCTCAGATCTGTGTAGAACGTGCCTGTTAGTTCACGTTTCCTTCCTTTCTTCCTTTCTTTTTAATCTTATGGGGCACGATGTTAAAATAAGAATTCGGGTAGGCCGATTCTCGGGCGATGTGGTGAACAGAACGAACGAGGAAAACGGGGGCGTGAATCGCAAGAACTCGTTCTTTTGGGGGTACCCGGTTCTGTAGATTTACGGATTCTCGATGCGTAGTAAGCTTGATCAAGTAGAGTCCATTATCGAAGGAGGTTTTTCGGATGGAAGATGGTTAAAGATTGCTCGGAACGCTTGTTAAGACTCGAATACTAATTGTACTTCAGAAATGGATTTTTCTTAGAAAGAGGTTATCCCACTTTCTCCGGGCATTGATAGCGATTTGATCAAATTGCTATTCTAGTTTGAGAAGCTTTTAACCTCGGAAAGTATGAAGCCAAGGAAGTAATCAGATACGTATCGATTTTTTTTCTGAAGGATCGAGAATAGATAATTGTCTCGTCAATAGTCAAAGTTTTCCTTACCTACGCTAGCTATCTATATTGCATCCCCAATTCTCCGCCCTACCTTTGATAAAAATAAATAAATTCAGAAAACTTATTATTATCGCAAAGTGATCTTGCTAAGGCTTCCCAAAAGTGAAATTAAAATGACCATCATTACTCTTTCGACCGCTGCTTAGCTATTCTGCGATTCTGCTTTTCTCGGTGCCTCTGTCTTATGAGATGATCGAGATACCGTATGAATCGCTCGGTTGGTGCGACGAATCTACTTTCGTTAGAGTTATTATCTTCTTCCGGAAAAAAAAGAGGTTTCTCCAATAAGGACAATGTGTCATCAACCTTAGTACGACATTAGCAAAATCTACAGGCCATGTTAGATCGAGTCGTCAAGGGCTCGAGAGTTGAAAGTTAGACAAGCTTTTATCTTGGTGCCGATGAGGTCCCCAGTCACACGATTTTCCATAAGGAGATAGGTAAAAATGATTCTGGAATTTGATTTCCTTCCCATTTATTATCCTTGTGGCCAAGGATTGTGGGCACGTCCAATGGGTGAATTGGAAAATTTCCATGTCAGCCACAAAAGCAGACTGCATCGCTCTGCTTTATCTCGGCTTAATTTATGTCCTAGAAATGAAACCCGTGAGGTGCACGACAACGTGCGCGCTCGGTGAATGTTATGATATTTTTGCTTTTGAATGAAGGTTGCGATTGAATCTATATATATAAAGGAAAAATACATCTATATTAAAATTAGCCGGATGAATTATTAACTCTTGTTGGAGTTGTGTTGGAAAAAGTACGGTACCAATATATCACGGCATTATATGATTTGATTGAGAAATGGTAAATGTCCTGTTTTTTTTCTTTAATTTTGTTTGTTAAGTGATTGAAAAATTCAATATTGGAGATCTAAACACAATTCAACCACTGTGCATGATTCCCCACTTGCTCAAACAATCAATTCAATTCTGGCACATGACCTAGGAATTCAATTATGTAAAAGATGAAGTCCGGAGTTGAAAAAGAATATATTACTAGAAATTCTTCAAAAGGACACAAAAGGTTTTTTTTTTCTTGTTTTTTCTCTGTTGAAATAGCAGAATTGTTCCCGGCATGCATGTTTACAGCTTAAGGACACTCGTTAGCAAAATTCAATTTTGGATCCCAATTGATCAAGGGAAAAGAAAAGCAGTTCAATCAGTAAGGCGCGCACCTTCTCTCGCGACAAGGCCGAGAAACTCGAACACGGCGAGCGAAGATAAATCGCGTTGGGTTAGTAAGGTACTCCACGTTCATGGAATCAAGATCTTCATTGCATTGAGTTTGATGAGCAATCTTGCATGAAATAAGTGAGGGAATTAAACCATGCAGCTTTCTAAACCTAACCCACGAGGGAGAGAGAGAGAGGGGCCTTGAGGAAGCTGCTTGGTGACTGCGCTTCAAACCAGCCTGGATCTGAATAGAAAAACGACAGATACGAATCTGAAAAACGCTAGTTTATCACATCAGGGCGCGATGAAACAATGTTAAAACAAGTGCGCAAGTGGTGGGGACAGATAGAACCGTGCCCTACTTCATTATCAAATTCTTTTTCCCTTTCTTGGTTAGGGAAAAAAACAGCGAAAGGCGGGACGAATCGCCATCACTTGTCTGTTTATTTTCAAGTTGTGTTTCGTATGCATCACCTGTTCGCTGTCTCGCCAGCTTGTTTGGAACATCGGATGGTTCGCCACAGAGAGAGAGAGAGAGAGAGAGAGAGAGAGAGAGAGTGGCGGGGTTTGTGAACAGGAACGTGAACACCTAAAGGCCCTTCTCTCTCTCTCTCTCTCACTTCTCCCTTCGTCTATCTCTCAGTCAACATCAGTCCTTCAAAAGAAGAGCTTCATGGGGGATGATGATCTTGAGGAATCGAAAGTCAACGACCGTATGGCAAGCGAGCTGAAGTTTAGTTATGTACCCGAGAGAGAGAGAGAGAGAGGGGTGATCTTGACTTGCTTCACAACGTTTGAATGGATCCAATCCAACAACCTCTCCCTGTCGTGGTCCTTGAATGAAAATAAGGGAAAAAAAAAAGAGCAGTCGCCGATGACTCGTTGGCCGTTGCCTATGTTAATGGCTTTGGTCCTTGCCCAAGAAAGTATGCCTTTGAGGTTGCCCTATACCACTGACAAATCGGTTTGTACATTTACATGGTACACGGACGCTTCTAACGTGATGTCCACTCATCGGTCGAGTGTTGCGAGTTCTTGTTCTTAAAACATGTGCATTCGAGGATTCAGTACGCTCGGTGCTCCACTGTTTGTGCGGTCTTTTGACTGATATGATGATATAACGTCAATTTAACACGTGATGTGAGTGTCGCATGATGCTACATTATCTTTCACAGTGAAAATAAAGTGATTAATGCTTCCATTTCTGATTTTGCGATCATCATGAGCGATATTCATATTATTTCTCAAAACGAGATCACGCATGCTCTACACGCATTCTCGTTCCGCCTTTCTTCAAACTTCTTCAAAGAAAATCAGCTACCTAACACATGTTCGAGAGACGAGATAGAGAGGGACAAAAGAATCACGATGTGCAGCCAGTCTAGGGCAATATAAGATTATCCCTATTTGAAAGCAATCGATCGGAAAGAGATTATTATTGCACGATAATAAGATATGTGAACGTAGACATATAGGTTTGATGAAATAATCCTTTGACACAGACAGAATAAGGAAGAATAATCACGAGTCCTGACATTACTGCTCGTACTTATCCATTCATCCCATTTTGATTAGATCCTGAACTGAAAATATTTCAGTCCCCTTGATTCCCATACACTGAGAATAAATATTTATATATGCATCGCCCATTTGATACAACTGCATATAAACTGTGATTGTGTTTGTTGTAGTTGTGCCGTGACGTGCTATCAATTATATGTTTAGTAATCTATGTTCGGACCACGATATCTGTGGAACACTCCACGTGTCGGCGATTCATCTGCATCATCGTCGTCGTCGAGAAGATGGATAGCTCGGGAAGTGGCTAGGGTTCTGAAGCTACAATAGCGGGCGCCAAACAAATATCAACTTGCGCAGAAGCCATGCACACTGTCACACACCCCATGCAAATGCTCGTTTGAGCAGTTTGATCCTTCTTTTATGGGATCTCGTCTCAACTTGCTTTTCTCCATTCCAGTTCGCCCAACTCACGCAACAGGAAGAGATACCCTTTTCTGTTGAATCTTTCCTCAACTGATACCATTATTGAAATCCCCCACTTTTGCATGTGAGGAAACCCTCTTTCTTCCTCAGCTAACTTCGTACGATCTCTCTTTGACCGAGAATCGACGTTTATGGGCTGCCATCTGCAATTCAATGCTGCAACATTGTTTCGGCCTGCTCTTGGCCAGCAGAACCTTCCATTTCCAATAGAAACGAGCTTTCGGCTCCATTTATTTCGTGAAAAATAGATAATTTGCAAAGTTTTCTAAAAACAATAGCTCGTATCGTATACGAGATGAAAAATATTTTTGTCGTCCATGAAAATATCGAGACATAAATTATTTTTGATAATGAAAACATTTCTCGTTAACTAATTATCTTCATCAATACAAGTGATCGCTTTTATGAAAATGTTTTTCAAATCATCCATTTTTCATGAAATCAACGAAATATTTAATCCGTTGAGTTTTGTTAAAATGAAACCCAATGCCAAAAAGCTCACAGGCTGGACACTGGAATTGTGTGCTTGGGAATTGCAGATTCAGGAGCAACCATGCCTAACGAATCTTTGCAGCTGTGTTTAATTTAAATCAATCGTGCATCGATTATTGAAGAAAAAAATGCATCGTCGGTGCACATTTTTCGTAACGACATTATTTGAGGAAGCAATAATCAACTTCTTCAAAATTGTATAACATTTGTCGATCACACTTCAAAAATGACCATTATTATAGAAATAAATCGTTGCGTTGCGGGTTTCTCGGAACTAATGCACTCTTTAGTTTCTAATGTGAGAAAGGTTATTCCAGTTGTGTTTCATCAGAATTTCACTCACAACGAAATATCTTTCATCTAAAGTCATTCTTCAGCTTTTAATATGTGAGATTTCGTTGGACCATATCCAACTGTTCTAAAAGCTTAAGCTGTTATATGGACGCGTGGTTTAATATTTAATTACTCTAATATAATAGAAGAATACCGATTCTAAAATCACAGGCAATAAAGAAATTAAACAGGACAAACTGTGTCGAATTTAATCAATGACACGGTCTAGAAAATACAAGGAAAAATCACATGTATACGACTTCTCGAGGTAGGAGCACCTCTTGCCTTCACGATTCCTTAATGTATGTTGACTCGAGTCGAGCTCTGGCCAAGAAAAAAATCGAGAAAATTGATTTTTTTTTCAGATGCCGAAGGAAGGGCAAAGCATAAAAGCTATTAAGAGGAACTGTGTGATGCCCTAGAACGTCACACACGACACGTGTCTTTTCCAATTATTACTCATAATTATTATAAACATGCTGAAACACAATAAAAAGTCACAATATACCATACAAGAAATCACGTGAAATTGATAATATACATATATTCATCTTTATACAAACATTGGTATTACTATCTTAATACAGTGTTCAAGTAAAACATCATTACAAAAGTCTTGGGAAGGGCCAGGGTCACCTATCACTAATGTTGCTACTACGCCCAAAAGCATGTATGTACCAAAGTCAAGTTATTCGCTACGGGTCAACAACTTCGCTCATCGACATGTCACCATCGCCATCGAAACCCCTCAACGGTCCAACCAACTTGTCATCGATATTCAAGTATCGAGCGACAAATCGATGAGGAATCCACTCTAAAAACTTCACATCGACTCATATGGTGGAACTACACTTAGTGTATGCTACTGCTAATCCGACCATAAGCGCATCTTCATATTCACGATCAAAATGCATAAGAGCTCCAAAAAGTAGTGGCGGTATCCATCCTACATGTGTGAAACAGAAGGATTGAGTCAAAGCCTAGTAAATGAAATCTCTAAGTCTAATGTAGGAGATCATCGCACTACTCAACCTAGTATCAACAAGCAATGTCAAATCAAGACAAGTACATCATAACTAAAAGGCAATTAAATGAATAAATGCACTATTTTTCTTATCATAATTTGCCAATGATAATCGATGAACAATTACATAAGATGGTTCCCTCAATACAAGAGGATGGCATAACATATTCATTTTTAGCATATCATCTCATCCCAAACACTCCCGAGGCATCTTGACACATGGGACATCTAACTTCGAGTCATCTTCCTCACAAATATATGGGGAATAGAAACGAAGTATAATACTTTCCATATATATCTCATAACAATAGTGCACATAGCAACACTCAATTCTTGTGATCTTCTTTACATCAAAAATGAATTCAACACTTAATTATTATTTTTTTCATAGCCATTCTCAAAATCAACATTCGGTACACGACATCATCTTTTACAAATTATTACCGAAATACAACCGCCATGTCTTTTCCATGCATTAGTTACATAAGAAAAACGTGCATCGGTTCCTCTAAAACGACGAGACGGGCTATCTATCATTCCTCGGAGAATATAAGAGCTTGTGACCTATTGGGATTTTGGCAAATTCCCAGTTCCGAATTGGGTTATCAATGTCATCATCAAAGATTTTGACTGCAAATCCCTAATTTGAAGGCAAAACCGGGCCATGACTTTGGGGCCTCAGCCATGTCTTTGGGCCGGGATGGTACATGGGCTTCGACAGTCCCGCGTTCGGACCGAAACAAACGTGCGAGGCGATTCCGATACCGCGTTCTACTTCTGTGTCTCTGTCTCCTCTTGTTCTTCTTCCTCTTCGATCGATCGGTAAGGTTTTCGCTTTTTGCCCTCTCTAAGTTCTTCGTTGCCTCGCGTAATTCGACGACCGCGTCGTCGTTCCAGGATAGCGCGAAGCGACTTCTCTGGTCGATCCCGAAGCTGATTATAATTCGATGATGCTCTGATTATGTTGTTCGTTTTGGATTTTTGGTTGATCGGTCGAATTGATAGATGCCATCCGGTTGCTCTCATCGTTTGGAAGCTGTTGTTTTGCTGCTTGATTGATTGATTTTGATTGTGGTAATTTCCTCTGTGGATTTCCAGGTGAAAGACTAGCTTCAGGCTGCTCTATTGAGTTTTTCTTTTGTTCTGAGCTTAATGCTCGGTGGTTGAAGTTATTGGTCACAAAAGCACTAAAATTAGATACTAGATAGTTGTGTAGATTCAGAAAAAGAGACTAGAACGATGCTACTTGAGTGTTGTGCTGTGATTTTTGTTGGGGTGGGAGATTTTTCTTTTGTTTTCATCTTGGTGCTCTTTTGCCAGCAATAGTTTTATGCTTTTGTCATGATTATGTTAAGAATACCTGTGTAGGCATTAGATATTTGCTCATCTGTCCTATAGATTCAGGGGTTTACACTAATGGGGAAGGACTCGAAGCCGAAGGACTCGGGAGGGAAGGGAAAGGGGAAGCAAACAGGGGGTGGGAGCGATGAAGCCGCTTCCAAGGGGAAAGGAAAAGCCGGGAAGTCAGATGGGCTAGGCACTTGCACTTATGTCAAAGGTTAGTTCTTCTCTGTTTTCTTTCTTAAAGAGTCACGTTCTGCATGTCTTTCTCTCTTTGTATTGAGTATGTGGTAAGTAGCTGTCAAAGTATATGGTGCTTTTGCATTTGAGATGTGAATGCTTCTCTTTCAGACAACTTTGCATAAACATACGGGACCGAGGTTCGTTTTCTCTTCCCTTTTGGTACTCGTCCAGTCACAGCTCACAACTACTTTTGGGTGTAGCTAGCCTACGCTAATGTTAAAGCTATCATTAAATCCTCATAACTTTCAGGAATAAGCACATCAACCCTGCTTGAGTATGCACTTGTTTTCAGTATTGTGAAATCTAGTCTCAGTTGTTTGCAAAATATAGTGAGTCGAAGCTGACAGTGTTTCACTTTCACATCAGAGTAACTTCAAGCTCCTTAATTTGGTACTCCAATATTGTTCAGCTAGGCATATACTTTGTGAAAAGCAAGGCAAAATCAATGAAGCATACAAGAAACTGCAGGATGGCTGGCTAGGCAATGGTGACAAGGTTCCTCCAGCTGAATTCGCAAAGGTAATTATGCTTGTGCATGTCCCAACAAGACTTTAGGGCAACGGCTTTTACCTCATTTGATCCCTCGGGGATTTTTATATTTTCTTCCTTTTCTTTTGTTTGAGACTGAAGGAAATGTCTGTCTGGATCATGTATGCAACATTGCAACTAGCCCTCCTCTCTATATTTGGTCCCATTCCTATGAAACCTAGGCATGGTCATTTCTGCAGAACAGAGTGAGATACAAGATGCATTCCTTCCACATGAGTTCCTAAAAAATTAAATTTTCGTGGGAGTGATCATCCTTATACGAAATGATGACATCCAAGGAAATCTAAGCCGTAGTTCACTCCTGTTAAGTGCTTAATTGCTGTAACAAATACGTGCGTTAAGGTTTAAAGTATAGCAAACTGTGCTCGAACTCTTAGAGCATCTCGAGTGACTACTGTTTGGCTATTCTGTCTCTTCATGGTTTTGTGACGTATGTTTGTGCTGGTTTTAATTGACAGTTAGCTGCAGAGTACTCGGAGTGCCCATCTGGGAAGAAGGGTGGGGATTTAGGATGGTTTCCTCGAGGAAAGATGGCTGGCCCATTTCAAGAAGTTGCATTTAATACCCCTGTTGGAGCTACAAGTGCACCATTTAAATCGACGTATGTATCTGCATATTCTACCTCACTTCTCATAAGTTGTTTATTTTTTCCTTTCACTTCCAGAGTGCAATTACTTACTTTGAAACCATATGAGGGGGAGATTGACTGCCATTACTAATATATCCATCTGATAACACACTTTCATTGTGAAGTTTGCATGAATTTGAGGTAATTAATCGCTGAAGACAGCCTTTTTGAAATTCTATGTGGTGCTCCAGTATGGCAAACAGGAAAGGGGTGAACTGTATAAAGCAGAATAACAATAAGTAGAACATCTCTCTCTGAGTGGACAAATGAGATGAATATGATGATAAAATGAGAAAATGATTGTTGTCCTGTTTGTGAGATATATTGCCACTTTGCCATGCAATGATGGGTTTTGTGTATATAAATTCCATTGGAATACCGTTTCATTTATATTTGATGGTTATGTCATACTTTCACTGACAATATAAGAAAAATCTTGCTCTATGATATCTTGCTTTTGGAAGTTTTTATTAGGTGATGATCGAATATGACTTTCTTCTTACTTTGTACTTTTGGGAAATGTTCAGGCATGGCTACCACATTATCCTGTCTGAAGGGAGAAAGAATTGATGAATGCTGCTTCTCTGGGTACCTTTTTTTACCTATGTGTCGATCTAAACGATGGATGTTTTTATGTATGGCCTTTTATGTTGTGTTGGGTGCAAGGTGCCTGTTCAATGGGTGGTCGGTGAATGTACAACAAATCTCCGCTTAAAATGCCTCAGTGCTTTGTGATTACTTTTCATCGGAGTGGGCTTTGAGCTCATGTTCATCTTGATGGGTCAAGATCTGAATTCTAGTAACTGTCTGTGTCAAAAAGAAAAGGAACCTTTGGATATGAAATAATAGGGAGTGAACAAAATTTACCGACATGAACTGGTCTTCTGCCACCTGAATTAAACGCTAACGCGCATTCTCATCATGATCCAATTTTGAGTTTGGGGGATTCGCTTGGTATACCACTTCCAAGGAGAAATCTCGTGAATCTTTAACATCTGCAGCTAGAGATAATGCATACTAGTCAGTTTTATCCCATGAGGTCAATGCCAGAAACTTGTGGGAAATGGGGCATGACATGATTAGGGTTGAGATGGCTGCTTGGAATGAGATGTTTTTATCACTTGACGAATTGGTTTTAGACAATTAGGGAAATTGGAAGAGCAATCATCCCCTGCACAATCCTATGGCGACACGGATGGTGTTAGCAATTTCGTATTATTAGGTTCTTGTCAAGCGGACGAAGTAAGGTGACTGGTCTGCAAAATTTTATCTCTATCTCTGCCTGTGAATTGTTTTCGTGTGTATCATGCCGGTTTGCTGGCCATTCATTGTTCATGTTCTACTCTTTATGTAGGCAGTGGGTGTTGAATGTCTTAATCTCAAGTACTTTCTACTTGGAGAGTATTGAAATTCATCAGATGGTGGTGAATATATACGAGATGACTAGCTATTGCTCTTCCCATTTTTCTCAGAAAGTTTTGTATCTACGAGTAGTCCTCCTCTGTGTATAGTGTTATAATCAGAAAGATTGGTTAATAGAGCTGCGCCATTGATTTATTTTCCGGCAAGGTAGAGACAGATTTCAGAAGCTAAAGCGAAGATTTTGATTTTCACATATATTGAACCGTCGACTCCAACAGGCATTATAAGTTGCCACGCATAGAGTTTGTTTGACACAATGTTACAGCAAGAGTTACGGCCGTGGAAGGGGTACCGAGACTATCAGGAAGTTCCTCATCAAACTATGTGTATTACATCTTCAAAATATGTATCACCGACGGTACAAGTCATAGCATCTGGCAGTACCACTACATTACAATTACGATCAAACAATACAGAGACTTCTTTCGGTCTTAGTTTATTATTTCAATCTTAAGACAGGTGATCACATCTCGAATTGAATTTAGCCTGACAAATTTAGACGTGACAAGTGATGTACATGTTGGTGTGAAATTAGGACGACTTCGCATATCTATGATAATTAACGAAACTAATGATCATGTCCCAGCAACCCGATGAATAGCGGTTACCAAAATAATTGAAATTATCAGTTTCTTAATTTCACAAAAGGGGGCGTGCATCTCACGGCACGAGTTGATTCCGACGACCTAGATTTAACCTGGTACTTGGTTTTTGGAGGGATTCTCTGTTTTTTTCGTTGTTTTTTTTTTTTTTCCTCTCTTTCCATGTACAAGGTTGTTGGAGTTGGACGGCAGTTCACAGTCAAAGGAGGTTTTAAGCAGGGTTTAGGCGGCCATGGAAGAGTCTTCCGTTTCTCCTTCCTCAACCGCCAACCACGCAAACCCTAGCGACCACCGCCATGTCCTCCCCCGATCCACAGCCCTCCGATTCTCCCTCCGGGACCGGCTCGGCGACCCTCGGGAGCGAAAATCCCGGCGGAGCTGCGGATCGTCCGGAGAGAAATGGAGGAGAAGAAGGCGCGGAGGAAGGAGATCATGAAGAAGAAGAAGAAGAAGGGGAGGAAGGGGAGGAAAGGGAGTGCGGGTTCTGCTTGTTCATGAAAGGCGGTGGGTGCAGGGACGCGTTCGTCGCGTGGGAGGTGTGCGTCCAGGACGCGGAGAAGAACGAGGAGGACCTCGTGGACAAGTGCTTCGACGCGACGGCGGCCCTGAGGAAGTGCATGGACGCTCACTCCGATTACTACGAGCCCATCCTCCGCGCCGAGAAGGCCGTGGAGGAAGAGGTAGCGAGGGAATTGGAGGAGGAGGAGGAGGAGGAGGAGGAGAAGAAGGAGAAGGAATCGGAGGCAAATTCTGTTGCCGGATCGGATGATCCGGTGGAGGGAATCACGCGTTCCGAGGATTCGAGCCAGCGAGATGAGATGACGGGGCAGGCGAGACCCCTCAAACGAGTCTAATGGTAGATGAAAAGAGATGACTTTTGGCCTTGTTTGTACTGCATTTTTGTCTCAATGGTTAGCCATGATTGTGGAACTGGAGGTCATTCTTTATATTGAGGTTATTCGTATATGTTTAGGAGAATTTGATGGGGGAGAGTAGGAAGAGATGAAAATCGAAGACAATTGTTCTTGTCTCGTGCACTCATAGACTAAAATCTTCCATGAATAAATGCAAATTTGAGCTGCCAGATCCACTTCAGCGACTCATCATATTTCTCGGCATCTTATCTGCGATTGTAATGTAGTTCTTTGGATTCGCATTTTGCTAAGGCCATTTGGGGGGGGTGCTGTTATTGTTTTCCATGCGTCAAACAATGACTGTGTCTTGGTAGTTATGATGCCTACAGGTTGTCTTACGGTAAAGAAATAGGCTCTGGTTTGATGGATGGTAAGTCTCATTGCCTGGATGAAGGTCTGGATAGGAAATAAATATAGCATTGGACAATGTCATTGATTTTTCTACTGAATTCGCAGATTTGCTTATGATGAACTCTCGCACTCGAGCTAACTGTTCACGACATTGCTAAAACTTTATTTTGTTGTCACCCCTGCACGAAAACGCATGGTGATTTTTTTTATTATTTTTTGACATATGCTCTCACGATCACAACCTGACAATCGCGACATTCTGCACAAGGGGGTCTACTCATGTGATGAAAGGCAAAGGTGGTCTGTATTTTCATCAGATTGGAGCTTTGGCTATTCTGCTGTTGTTTGCTTTGCTGGTCTTGTGCCAGATTCTTTTCACTCCAATCTTCTTTCAGTTAGCCACACCTTCTGTGTCAAAAGGATGGCTGACTCGGGAAAGATAAAGATTGGTAACTGGACTTGAATCCAAAATGATTTCTTACTGGAAGATAGGCAGCAGAAATTGGTCCTGCTCTCGGTCCACTTCCGGCCATGAGTGCCTTCTGTGGCAGTATAGCAAGTTGGTTTCAAGCTTAGTCGTCGACTTCCAACCATTTTCGCTGCGGCTCATTTCACTTTGATGTGGTCTGTGATTTCCGCATCAGGATGTCTACATTTTCACCTCATCAACTAATCAAGGCTGGAACTATCACTTCATCAAAGTCGAAAAGGGGAGTTGATATATCAGCATTTTAGCAGCTGAGCAACACATACAATTTCCGCATCGAGCTGGTCCAACTCGACAGGCATAAGTACCAAGAAGAGATGGATTATGGATTCACTGGCGATTCGGCGTCGGTCCCGCGCCGTCTCTGACGAAACCCTTGGACTGGGACGACTCCCTTCCCATCAATCATTCCATTTTGCAGATTTGCCATTGTTGAATGGTGTCTTGGGTGCATGATCCGCTTGGGTGCTTTTACTCTTTCTCAAATCTTTTAGATCGTTGCCGAGACATCAGCATGAATCCAGATGTGATAAAGGGAGACTTTTCCTATTCTCATCACAGACCGCAACTTAGCATCACAGAATTGGTCTATGCTATATTCTTAGATCTCCAATTCAATTCAAATCAGAAATCACCACAAGCCAAGTAAAAATTATTCACGACTCTTGCTTTTGATTTACTATATATATATATTTATTTATTTTTGAATTTTGCTGCTCGCAAACTTTAACTTATATACAGAGTACGAAATACCTAAAATCTATATATAACATATATCATATTATTGTTTTTATGACGAGTCGAGCAGGAAAATTCAATGGCAAAAGTTCCCATAAAAGTGGAACTTTGAAGGACTAAAATAAGAAAATATCAAAATTCTCTATCCAAAGAGAACAAAGAAAACAGAGGAGGCCCCCCTTATCTTCTTTGCTTCGCCAACGTCTTCTTCTTCTTCTTCAACTCCCGCAGCTCCATCATCGAGCTGAGAAGACACTCGCGCAGAGAGAGAGAGAGAGATGGACAGAGGCAAGCTCTTCTCTCTCTCCTCATCCCCGCCTTCTCTCTCCACTTTCCTCTCCCCTCGCCCGAACAGCTTCCGCCATCTTACCTCACTTCCATGCAAACAGCCCTTCGTCTCGGCCTCCCTCCTCCGCTCCCGGCAGCCGCCACCGCCACCGCCACTGGCCCCCGCCGTGGAGGCCTTCTGGGAGTGGCTCCGCCGCGAGGGCGTCGTCTCCGCTAAGACCCCGGCGAAGCCCGCGGCCGTCCCGGAGGGCCTGGGGCTCGTCGCCCAGAGAGACATTGCCCGGAACGAGATCGTCCTGGAGGTGCCCAAGAAGCTGTGGATAAACCCAGAGGCGGTGGCTGGCTCGGAGATCGGGAGGGTGTGTGGGGGGTTGAAGCCGTGGGTATCCGTGGCTCTGTTCTTGGTCAGAGAGAAGCTGAGGGACGACTCGCCGTGGCGGGTCTACCTTGATGTCCTCCCAGAGTCCACCGATTCTACTGTATTTTGGTGGGTTTGGCTTCTTTTTCGCCGTGTTTGTTTTGTATATAAGTTCTTTGTTCTCTGTATATCATGTTAATAGTGACACGGAGTGTGTTATGAGTTTGAGATTTTGGAGGGTGATTGGTTTTAGTTTTGCTGGTTCCAGCGCAGGTCAGAAGAGGAGCTAGCTGAGCTGCAAGGTTTGTGCAGTATTCTTTTCTTTTTGCCTTTTCGCCACCGCTTCTTTATGAGACGTTTCTTTGGAATTTGGTTGTGTTAAGTTAGAGGCACAAGTTATGCTGGGTAATGACTTGATTGTGATCCTGACATGAGTTCTTGAGTAGTCGCCTTATACTTTGAACAGTGAGTGCATGTGTGTTTTTCCCTTGGTTTGCTATAAGTTGAGAATGCAAGTCATGTAAGCTGCAGCAGGGAGTTACTAGAGATGGTCAAGGTGATAAATTTGTCCGGCCAAACATCCTTGGTTTGCTATATGTTGCGCACTTGAAGACCAATACTTGTAAAGGACCTGACTCTTCCTATTTGACAGCTTCGAACAATGATCCTCTCATACTCCAACGTGGCCTGGTGCATTGATGAAATGAAATTCTACACAGCGAAAGACCAAAAGCCACAACCAAAAGCCTGTGTCACTGCAAACATTCCCTACCAAACAAAAATGTCGTCGGTGTTTCATTTTGGTGTCAGTGTCCTTACTTGTCTAACGAACCTAGCTTGACTTTAAAAACACTCTGCTATTAGAAGTTTATGACAGTTTGGCAACCAAAAGCTGGGCGATGAGCTGCCCCAGCCACTGGATAAGATTATACTAATTCATGTTTGGGGATGACTTAGACCCCTTGATAGAGTCATTATAACTTCTCATGAACGTGTTTATCAGTGCTGATATCATTGTGGATGGAGTTCCAATTTTTCTCCCTGCATGTATACATTATGACATTTAGATTTTTTATGTTGTCCCAGCTTCGATAGTTTGTGGACATTTCTGAGTTATGACCGAAGGATGATATGTTTTTCATGCTTTGTAATTACTAGGAATGATCCTAAGCCAATTTTATGTGAAGTGGATCTTATCTTTGTAGGATCCCAGCTATTGAGAACAACATTAGGTGTGAAAGAGTATGTGGGGAGTGAATTCCGGAAATTGGAACAAGAGATTATATTACCTAACAGGCAGCTCTTCCCTTCTCATATAACATCGGATGACTTCCTCTGGGCATTTGGGATTCTTAGATCAAGGGCATTTTCAAGACTTCGTGGCCAAAACCTTGTGTTGATCCCCCTTGCGGACTTGGTAAGTATTGTTACCTTCTTGACATTAATTAACTTCTATCAGCTGGGGTTGTTCCTTATATTAATTCAGGTGGCTGGAGAAAGTCACTCAAGTCACCGAGCATGACATGGAACTTGTGTCGTATTAACTTTTTATTTTTTGTTTAGTGTGAAAAAGAAGGAAATTGCCTGGAGTCTTATTGACCGAGGCTCATGTGCATTTATTAGGAAAAATAAAGCATGAAATTGTTGTGAGGAAAATAACATAACAAAGAAATACTTTGATATGTCTTTTGTTTGGTTGGCCTGTGTTCATGCAGGATGACAGTAATACACCTTGCAAATCCAACCACGCTGTGTTTCTTTCTGGAGTACACTTAATGTTGCTAACTATTCCAGTTAGCATTAAACAAGTACATCTAGCAGGTTATCGAACCTAAATTTTCCGCAGTCATTCTAAGAACTTGTGAGACAGAAAAACTAAGTGGTACTTGCTATCCATGTCTATAGTAGGAGCCTGCTAAATGGGATTGGTCACACATGATTTGATTGATTTCCTATGCAAATGGTGGCTTCACTAATGATGTGGTAAATCATTGGCCACGGTTGAAGAAACTATGGTCGAAACCACTATAAGGACATGGGGTTAACTAATCCTCTAGCAAGCTTCTTGGATGTTCAGTTTTGATTATTATATACTATTAGATTTTTTATTACCCATGTAAGGATGTGTTCTTCTACAAACAGCTAATTTTGGCCTCCAATAAACATGTCAGTTCGCTTCATCCTATTTCTCCTCTTAGTTGAGAATTTGCCTCTTGTTGGTGATTTGAACTTCCATTAACCTGACACCCTCTCAGATTAATCACAGTCCCAGTATTACCACAGAAGATTATGCATATGAAATCAAAGGTGCTGGTCTTTTTTCAAGAGAGCTGTTATTTTCTTTGAGGAGCCCTGTCTCTGTCAAAGCTGGTGAACAGGTAAATTTTAGATCTTGGTCTTACGGGTATTCTTGGACTTAAAAGATATTTAATTTTTAAAAACAAATACTTTGGAATGGTGAATTTTTTTATCTATATTTCCCTTTTTGTACGAAGAGGATTAGCATTTTTTGTTGTAGCACCTAACCATCGCTAAGTAAATTCTTGTGAATCCAGATATAATTGTATTGGCATTAAATCAGTCATGACGCGAGCCATGAATTGTTCAAAAGCTTATCAACTCTTTTCTGATGCTAAGAAACTTATGAACAGGTTCTGATTCAGTATGATTTGAATAAGAGCAATGCCGAATTGGCTCTGGATTATGGGTTCGTAGAATCAAACTCAGAGCGTAACTCATATGCATTAACACTGGAAATATCCGAGTCAGATCAATTTTTTGGAGACAAGCTGGATATAGCCGAGTCAAATGGTCTGGGCGAGGCTGCATATTTTGATATAGTTTTGGGTCAACCTCTTCCACCAACAATGCTTCCGTATTTGCGGCTAGTAGCTCTAGGAGGAACAGATGCTTTCCTCTTGGAATCCATTTTCCGGAACACAATATGGGACCACCTGCAATTGCCTGTAAGTCGGGCCAATGAGGAGCTAATATGTCGTGTTGTTCGAGATGCTTGCAGATCTGCACTTTCTGGTTATCATACCACAATTGAAGAGGTAAAAATCCGTGATATCTTGTACATTGGTTAAATTCAGCTACTCATCTGGTGAACCAGAGCAAGAATCATAATACTGTTTGGCATCTGTCGTTTCATCATATAGAAACAGAAGTCAGATTCTATGCCTAGGTTCTTAATTGAGATTATGTAGCAAATGGATGTTATATAAGTTTTAAACAGAATGAATGGATGGAATTATCTGATAGGTGGCCTCCATCCTCATCTTTTCTTGCCTTCATTTAGCCCTGGGTTTTCCCTAGCATTGAAAGTTTCAGCACTCTAAACATTTTAATTTTGCAAATACTCGTGAAAAGGGTTCAATAGTAAGGTGTCATCTTGCAGGATGAGAAGCTTGCAGAAAAAGGGGATCTTGCCTGTAGGCTAGAGATTGCAGTCGGTGTAAGAGCTGGGGAGAAGAGGGTGCTGCAGCAAATTGACAATGCATTCAAGGATAGAGAAATGGAATTAGATGAGTTGGAATACTACCAAGAAAGGAGGCTTAGAGATCTTGGTCTCGTTGGAGAGCAAGGCGATATTATCTTTTGGGAGAAGTAAGAGTTAAACGTTATGTGCACTCCTGTGGGATCCTGGTCTAATAAGACAGAAAGCAAGAGAACAACGTTGTTCGCTGCATTTGGCTCTTCCCTACTCTCCAAACCAAATTCAGAAGATGACGAGGCACGACCAGAAACGTCATATATCTTGCTTCATTTCCTTGCAACGATTATGTTAAGAAGACTTTTCTCTGCATGGCTTTTGCTCTGTGATCCTTCTGCCGTCTTGTCTACCGTGACCAACTTTCAGCTGCCTGGGCTCTGTTAATTGTGCAAGGTCGACATGAATGAGCCTCTTATGTATTCTTGCTTAACACGCAGATGATTATAGACATTTTGTAGCCATGTTTAATGTTTGTTGCTGTATTCATATTGCTACACTGACCATCTGATATAGCTGTTCCAAGGCGCAGCCCTGGTGCTTTATTACCCTCCTGTATTTTACTGAACTCTGGGTTTGATAAGATCAGCTTGATATATTCGTTTTATTTGTTTAAGCCAACATGCAGATATAATATAAAAGGGTCTCCTTTCTTTCTGATGTTAATTCAAAAGAACTGATGTTTTGCATGCTCGGTGTAAATACATGATTTCAAAATCATCCTCTTCCTCTGCCAATTAGAACGCTTCGTGGACTGATTTTGTAAAGCGTAGGTGCGTAAAAAAACCTGCTGCCTTACTTCTAAGACATGTAAAGGGCCAGTTTGGAGTCGCCCTGTGGGGAAAGGACATTGATCCACTATACACCTTCATTTTGGTGAGGAGCATCAACCGCCTCTTTGGTCTGAGATTCTTTGGGCATTTAATAAACTAATGGAGTTGAAGCTTGAAAGGCTTTTTCACCAAAACATATCGCTGCTCAAGCTTCAACAAGCTTCCTTGAATTTGATCAAAGCTGATGAAAACAACTCAGAAAACCCTTTCACTTCAAGTGACTCGTGGACGAATGATTATTAGGTAATTAATCACTTAAATATCTTGAATCACAGAGTGTTTATCCTGAAAGTCGTCTTGATATAGCTTATTCATGAATGCCCATCTCCCTGTTGATGTCCTGTTCATTGGTCTAGTGCTTCTATCTCTTCTCTCTATCTCTCTCTCTCTCTCTCCGCCACTTTTTGCGCCTTACTTCATTTGGAAAGATAACTGAAAACGAACCCCTCATCCACTGCGGAGCTCACAACACAATATCCAAGAAAACAGACACACAATCCACAGCACAGAATGTCAACTCTCTTCTCTGCCGTCTTTCCACCCTCTTCTTCATTCCCTCCTCAATTCCCTCTCAGATCCTTCAAACACTTGTCTCCCCTCAAGACCACCCTCAAAAGACCTCTCTTTTCCACAACTACGTCTTCCTCACTCCATGTTGACCCCCTCGAATCCGACCCGCCATTGCCACCTTCCGTCCGCACCTTCTGGAAGTGGCTCGCTGAAGAGGGCGTGGTCTCCTCGACCTGTCCGCTTCGCCCCGCTTATGTTCCAGAAGGCCTCGGCCTCGTCGCTCGGCGAGACATTGCTCAAGATGAAGTTGTCCTGAAGGTCCCCAGAAGGTTGTGGATCAACCCGGACACTGTTGCTGCTTCAGAGATTGGCTATCTCTGCACCGATTTGAAGCCCTGGGTGGCTGTCTCTCTCTTCTTGATAAGGGAGAAGATGAGGGGCAGCTCGCCATGGCGGTTCTATATTGATATATTGCCGGAGCGAACGGACTCGACGTTGTATTGGTGGGTTTTGTGTTTGCTTTGTGAATGCTATTGGAAAATTATGACTTTTTCTTAGTTCTATTGAATGGTCTGAGATTGTGGGGTGATTCGTTGTGTGCTTCTGTTTTCTGGTTCCAGTGCAGGTCAGAAGAAGAGCTTGCTGAGATTAAAGGTCTCTGTGGTTTCTATATCGCAGACGGTGCTTATGTTCTATGTGCCTTGTTTAATTGCCTTGTCTCTGGATATCTTTGAATGAACTTTTTTTGCGGAATTATCCAGGAACCTTACTTTGCCGGATGACCAGGGAGATGAAAGAGCATGTAGAGAGTCAATACCGAAAAGTAGAAGAAGAAATCATTTCGCGCCACAAGCAGCTGTTTCCATCTTCTATAACTCTGGATGGGTTTCTTTGGGCATTTAGCATGCTGAGATCGCGGGCATTTTCGCATCTTAGGGGCCAACTTGTTATGCTTCCACTCGTGGATTTTGTAAGTCAATCGATTCTTTCCTATCAGAAATCGATAATGAACTTGTCTGCATTTCTTTCGGGCCTCAATCAGTCTGTCAGAAAATTTAAGAATTCAATAATATTTACGTGCATCAGATTAACCACAGCGCTAGCATAACAAGAGAAGATAATGCGGAGGAGATTAATGGGCCAGCAGGTCTTTTTTCTTGGGACCTCCTTTTCTGTTTGAAGTCAACAATGCCTGTCAAAGAGGGTGAGCAGGTAAATCTCTAAAGCCTGTTGAACTTCTTTAGTAATTGATGATCCATTTGACATATTATGAATATGATATCGTTCTCAACACAGTGCATGTCTCTTCCCCTGTCAGTCACAGAGAAATGAATCTTATCCTAATTGAATTGTAGTAATTAACACGTTGATTACCGGACAATAAATCCTCAGAGATCGAGAAAGTTTCATTTAATTACCTGAAATGCCATTACACAAGCCTCATCCGGTAGGGCAGTGATTTGTGACCGTTCATAGTGACTAGCAGAATCCTGGGACAGGTTTTCATCCAGTATGGATTAAAGAAGAGCAATGCTGACTTGGCTCTTTATTATGGGTTTGTGGAACCAAATACAAATCGCGACTCTTACACGCTTACATTCAACATATCCAAGTCGGACCCCTTCCATCAGGAGAAGCTCGATATTGCAGCAGCCAATGATTTGGGTGAGACTGCATACTTCGATATTTTTATGGACCATCCTCTTCCGCCAGCAACTCTTCCATATCTGCGGCTTGTGGCACTTCAAGAAACAGATGCATTCCTCCTGGAGCCTGTCTACAGGAAATCTATCTGGAAAACTCTCGAATTACCGATAAGTCGCATGAACGAGGAGCTGGTATGCAAGATGGTCATAGATGCTTGTGAATCAGCTCTTTCAGGCTACCACACCGCAGTTGAACAGGTACCTGTAACATTCTGATTTCCACTCGGGTAATTTTGTTAGGATGGTTTCTCCTAGGGAGTTGGTTCAGTTGGACTTCACTGAACCAAACAGGGTAAGAATGGCCTAGTTAAGAGTTCTTTACCGTGTCATCTCTATCCTGAAATCAATTTTGGTAGTAAACTTTTTTGGTAGCTAAAGGTTTGATAATCTCATGTTTATTAGTCTTACTGCCAAATGTGGCAAAATGTTTAGATAGTTGGAATTAGCCAAGTCATTTAACAGTGTTCTAGTATTTGAAGAGCGTTCACGTTTCCTAATCTGCGCTTAGTGAAACTAAAAATGGGGAAGTCCTAGAAAATGATGCTCTAAAATCTGTCACTGATCATATTTGTACAGATCTATGCATCTTTTTGCCTCGACTGCATTAATTTTGGTGACTCTTAGATCTGGGTATTTCGGTTTCTCTGAAAGCTGTAGGAGCAAATCCCACCTAATTGCTCTATGCTTTCCCACATTCAAATGCAATGACTCGCAGGACGAGAAGTTAATTCAAGAAGGAAATCTTGGTTCCAAACTTGAGATAGCCGTGAGAGTTAGAGTGGGTGAGAAGCGGGTGTTGCAGCAAATTGAGGGTATTTTCAAGGAGAAGGAAGCTCGATTGGATAAGCTCGAGTACTACCATGAGAGGAGATCGAAGGAGCTCGGTCTGGTTGGTGAGGAAGGTGAAACTTATTGCCAGCCTAAGATGGATTCGACGCCCTCCTTATAGAGCCAGTACGCAGTTTAATCACGCCGGTCTCTTGCGGTTGTGTTTAATGGTCAAGAGCAAACTGTAGAAACATTTTATTACTTCTGGAGAATGCAAGGGACGGTAAGCAAATTAATGTGTATTCATCTGTTGTATCAAGGTTTAAACATTACAGACTCGGCTTAGATGGATCAACAATTTGTGTACCTCACTCTGGCGAGCGAGTTGCAATTTGTATGAAGTTCTGAGGAAACAAAAGAAATTACAGGGATTTGTATTAGTTCTGCCAATTTTCATTGAGTAGGCCAAGAACCAAACTTCCCCAGTTCTCTGTATCAAAGTTCATGGCACTGCTTTGCAAAGAAACGATCACTGGTTCGGTACTCAATTAACCAAGTTTCTTTGAAGACAACATAAAATCAGTTTAGGTTGCATAACACTGTGTTCCTACAAATTTGTAATTGCATGGTGTGCTCTCTTACTTTCATATAACAGTCGAAAATTGAAGCTCAAAGAAATGCTGCTTACCATATAAATTTAGGTTTGGCTGCAGTTTACTTTGTTTACCATCTTACGCAACACCTCACTATGATGTTAAGAAATAAAACTAAAATGAACTTACAGATGTCTCTCAAGTCATCATCTCAACAGATCCTCACCCAACCAAAATTATAGACAGGAACCAAATAAGCTTTCATTCTGCGTTAGCACAAAAAGAGCAAAATGTACACTCTCATTTTCAGCGACTTCTCAACAGATTACAATCGTTAACTATGGACAAGAAAAAATGATAAATTTATCTTTGTAGCTGCCCTAAAAGGAAGACCAGAATTCCTTGCTTCCTGCTTCTTGTCGGGCTCTCGGGCATTTGCTTATCATGGTCAAACAGAAATCCATTCATGATGATGAAAGCGGAGTAGCTCGAGCATCAAATTCAAGAGTGTCTTCGTATATCCTTGTAAGGAAAAATAATGCAGCTGTACCGTGCGCAACAACTTTTGTAGAGATCAACTTGAATCCCAAGCCCATGAACATATTATGTGGAACATGTTCACGTGACAATAGTTGATCATCACCGGCAATCAACTAGGGACGTCACTGGAGTTCCTCCTGCCTGGACCTAGTAAATCATCACAGTCAGGTTGCTCACAAACGCACTCCAGAGGATTTGCATAGAAGTAATCCTCCTCCTTGGGCTTATCGACAATAACTCTACGATGACTTGGCTGTCCCATCTTCTTCTCATGTGCCAGACGTACAGCAACTTCAAAATCATTCCGTGAAAGTGTCCCATTCTGTTGCAAATCCAGTAACACCACAAGCCTTTTACGATCTAAGAGAACGGTTCTCTTAAATCCAAGATATCTGCAGAGAAATGTCACAGTTTACACACAGCTTTTCAAAGGAAAATGGGATAGGCCTAGTTTATTTGTCTTATTCTTCCAAGGGAAATAATGGAAGAACATCAATCAAGTCAACAGCTTACCTGCGGTGACCTTCCACAAGTTTTGCCATATTTCCATCATATGTGGGGATGAAAGTATTGCTGGCTATTGATACCATAAAATCTAAAGCCGCCATTTGTGACGAGTGATTGTGGAACTGCTGCAACTCCTTTGCATCCAGCAGCATCTCCTTTTTAACCTGACATAAAAGTGAAATCTGTGAAAAAGATTGAAGAACTAAGTATCGGATTACATGGAGATGAACTCCTCCCAGTTCCAATTGCAATTGGCATCAATGGATGTTCTAATACATGCTCCAAGAATTAGCAGCTGCCTAAGCATCCTTTTATACACTGTCTGCCCTCAAAGGTGAAGATGGAACTATTTAACATTCTCCTTACAATTTTCACCTTTAGAGAGTTCAACACTGCTAGCATCAGAAGACGTTGGTCACTGAATTAGAAATATAACAGCACATTAATATGTTAACTCACAATCCGTGGAAATGCAGCCCTTAATGCGGCTAATCTCCATTCGCTGCCATAGATCTCTCCAGATGCGATGTAAATCTGCGTGTCTTTGTCAAAACCTAGTGCCTGTAAAACTAGTGATGTCTCTTCCGGAGTCAGAGGACACAGACCTTGTGATCTCCTTTCCTCAGATACAATCTCTTTCTCCCTCCACCAGGGAAATGCATACCTGCATGAAAAGCACAATTCATGTCACCACACATTTATATATGGGTAACGAGAAAAACAGATAAGTTGATGAAATAAAAGGATGAAAGACATCAAATGCCTCATTCCTCATATTCCATCAAGCTCACTTTTGCCCAAGTGCCACATCTAGAACTTCAGAGCTAAAGCAGGATACGACTACATTGTAGCATAGGCCACGAAATATTTTAGAGTTCCATCTCAGGGTAAAGTCATATGAAGTTAAAGATTTAAAAACATATCCCTTCCTAGAGCAACATATTAGATAAGTAAGTATAGAGAAATATACAAAAACCAACATCGAGTGTCCCTTAAGTACAATATCCATCTCTAGTTAATCTATATTTTACACCTTCGTTCAAGAACCTATATTTTGGACCTTGAGGTTTCAAAAAACTCATGATTTTTTCCTTAAAGGCATAAGTAGCACAACATCAGCTGAATGAGTTAAATGAAAATTGTCCAATGGCAAGCAATAAATCATGCACATGCCAAGACAAACCTCATTCGCTTGAGCTCTTCAGCTTCTTCTGCTGTACAGCCATGGGTGCATCCGGAGAAAGCCAACATATCCATCTCGTATCTTAGATGCAAAGCCATGAAAGGCCCCTTTTCTCGAAGGAGACGGACTAATTTGCTCCCCAGAGCCTCGATCTGAGGAGTAAACTTTAGAGCCTGAAAGTTGACTCGACATCTGAGCCTCTGAAGATCTAGTGAAATTCCATTGTTTGCCAAACGAGCATCCGTTCTATTGAAATGTACCACCTTATGCTTGCTAAATAGTGGCAAAATCTGCATGGCATAGGCAAAGATATCACACAGGGAAGATATATGTAAGCGAAATAAAACTACATTAGAGCACTACAACTGCCAAATCTCTGTATGCCATCCTGCCATGCAAGGCAAATATCTCAGATTTAAATTGTGATCAATGGCTAAATCACAACCAGACAAAAAGGCCCTACATGTCCAGGTGAATCTCCATCAGCATAAAGCTAAGTGGAAAAAGGTCCAATATAAGCATGCTATCATAACACTACAATCTAACGCAGCCAAATTTAAAGAATAAGAAAAAAAGATGCAGGCCACCAGGAAACAGAGATGCATATGCACAATTAATTGAAGGCCATGCCCTGCCCAGGTGAAGACTGCTGCCACAAATGGCCAACTGATTCACACGCTTAGATAGCACCTTGCCCTGCCTGAGGCCTTTTATAATGGGTCAAAAGACAATGCATATGCACAAGCACAGGTAAAGGAGACAGAATTGAGATATGAACAGAAAAACGTGGTTGGATTCGACTGAAATTGGATCCAAGTTCCAACTATTACAGCATATACCAATTACCAATCATCAGATTACTGAATGCAGGTCCACTTTCATTAGCCAACTAGACCCACCCGACCTCTATTAAAACCATACTTCAATCATTTTTCTGTAACAAACAGATAAACGTTGTCCAACCTGTTCCAAATAATACTTTTCGTTTGACCAGCTAACAGGGGGCATCCGCAAGGGTTGGTAACCATACTTCTGCTGATATCGCTTTGGCAGCCTTCTTACAATCCGAACTTCATCTCTTAGGGAATCAATGAAATGTCTCACGTCAAAGATATCCTCAAAATTACTGCAGCAATATCACGAAATTAAACAACTTAAAACCAGCCACAGAAAAGCACACTGAACAAAAGCTATTCCAAAGACTGAATATACCTAGGGTCAGCCCAAAAAGATGTTTTATCGAGCTCCGGAACTACCAAAGTGAGATTCAAAAGGCGAGCAATAGTCACCATGTCACAGATCTGAAATTGCATTTCAAATCAGTGACCTCATGTTACTGAAGAAAAACAGGTCAGTAAAGTGCTTACCGCATCAGACCAAAAAAAAAAAGTGCTTACCGCAGCTCGCATTTGATTTAGACCCCCATTGCAAGACACTTTTAGAAAACCATTACTTGTATAGTTCCCTAAAAGTTGAAAGTGTCAACATACTTGCATACGATAGAAGAAGAAACAGAAAAAAATGGGAGGAAGCAGTTAAATTAAAAGACCTGTGGCCACTGAAGTTGAGAAAATGATAGCATTGACGTAATCACAAACTAGAGTGGATACCTATGTTCAAGGCATCTACTAGCATTGCTTATTTTTCAAGAAAAGAACTACAAATGCTCAGAATTTTTTTATCCAGAACCAAAATAGTTAAAGCACAAATTATTTATACTACTGATTTTCTGTAATTAAAAAGAACTCACAAAACAGATAGTGATACTAAGCAGCCAAGTTGACTTTTAAGAAGCCAGAAAGCTGGCTTCAGTTCACCAGTTCTACCAAAAACTGTAGAAAGTAGATACCGAGAAAAGGAAAAGTCACCTTAAAAGCTCTCTCATAAGTCCCTTCATCAAGAGAAATTTTTTGTCACTCCGGGAGCACTATCACTGCCCTATGTGATCCACCCGTCCCCATATCGAGCAACATTGTATCCTTCCAATAAAAGAGTTCATTACACTAATCGCTTGATTATTTGCATTAATGGACTTTGTAATGCTGTGTTCTAGTGCTCTCTTTAGCACCCAATACTTTTCCCTCCAGCTGAAGCATATGCTCTAGTAGTTCCATGACAGAACTAATCTAGACATATGAAGAGATTTTAAAGTCATGAGTAGGAATACGAAATAATTCAATATAACCAGGGCACCCAAAACTAGAAAACTTGCTCTATCATCCATCGCCCCAGACACAGCCAGATGAATGAATCATAACTCCTAACGAGAAAAAAAAAGGGACTGGAGCACGCGAGAACCCCTAAACACTCGAGCTACATTCCACACAATCCAACAGTCATGGCATCTAGAAAAGAACTCACTTGCGGCAAGCAAAGAAGGCGGCGGCGGCGGCCGCAGCCGAACCGTCTCTTCAATGACAAGCGGCAGAGGATTAGAATGCGACAGCCGATTCGATATCCTCTCGAAGAAATGTGGCCGCCACAGCTCCCCAACCGTGACCAGCTGGACCAAACAGGTCCACAGCAAGATGCTGGAGCACACCCATATGAACCAAACCTGCAACCTCGTCCTCGGGATCACCGGGGCCGGTAGCTTGTCGCACCTCACCTGAATGCCGCCCTCCGATCTAACCTCCATTCCTCTCCTGCACACCTCATCGCCAACTCATCGAAACACGAAAAGACTAAACTCTCGCCCACGCCCCCCTTCCGCTCCGAGTCCAAACCACACAGAGAGAACCCGCGATTTCAAGTCGCCAACGGCCTCAGCAGCGCGCGCGCATTGCTCGATCGGAAGAACTTCGAAACCTCGAAACGCGAAGCCCTAGCCAGCACGCAGCACCGCGACAGCCCTCGCCCCCCCACGTTTGCCTATCGGAATCAGAACAAGCTCTCATCTGGGTGTACAAAAGGCGAGGACTTTAAGGTAATTCCAACAAATATCAACCGAGAGAGACGGCAAAAGTAACGCAAATCACGAGCCAAAAACGGGAAATCAAGAGTGGGCACCTACCTACCGACGGACACGAACAACCGCCGAGTGCATGCTCGAGCATTTCATGACCTCCATCATCGCGAAACCCAGAACGATCCGAAGGGTCCTCAATCCCCCCTCGCACAATGCCGATGCTCGATCAATCTCGGATGCCCGTTAACCAACCGAACGAGGTAATAAAGATCAGAGCTTTTTCATCCGGTCGGAAATGGGAAGATTCAATCTTTTCCTTTCGAGGAAGGAGAGAGAGAGGAGAGAGAGAGATGGGCGAGGAGCTTGTTCTTGATGCCGTGATTTACCCGACTCCAACAGCTCGATCTTTCCCATATTAATAATAATTTCCCATTTTCCTCTAATCCATCGAGAAAGAAAAAAATATATCTTTTTTTTTTTAAATTTCAGACATGTTTAATTAGGATGCTTAATCTAATGCTTAATCTAATTGAGTGGTGGAGCATATGTGCATTGTTTACATTAACAGGGGAATTCTCTGTTCCCTTTTGTTTAATCTTTTTTGGGTCTGGTGAGAATATTATGGGGAGTAAATTACAACTTTAGTTTGAATAAAGTGTTGGATTACCGTTTATTCGGCATGGAGATAATGATTAAGAATGGATTTTTGAAATGTAAGAAGAATGGGATTCATGCTGAAGTTATTGGAGCTCTTTGGGGAAATCACTGACAGCTAAATTAATAAATATAGATCTTGAAACTTTACCCCCAAGGTAAATGTGGATCTTAAAAAGAAGAAATAAGGAAGTCGGGGTTTGAAATGGAAGAAGAAGATTGGGAATGAATCGGATTATTTATGGTAGGTTCTTTAATTATTTCGGAGAAAAATCAGATTTTATATGCAACATCGATATGTTATAGGAATGTTGATTTGAGTCATAACTAATCATTTCGCCCGTAAGTGCACGCGCCCATCACATCAATCACACCGGTGTGCAAGAAGCCGGATTATCTCTCTACTTAAAATATCAGATGTACACGGCACAAACTTGCCGGATCTTTAATCATAGTACGATTCGAGTCTGTGACCTCGTGAAAGATAGCACGACCCATTTACCATCGGGCTACCATGCTCGATGATATCGAACCTATGGTTTGGATATATCATAAAAAAAAAAATTTGGAGCCGGTGAAATTACGTACCGATAGACGAAGGATAATATAATATTAAATATTTAACATGTAGAATTAAACACACTTGGTTGGGATTTTTTATTCGAATCATTTCAACTAATGCTACTTGCACGAACCAAAAGTCCTTGAATTTTTACCATTTCACAAGCTTACAGGGTTTTTAATAAATGGGTCTCTACGGGTAATCGAGTCTCCACACCAACGCCCCGAGACTTGTGGAAAGAAACTATAAATTACAATCTTGATTATATTCCCCAATCAATTTTCTTTTTAATTTCCGTAATGCCCTGGCACGTGATGGAAGAATGTATTCTAATTCCCTAATCTTTGAATTAATTTATAGTATTATCCAAACTCTCCCTGCATTAACTTCCCCGCTCGATATCAGGTCTCATCTGCTTCTTTGACTGAGTTTATATAATGCCATTCATCTCGCAGCTTGGTCGGACTAAATTAATCACAAAATCTCGAGATTCTAAGTATTAACAAACCCCGAAACAAGTATAAAAGCAATCAATGTTGAATGTCCTCCCGTCTATGACATGAGAAGAGTCTTTTGCAAGATACGTATATTCCGTTCACACCTCTGGGTCCTCTACGCCCTTGAGCGTGGCTCGTTCGAATTGTTCTTTTAATGGTTAACAAAAATGCTAAGACCACCCGCCTGTGTGGCGCTGCTGGAGAGCGCACTCTTCCTCTCGCAAAAAGTTGAGTGTTCGAATCCCGGGCGCCGCAGGGTGACTTAACCGGTGGCACGTGTGTGGTGGCTAGCACGTGTCGCCCCCAGGGTTTACTCCCCGGCTGTCGGCCGTGCGGGGGTTCCCTGAGTTACCAAAAAAAAAAAAATTGCTAAGAATAGAAATCCTTCTAGTGCAATACCAAAAAACAAAAAAAAAAAATCCTTCTAGTGACAGGTTTAAGAACTTCAACCATGTGCTTATAAAAAGCAACAGAGTTTAGGAATCCGTTCACTAAATACGGGACAAAACACGTGTTTTTTTTTCCTATGTAAAGTCTCGAGTGTCCACATGTCCAAACACTCCCGGAGGTTTGTACGTCGACCACGACCACGATCTCAAACTCCCAAAACCCTATACATGGGGTCGCGTATCTAATGGGGAAAAATGTAGTAGTTTTTGAATGAATTGAACACGAGATTTCTGATAGTGAGTGGCTTCAGATTTGTCGGGATGTCACCGCGACAAAAACAACCTTTGCCACATGGTTTCAACAGTCTGGCAACCACCGTTGTGGTAGTTGCCAATAATACGGGGGGGGGTGTCAATTTAGTCTTAAATATTTTATTTGGTCAATTGAATTATCCACGTCAGCGCCGACTATGCCAGGCAGGATAGTCGGTGTCAACTTCAGCGATTTCCAATCAAAATTGACCGGATGGACTTCACTGACAAATTGTCAAGAGATTTATGATTAAATTGGCAAAATTAAAAAATTTATAACTGGATTGACACGAGTGCAATAGGTTCCGAAATTTCTTGGTAATTTCCCCAAGTCTGTCCACCACAACAATAGAGGTCCGCCAGCAATCGCCCGCGTTTAATTGATTTTTTCTCCAATCTTTATTTTGGGTATTTTCAATTTCTGAGTTGCTTATTTGATAAGAATATGTCTGTATCCGATTTTCATATCCAGTTGATCTTTAGGAACGACTGGATATTATGATACTTTTCAATATCTCTTATCTATTCTCATCCTACTCTATCCTAATCCTCGTCCTCGCGATCAAATACAGCCTTAGGGTTATAATGCGGAATGGCTGGTTAACAAAGAAGGGCTTTTGATCAAGCCCAGGATTTTGAGCATCACTACAAGGAAAGAAAAAGAAACGTATGTGGGAACTTGATGGTCCTCCTGTCTCTCCGTCAAATCTCTTCCAAGACCTGAACGCAAGTCTGAGAAAACTCCAAAGCTTTCCTTTGAAGCGAAGCAAGCATGAGGCCTCGTGCTTGCCCAGCATTGCATCATAGCACGAGAGTGGTGGGGTATTCAAAAGGACAAGCATGTTGGGATCAATAAAGTAGTAGCATAAAGGGGAAAAAAAAAACAAGACATCTTTTGATCTTCCATTGGACTTTAGTCCATGAATGCAGTGCGATGTCTTTCATTCTATATTCTTTCAAGGCATGTGCCCCTCACACCGAAAGTGCGTAGACTGGAACCGGTTAGGTCAACTAGGTTGAATTTCTCGATTGGGACTTGGACAAATCGATCTTTTTGAACCCAGCGAATTTTCAACTGATTCGAGGACAAGATCCATCGTCACGTGGTCTATGAGCCCATTTGGTTCAACTTTGCAAATAAGACCTGGGGGAATGAAAATATCTTTAGGTTAAAGCCCCTTGGGGAAATACAAATGTCATTTGGTAAAAAATTCTTTGTGAAGCTACTTTGACCCAAATAGTATTTGGCTATTTTTTTTTTTTGTAAAGGGCTTTGGAACCCTTTTTTTATTAAAAAAAAAATTTACCCTTTACCGAAGCCAGCGAAGGGCTACGGTCGCCAGCAAGCTAGATCTAGCGCTGGCGAGCTAGATTTGGAGCCGGCGGCCGTTGCTTGAGGTCGAGCAACGAGGCCTGAGGTCGCGCGACCTAGGTGCCGTTGGCCTGGGTTGCGCGACTCCAGGCGGCCGTCGGCGCTTGAGCGGTCGCGCGACTCCAGGCAGCCGTCGCCTAAGTCAAGCGACCTCGCCGACCCCTGCCAGCCCTTCTCCGGCCAAATCCAATGTTGTTGGCTGCCCTTTCGCGAAGAAGATAAACAGTAACAACAAGGTCAAAATCGGAATATTAAAAAATAAGTGAAGATAGTTTGAGAAGAAAAAAATTAGGTTCAGCATTTCCAATGCTGACTTTCGACCGAAAGCCCATTACGAATGCTTGCAAAACGCCTTAACATTTTCCCAAGAGGCTTTCGGCCCGAGAAAGCTGAACCAAACGGGACCTATACGGTGAATTGGGTCCACACAAGAAATTTCCGTAAGAAAAAGTCCGGGCCAATTTTAATATATTCAAAAGAGTCTTGTTAATAAGTGGGTTCGGGACACTCATTCATCACACTTAGTAAGAAAATATCATATTTTTTAATATGCCGATTGACACATGACACGAGAAAAACGGTGCATTCTCATTATTGAAATGGATGTTAGCCGTGTTTGGTTGTAGCCTTGTAGGTGGTTTTCGGGAAGTCGGTCATAAGCTGCATAGACTCTTGGGTACTTTGCCATTAATTTTCGTGACCGCAGAGACGTCACTGAGATTTACATCTTCAAGATGAGATCGAGTGAGCCTACAAGAAGGCTAGCCAAGCAGGCTGGATCAAGAAAGATAGAACTCACTCGAATCCCACTCACTTGCATTTCAAGCAAAGACGCTCGCCGACGAGCCTGAGAACCCTTCGTTCAATCTCGCCCTTGACAAAGAAAAACGAATTGATGTTCTATGCTGGAACAAGCTTGGACTAACTGGGCCTAGCTCGATGGGCCTAGACTAAAAAGGAAACAGCTTGCTCAAGCCCGTTCATTGGCATTTTGGCCCCTGGCACGTGACCGAGCCCGTCGTCGCTAACGCGTCACTCGGTCCGTGCGGCAACGGATGCAATCTTTCAGGCGACGAGACTTCCGACCATGTCGCTCGCTCTCTCGTGCGCGTTTCCTATCCCCTTTTCTCTCGTGTTCCGATTTGTAGACGTAACACGCCCCCATTTTAATTCAACTATCTAGTCCCTCAAGCGAGACATGCATATCGCTTCAGTACAACATTTGGTTTCAGTCTGCCACGATCTTATCAAGAGAACCGCTTTAGCTCTCAATCAGTTTGTGCATGGGAGGCCAATCTCGCCTTTAGATATCTTCCGAGATAAAATGATATTCACTCCACTCCAAATTCTTAGCACAAATATCTAAAGCAACTCTCACAAACCAATTATATCACCCGTTCTTGGTCATTCACTCTTCACCTCAATGTCACAAAGCTCCACTCTTTAGTCCACAAGAGTATCAGAGAATTCGGACCGTGACACTAGCATGTACATTGCAGTTGTTCGTGCATGCACACCCCGCATGCACTGATGCGTATAGCCCTTGCATCGGCCCGTACCAAGCTCGTGACGCCTAAATGACTCGGCTCGTGATGCCATGCTGCTTCGTCAGCAGAAAAGGGCGAAAAGGATCCTACTTGCGTCCGATAACAAATCATCCCTCACCACGTGGCTCAAATCAGACAGGCTGTACTTTCCCTCTGCCACGTCACCTTCCCGGGGGTTAGAACTCCGTAGAAGCGCATCAATGTTCTTTTCTTTTTTAGCGGACGACCGATTTCAAGCTTCAAAGCAAAGTCCAAGGCTTCAAAACAAAACCTTTGACTTTTGTTCCGGGGCAACCTCCGAAGAGACGAAACCGATCGTACCATCGTCCACCTCGATCCTCTTCGTCTTCCCCACCACCGTCGCAATGATCCGATCGCATGCGCTCCCGCTTCTGATCCTGTCGTCCGTCCTGGCCACATGCCGATCGGTCCGGTTCGACCTGCAGTCGGGCCACACCAAGTGCATCTCCGAGGACATCAAGAGCAATTCCATGACCGTCGGCAAGTACAGCGTCGTCAACCCCAGCGAAGGCCAGCCCATGCCCGAGTCCCACAAGCTCACCGTCAGGGTAAAAAGCTCGAACCTTTCGTCGACTTTCCCGTCCGATTTGCATGCTCGATCGCCGTCGCGAATTCGGGTTATTTGGTTTTGGGTTTGTATGGGCATGGGGGTCCTGATTGAATTTTTTTTTTTCTTTCTTTGGCGCAGGTGACTTCGACGTATGGGAACAATTATCACTACGCGGACCACGTGGAGTCGGGTCAGTTCGCGTTCACGGCCGCGGAGGCTGGGGATTACATGGCCTGCTTCTGGACCCCGGATCACCGGCCACCGACCACGGTGACCGTTGAGTTTGATTGGAGGACTGGTGTGGCTGCTAAGGATTGGGGCAGTGTTGCCAAGAAAGGCCAAGTTGATGTGAGTTTACTCCTCAGATCTTTTCGTGTGCGATTTCAAGAAGATGCTGCTATTGGGCAATGTTGAGTTTGGCTTTTTGGGGCCCTTCAATGCTTACTTTATATTTCGCTGTTAAATTTGATGGAATGGGGAAAGTAATGGCTTGGTCGAGGTAATGTCTAGTTTCGGGGGGAAGGGAGGGTGGGGAGTGGGGTGTCTAATGTGTTCTGGAGTCAGAGGAATCGATGAAGTTAACCGTGAGTTTGTGGGAGTAGTTGAGTGCCTTAATTCCAATTCCTCTGTTTAAAGTAGCACCGGGGGAATGGGGCACACTGTGTACCTTGTCAAACGAGACCCATTTCTTCAACATAGCTCAGTGGCTGTACATTATGAGCACCGAAGATTTATGTGATTCTAGGTGTTGTTATCTTGCAAAAGTTTCTTGCGCTTATACTTTTCTCCGAGAAAGTTTCTTTCTGTGGGAAGAGATAATGTCCATACTTACAATTGTGTGTCAGCTTGCTTGTCCTGATTGATTTACATATGCTCTGAAGCTAAGAAGAAGCGAGTTGTGGCCTATGGGGGAATGCAAACCATTTGTCATTTGGGATGAAGTAGTGTTTTTCAGCTTATAAGGTTTTGTGGAGCCTGGAGATTAGGTTTCAGGTCAATCAGATGCTCTATGATTTTAGATTTTTCAAATCCTTTGTCATCAAACCACTGGCTCTAGGTTGCACTAGAAGCATGATTAGACGATTCAGAAGTTGTAGCTTCACGCAAGATCTTGGACTTGGTGGAGTTTGATCTGTTTTTTTTTTTTGTAGGGAAATGCAGCAAGAATAACAGTTTAGACTTTAGACGTGTCCCTCAAAGTTTTTGACAAGAACTAGGGAACGATTGTGGGAGTTTGGAGATGCAAAATTGCTTTGGACTTTTCGTATTCTATGATTTAAACTACTCTACAGGATACAATCGAATTTTAAGTTGATGGAAGAAGATATAAGACTTGAACACAGAGCAAGCAAACTCTTTCTGAAGGTCGCTGGACCGTTCTAAATTGATAGCATAAGGATCATGAAGTAATCTGAAATAAATGCATTGAAAGAGAAGCCAGCTGCTTCTAACCGACTGAACTTGAACTTTGCATCCTTACCTCTTTCAAGAAGCAATGATAACAAATGGTATGGGTTTAGGGTGAAAATGGTAGGTGAATGTGTTGCAAATACCTTAATCACTGTTGTTGAAGTGCTGAATTGGTTGAAGTGCTGAATAGGGATGGGGATTTGAATGGCTATCGATGTTAGTCTTAATAAGGGAAAAGCAAGAGTCTTATGTCTATTGGAGGAACATATTTCCTTTTATCTAGAAACAGATTCCGCATTGAAACACCTCCTATCAACCTGCACCACATAAGAATGTTCTATTGACATTGTGTTAGATTCATTTTTTCTACCATGCCTCAAGCAGGAAATTGCCAATTCTTCTTTTGTCTTTACCCTTCAACAAGAATATTTAACAATTTCAAAGAAACCATTTGTTAGGGTTATCATCAGGCCATTGAATTGACTTACGATATTGTACTTCTAGCTTAAACACTTTTTAAATTTGTGTGTGTGGAAAAGAGCCAACAACGATAATTATTGCCTTGTTCCGGCAGATGAGGAAAATACTGGCATTAAGATTGATAAAAAAAATGAACACTAACATCTGTGCGTATGTGAGGATTACCGTTGAAAGAACTGCCAAAAAGTCCTTGAGCACAACTCATATCCTTCCTTCTGCATCATGTTTTGTTTTGCCTGTCATTCTGCAGTAATTTAATCCTCTGAAAGTCTCAAAATAGTGTGGGAATTCTTCCTGAATGGAGACCATTTCATTATCTTCAAATTATCCATGGTCCCATCTTTTTTTCTTCTTTCCTTATTGACTTAAAAATTACGTAGGCGGGTTTAACGCTCAAAGTTTTTTAACGTGGATGATGCCATCTGAGTAGTAAATATATGGAGGAGGTAGAAAGCTAAATAATTGGGCATTGAAGAACAGATTTGTTGTGGTATATAACTTTTTTCGGTCAAATGGATTAAATAGCAAGAGGAGAGTGTTTAATTATGATTTGGGCCTGGGCAACTGTTTACCAAAAACACAGGTCTCCCATTTTGGGAATGTACAGTGCCAAAGTCACTGAATGGGTATAACTATCCTTGGGTTGGACGAATTATGCGAAGAGGATCGCTTAACTGTAGTAAGAGCTCCGAAATGCGTTGAGGCACAGGTGTCCACCCCATAGAAACTGTCTACCCTGTGTGTGATAATTTGGTCAATATAGTGAGGATCCCCGCTTATGCTTTATTTCTTCATAAAGGCACCTTACAATTTTTTCCCGCTGAAATACAAGGGCACGTTTTCAAGGCATAAGATATTTTAGAAGGATAGTGTCTCCTAGGTTGCAATGGACTATTCGTTGGGATTCAAGAGGCCTTTTGTTTTTGCTTAAAGAATGGACAATAATATGGTACCAGAAGGAATTAGCGAGGTTGAGGAAAATTAATGGCCTAAAAAAGGAGGTTGAGGAAAAGATTCTTTTTATCTGATATGAATAGTTATCATCTGTTCTTGTTCACACGCTATCTATTTTTGGCAATCATTGTCCATTTCTTCATCTTAAGTTATCTGTTGACATACTCACCTAAGTTATGCCCATCCTTTTTTTTTTATCTTTTGAATATCAGCTCATGGAACTGGAGCTGAAGAAGTTGCATGACACGATCAACTCCATTCATGAGGAGATGTTCTATCTTCGCGACAGGTGTGATACCTCCGTTTGCACTTCCATTTTTAAAGTAGTATCTAAGATTTCTTTTGGAGTCCCCTTGTGAAGATGTCGACTTTATGTTTCTTTACTTTATTCTTCAGGGAAGAAGAAATGCAGGAACTTAACCGAGCGACCAACTCCAAAATGGCGTGGCTGAGTTGCCTTTCGCTTTTTGTTTGCTTGTCTGTGGCTGGCTTGCAACTATGGCACCTCAAGACATTTTTCGAGAAAAAGAAGCTCATCTAGATATATCAGGACAACATTTCACAATTTTTGTTTTCTGTATCATACGTGGAGTTAGACAGTATGTTGAAAAGGACCAAATAGGAGATTACATTGCTGGATAACTTAAGTCGGCATCATACCACACAAAGGGACTTCATTGCGCCATCCTGTACAATTGCATTCTCAGGTCGGTCTTGATGAAAATATTGCCTCTTGTCCTTCAGTTTGCTGGAATGAACTTTGCTGAACAAGAAGGCCTCCTTAGCCTTTAAGTTTCATGGCACCTAGTTCTTTTTTCCTGGTCAGACTTTAGTTTTGCTACTACTATCATTATAGTGTCGCCAAGCAGGAGCCAAGGGCTGCTGTATCTAGCAACTAAGCCGTGGTGAGGAGTGACATACTTCCTGCGCATTGAATAAATTAAGCACTATTCGGTTGGATACAGTCAAAATCCAATGATCTTGGAGACTACTATAACATTAATGTTTGCTTGGTTGGTGCACTTCAGTTCGGATGTTGAGAGAGAGAATTTGTGAATGCATGATAATACCCGTATCTACAAATCATGTTTTTGTGCTTAGCCCGGTATAAGTGTTAGCTAAACAGCAAGAATTCTAGCATGTGGTGAGGCTGAAGCCGTCCCTGTTCTCTTTTTGATGCTAGCTATCAGTTTTTTTTTTCTTTTTTGCTAAAAGATGCTAGCTATCAGTTGATGTAACTATCAGAAGCACTCGTTCACTGTTGTTATCTCCTTGTTGCATCTGTGAGAATGCAGACCAAAGCATTGTGAGATTCCCAATTCTCCTCCAGCTCGACCCTCTTCCTCGCCTCCACTTCTTGTCATTCTGACAAGCTTAGTTCAACATATGCTTAGAGCTCGACATTGCTGCTGAGGTTTCCTCTCTCCACGGGGGAACTATTTCTCGAGAATTCTTAGTTCAGAATCCTGTACATGGGAAAGTGCCGACTCGTGCACTTTGCTCGCCTTCTGCAACAGGGAACGGGATAGAGGCAGGCGTTATTGCCATCAGCCATATCTAACTCAGGAAGATCATTCAAGTGAAAAGCTTAGGATTTTGTCCCAAAATAGAATAAGTGATTGGCTTCGGATCATGGTCTCTGCAAGTTTCAAATGTTTACGAATCACCAATCCGGAATAAGCTGAAAATATTGATACATCTCAGGAAATGGAACTATTTGCATTTATCTTTTCTTCTCTTTTTGCTCTTAACTCCATGCGGTGTCAGTTGAGATTATGGATTGTCCTTATAGACTCTAGACTGAGCCTAATGGATGATGATTCTCACTGTCGCATTGCAAAGAGGACAAACCATTGAAAAAGGCACCCAAACGTCGGCGAGAAGAAGCACTGGGGGAAGTGACTCCTGACACTCTAAATGACATAACCTTAAACAAATCATTCGAATGTCAAGTGCAGCAAAATCCGTGTCCTAATCTTGAGATCGGGTCACAATGCAAATCATAAATACTATTTTATCTGCGAATCATTATCAATGTCTGCCTCTCCAATTCTTATTAAAATGTCTTTGAATTTAATAATGGTGGGGGAAAAAAACAATCAAGAAACATCCTACTCCATTGGGTCTGATGGCATCCAGAATCTCTTTCAGGCCGCCTCAGCATGCACTTATTTTCCTTTCCTCCAGCATAAGAACAAACCAGGATTTGCGTTCTCTTCAGTCTAGATTTTCATTATAGTTTTCCTCCGTCTTCCTTGATTTTGTCTTAATATTTTATATAAACAAACGCAACCAGATTGCGGTCACCTAGACTATCTTGTTAGATAGTGGGTTCCGAATGAATTCACCCACTTGTCTCTCAAGTGAGAGAGCTAAGTGGGAATTCATGTCATGAGTAGGGAGTATGACATCACATTGCTTTACTAAACAAGAATCATTCTATGGACAATAGGGAGTCAATTTTGAGGCGGTAGACCAATAAGCAGAGAGTTTGGTCAGGAGGATCATCTGTTCAGCTAGAGAAACGAAGCTTTAGTCAACCCGTGAAGAAGCAAAGGGATGGCTTCTTCAATTATAATAGTAAACTGCTACATAGAAACCCCTTGAAAAGAGCCATCCTCTGTAGAGGCTTCTTTTCATTTATCATTTCATCAGACGCACGCTGTGTGTTATTTTGCTAGTGCAAACGAAAAAGAGTGTCCAAAGAGTGGCCACAACACTTTGACTACGTCATTGTCATGAAACCGAAAGCTACTAAATAGCCATAAGTTACTTGTCACTCGCTCATTCGATAAAGACCAATTACAAAGCCTAGAGTTAAATAAAGGCCTAATCTTTCTTGCGTACACCAGCTTAAGGGCTATGTGTTTAACTGAAACTTCACTTGCTAATCAAACGAAGGGTAATTACTTCCTCCATCTTTTACTTTTACTACATGAAATTTTCAGTTAATAATTAAACGTGGCACATTTCTTTTGCTAAATAGGCAGACAACAGTATCCCTCTTATTCCCTCACCAGCACACATCAAATCATCCTAAGGGGAAAAAACCAGACTCATATCTCGGCGCAAAACTCTGCTTTTTAGCCTTTCTATTCAGCATGATAATGAGTGCAATTGAAGAAAGAGCAAGGCTAGCAAAGATATAGACCCCATCATCAAGATTCAAAGATATGGGATATCTCTTAAACCCCTCATTTTGCCCAAATGCATTGAAGGCCAAACAACATTTTTTTTTTTACAGCTGCCTAACTTTTTAAGTCTTTAATGATAATGGCTATCAAAACCGAGGGTAAATTAATAGCCTCGCTCGAGCCACGTGTGAAGCTGCTGGCGAGTCTTGGAAACTGTTTAGGTCTTGCTCAATCCGATGTGCTGGTCCCATACGCTGAAATGTTCATATGGAGAAAAAGGGTAAGTGGACCTCTATCTGATGGGGTATGGTGTGGTCCAAATCCTAACTATGAGTTGAATAGTTTTTCCCCGGCTCCACTCTTAATCATATTGTCCCGTCACCGCATTCCAACGACATGCTTCATATCCGATGGAGATTTTTTAAAAAAGGACCCATTTTCTCAGCCACTTCCACTAATCATGTTGTAGAAAGATGAGGCAAAAGGGAGGCTAAAAGTACTAGGGGATAGCCCAATGTTAGAGAGAGAGAAATGTTATTTTCATTAGAATTACCTGAGTGAGAAAAAGAGTGGGTCAAAGACGGGTCTAGTGAGCTAAAAAAGTTAAAATAAAATAATCACGAGGAATTAACAGAGAGTGAATGAGGTAAGTCTATGTCATCCTTAGCTTAGGGAGGACCCCATCACCCTATAGTTTCAGATAACTTCGTGGATATGGGAATAGAAGTTTCTTGTTCCTGATGCCTCTATTGTCTTCTTTATAGTCAAACTACAGGCATGAAGGTCTTCTGTAAAACTCAATTAGGACAGGTCGGAAAATTGGCTTTTGTCATTTAACCACATTCAATGATCTTTCCAATCCCACCAACGGAGGTCCAAATGGATCCACTCAAGAGTCCTTAGTTCCATGAATCAAGGAATGAGGCCAAGCGAGATTAGGACAAGATGGGATCTTTATTACTCTCTTTCACATTCACAAGAAATGGAGCTTAGAATGAATGTGATGGACTGCAGGCTGAGCACATGGAGGTCCAATCCCTATCAGGCAAATATGATTCCACAGATTGCTGATATCGGGCTTTAAGGCCTTTTCTGTACTTTTCCCCTTACCCCCACCTCATTGACTTCAATAAAGTTCTCCCTTTTCTTTTGGTTTTCTTTTTGGACCCCAAGGAACAAAAACTAAAGGCTATACGCTAGCCTCAAATGTTTGACATCTAGTCAGTGGCTCAATAGAGTGAAATCAGCATGTCCATTCCATATTTACGAACGAAATCAGTAGCAATGTGAAAATCGTGCGAGAACTTGTAGCTTTCAGCTTTCCATTGAACTGCTGTGGCATGCTTACCTTCTCCTGATCGACGCAGCCTTATTACTCATACACGATGAGTCTACTACGAAGTAACATTTTTCACATAATATACTCATTTTACAAACATGGAGACACCCAGTTAGAAACATCACGTCTGTGGAGCTCTTGCCACAGGCTCATTCGCACCTTTCCTTTTGATAGGAAACAAAGAAGGTCAGAGACCTCAGAAACTGAAAGCCCATCTCTCTCTCTCTCTCTCTCTCTCTCTCTCTCTTCCTTATTATATGCCGCATCTGCTGCTTCTACTTACTCTCACCACCCTGTCTCGCTGTGAATCGAGCCATGGAAGAGACTGAGGAGTCGAAGGCCAACAAGAAATGCAGCACCAAGACAAGAACTTTCAGGAGCCCCATCAAGAACCATCATCGCCAGCATCAACCTCAGCTGTTGCAACACTCCAACAACAATCAGCTAGGGCTCGGAGGACTGTGTAGCCAGACCCAGTGCTACCAGGCCTATTATCCTGCTCTGCTTCCTCTGCCTCCTCCTCCAACACTTCCCCGACTCGCTTCACCTCCATCGCTCTCTCACGGTCGGACTCGCAACCAGTGCTTGAGTTCGAAGGCCCTGGTGAAGAAGTCCTCTCACAAGCTCAATAGCCCTCCTCCTCTCGCCACATCCTCCGAGACCCAGGTCCCAAATGCCACAGTCACTCCAGGTAATGCCAAAAGAAAGAAACGAATCGGAGAACCACTTGTTTCATTTGCTTTTCTTGCTTTCTTGTTTCCCTCTTCTTGCATGTGTGCTCTGCTTTCAATCTTCACTCTGCCCACATGTTAATGCAAGTTGGTTTCTTTTTATTCACCCTTCACAAGTCCTATTCCTGCTTTCTTTGTGTTCCAAAAGGCTCTTGTGGGTACTGTTGACGCTATAAGCAAGGCATGTGCTTGCGGGAAAAAAAAAAAAGGTCTAGTATCCGAAAGTTGAGCAGCTCGTCATAGGAGTCTTTAACATTATCGTGGTTAACGATTGGTTATTTCCCAATGACCGACAGAGACTTAGAATCTTGTTCTTGGTTATGAAAGTGAAGAAGATGAGGGTTATATAACTCACTCTGTTGTCTTTCCGAATACTTGAAACAGCTCCACGGAGGGTTCAGAGGCAAACCAGTGTGAAGGAAGAAAATGGAAGAAGGCTGTTTGGTGTCGTACCACCAGAAGCAATGGCCGTTGCCAGGAGACCAGATTCTGGCGGCGTGGAGGGCCCGGTTATCCCGCTTCTTGCCAACCATTTTCTAGTCCAATTCGACCCGGCCCAGAGAATTTACCATTACAATGTTGAAATCACCCCGAGCGCCCCCAGGGAAGTTGCCCGGGCAATCAAGCGACAGCTAGTGAAAGACAACTCGGCGATATTTTCCGGGGCTCTTCCCGCGTTTGACGGCCGGAAGAATCTCTTCAGCCCGGTGGAGTTTCAGAACGACAGGCTCGACTTCTTCATTAGCCTGCCGATCCCCACGAGCAAGTTGATGCTGCCATCTAGTAATTCGGAGGTCAAGCATCACAAGCACAAGCTGTTCCGGATAAACATGAAGCTCGTGTCGAAGCTCGAAGGGAAGGGACTGGGCAGCTACTTGAGCAAGGAGGAAGATGATTGGGTTCCGCTTCCTCAGGACTACCTCCATGCCCTGGACGTCGTGCTGCGGGAGAGCCCCGCGGAGAAGTGCATACCCGTGGGCCGTTCGATGTACTCGAGCTCCACGGGTGGGAGCAAAGGAATCGGGGGAGGAGCTGTTGGAGTTAGGGGTTTCTTCCAGAGCCTACGGCCGACGCAGCAAGGTCTTTCGCTCAACGTCGATTTCTCGGTGACGGCATTCCATGAAAGCATCGGAGTGATCCCCTATTTGGAGAGGCGACTCGAGTTCCTTAGAGACCTTTCGCAGAGGAAGACCAGGAGCCTGAATGTCGAAGAAAGGACGGAAGTCGAGAAGGCTTTGAAGAACATCCGAATCTTCGTTTGCCATAGAGAAACTGTCCAGCGATACCGGGTCTATGGCTTGACCGAGGCGCCGACCGAAAATCTCTGGTTTGTGGACCGGGATGGCCAAAATCTAAAGCTGGTGAGTTACTTCAAGAACCACTATAACTATGACATAGAGTTCAGGTACTTGCCGTGCTTACAGACGAGTAGAAGCAAACCATGTTATCTTCCAATGGAGCTATGCGTGATTTGTGAGGGCCAGAAATTTCTCGGGAAACTTTCTGACGATCAGACCGCGAGAATACTCAAAATGGGTTGCCAAAGGCCAAAAGAGCGAAAAGCGATCATCGATGGAGTGATGCGAGGACCGGTTGGACCAACGAGGTAACTTTTGAGATCTGTGGAGTGAACTGGTATTAATCTGTTTTTACCTGAAGGTTCTATTCAACTGATTTTTAATCTCCATCGACTTGTGACTCCATTGCTGAATCATCGAGTTGTCTGCTTTAACTGACAGCGGCAACCAGGAAAGAGAGTTCAATCTCCAGATTTCAAGAGAGATGACGCGAGTAAACGGTCGAATCTTGCAACCTCCAAAACTAAAACTAGGTGAGCATGGCCATATAAGGAATCTAGTTCCGTCTCGCCCAGACCGGCAGTGGAACCTCGTGGATAGCCATGTTTATGAAGGAATTCGGATAGAAAAATGGGGCCTCATAAGCTTCGGAGGAACCCCGGATCAGAAGTCGAGCATTTCGAAATTCATCGCGCAGCTCTCCCAAAGATGCGAACAGCTAGGCATATATCTCAGCAAGAATCCGGTTATTACCCCTCAATTCGAACCGAATCACGTGCTCAACAATGTTGTTCTTTTGGAGTCTAAGCTCAAGAAGATCCACAAAGCTGCAGATAACAACCTCCGACTACTCCTGTGCGTAATGGAGAAGAAACACAGAGGATATGCAGATCTAAAGCGAATTGCCGAGACAACCATCGGAGTTGTAAGCCAGTGTTGCTTGTACTCCAACCTCGGAAAGTTGAATTCCCAGTTTCTCGCAAACTTGGCACTCAAGATAAATGCCAAAGTAGGAGGATGCACGGTCGCTCTTTACAATTCATTACCCTCCCAAATCCCGCGGCTTCTCCATCAAAATGAGCCGGTGATATTTATGGGTGCCGACGTGACTCATCCGCACCCGCTTGATGACTTCAGCCCGTCTGTTGCCGCTGTCGTTGGCAGCATGAACTGGCCAGCTGCCAACAAGTATGCATCGAGAATGAGGTCTCAAACCCATAGACAAGAAATAATCCAGGATCTCGGGGACATGGTGGGGGAATTACTAGATGATTTCCAACTCGAAGTCAAGGAGCTGCCCAGTCGAATAATCTTCTTTAGAGACGGTGTGAGCGAGACTCAGTTCCACAAAGTCCTTAAAGAGGAGTTGCTCGCCATTAAGAAAGGCTGTGCGCGATTCCCTGGCTATAGGCCAACCGTAACATTCGTAGTCGTTCAGAAGAGGCACCACACGAGGCTATTTCCCGATGATGCCGATTTTTCCTCTACCAGAAACCAGGTCTTTGACGAGAACATCCCACCTGGGACAGTGGTGGACACTGTAATAACTCATCCGAGGGAGTTTGATTTCTACTTGTGTAGCCACTCGGGAGTAAAAGGAACTAGCCGGCCGGCTCACTACCACGTACTGGTGGACGAGAACGAGTTCACGTCCGACGAGCTCCAGAAGCTGGTCTATAATCTGTGCTACACGTTCGTGAGGTGCACTAAGCCGGTGTCGTTGGTGCCCCCAGCTTACTACGCCCATTTGGCTGCCTACAGAGGCAGGCTATACCTCGAGCGATCAGAGACGTTGGGCCACATGAGAAACGGGTCTCAACTGTCCCGAGCCGCCCCTCCGAAAGCCACGCCTCTACCGAAACTCAGCGAAAATGTGAAGAAACTTATGTTCTACTGCTGATCATTGATTTCCTCCCTCCTAGGACAGTTATTTCCGGGGCTCCCGAATAATCAGTTAGTTGTCCGGATTAACGGAGAGATGTCCAAATGTAGCACCAGCTTATCACCCTAGATCATAGCTTCTTCTTTTTTATTTCAAGTGGGCTAATCAAGTCATTTCAAGGTTAATGTCGGGGTAGCTCAGATCAATGCAACATGTAGAAAGTCCTTAATCCAAGAAAATCAAGTTGCTGCTCATGCTCACAAAGTCACAAGTGCCTTGAATGCTAGCGAATCTCCTCTCATGTATCTTGCTACATCACAAGGCTTCCCTTTTCTTTCGCCTTTTCTTTTCTTCTTCTGCTGACTCAATTCTCTAAACACCGAGCATTCTAACGAATGTGGCTGAAAAGTGAAGTGGTTATGGCCGTTGATGGGGCCATTAATGACCGGAGGGTGGCCCTAGTAGGAGTTAAATCTCCAACTGAGAACTGACTTCTTTTTCTTGAGTTTCATTCTGCTGTACGCAACCATTCCTCTTGTCACGAAAACCAAGATTGACTCTTGGGTTCGGCCGGGTTAATCGTTTCTCCACGCTCAAACTTCGCAGTCCATCGATTTCACTCGCGGCGAGTTGCTGTCCATGAACTTAATATCAGCTCTTACTTCATTTATTGCTCTCTGTTGACGACGACGACAGGTCGTGATGTTGAAGTTGTAATGCCGCGCAAAAGCTTTTAGAAAGAAAGAATGGAGGTCCCAAGAAATTCTCTGCGCGCGTAAACATGGTACGAAGCTACGAGCCAGGCAAAGGAGGGACTATAAAGATGGAAAAGGCAGCAGAGAGAGAGAGAGAGAGAGAGATGAGAGTGCGAGTTGTACTGTGACTGAGAAACAAAATTCCTGTGAATCCTTGCATCCAATCCGAAGAAATTCATTAAAATCGATTTGGAATTTTACTTGGCCGCAGGTGATAACACCAAAAGGAAGAATATAAAAACAGAGAAAGGGCACATACGTAGCCGAGTATATAAGACCAAATTTTTCCCATGCATGCAGTGTCAGAGGAATGCAGAGGAGTAAAAAAAAGGGATGGCAGAGAGGGCTCACTGCAGATGGATGGAAATGGAGAGAGAGACACGCCAGAAGAAGACTGAGAGGACATTAAAGAAAAAACCAGCTTTTGAGGGACCCGCCAACCCCAGTGCCAGTACCAGTGGCAGGCTGAGTTAACCTTGCTGAAAGCTGAAGCAGCGACCCCCCCCACTCACTCGGTCCAGTGTGCCAGCCATTCAGTACTGAACGAATATCGAAGTCCACAGTGAGAGAAACAGAAGGAGACAGAAGGAGAGAAAGAGACAAAAGAAAAGCCAAGAAAGACGGGATTTTTGAAGCAAAAGCATAAGTCGGGAAAGGCTCTGACTTCCCGACTTCTCCTTTTGTCTCTTCAGCTCTCTCTCTCTCTCCCCCTCTCTCTCTGCAGCCCACATGTACCATCATCTTTCAAGAAATGAACAGGTAACTCATCAGACATCGCTCCCACAGCCTCTTGAAAACAGCAGATGAACAGGAAAACTCATTCACGCGTTCCAGAACAGAACGGCTTTTGTTAACAAATTTTCGAAATACATTCTAGAGCGATTTTTACATTCTGAAATAAAAATGCATTTGTTAAAAATACTTAATTCCAGAATGCATTCTTGATTTCAGAATGAGTTTTTTGCAAGAAAAAGAGAAGCTACTTTTTGTAGCTTCTTGATTCCGGAATGCATTCTCCCTATTTTCTCACAAATTTTTTTTTTTCAGAAAATGCATAAAAATTGAAAAATTCTAGAAAAGTTCATAAAAATTTTCAAAAAATAAAAAAAAGTCAGATTTCAGGAAAATATGAAATTTGGTGAATTTTTTTTTAAAAAATCAAAAAAATCAAAAATTTCAAAATTTCACAGAATAGCTTAAAACACATGTGGCCACCCACTTTGAGTGAAATTTAAATATTTTGAGGTGTCCAAAAAAATCAAAATTTTCAAAACTTCACAAAATGGCTTAAAATACCTGTGGCCACCTACTTTGAGTGAAATTTAAATTTTTTGAAGTGCCCAAAAAAAATAAAAATTTTCAAAACTTCACAAAATGGCCTAAAATACCTGTGGCCACTCACTTTGAGTGAAATTTAAATTTTTTGAAGTGCCCAAAAAAATAAAAGAAAATAAAAAATTTCAAAACTTCACAGAATGGCTTAAAATATCTGTAGCCACCCACTTTGAGTAAAATTTAAATTTTTTGAGGTGCCCAAAAAAATAAAAAAAATTCAAAACTTCACGAAATGGCTTAGAATACATGTGACCACCCACTTTGAGTGAAATTTAATTTTTTTTAGGTGCCCAAAAAAAAATTAAAAAAATCAAAAATTTCAAAACTTTACAAAATGGCTTATAATACCTGTGACCACCCACTTTGAGTAAAATTTAATTTTTTTTGGTGCAAAAAAAATCAACAAATCAAAACAGATTTTTGTTCCAGAAATCAATTTCTGGAGCAGAATTAGTCATGTTTTACCAAACAGATTTCTCCTCCATAAATCAATTTCTTGCAAGAATTCCAGAAAATCAATTTCTTGCAAGAATTACAGAAATCAATTTCTGGCAAGAATTTGATTTCTGGAGCAGAATAGATACCATTCGCACCCTTCGTCTTCTCGCACATCTTATTGTCTGATGGGAGCAAGGGGATCCTGGAAAAAGTTTTCCTTTTCTTTCATTAGACTTTAGTGACTAATTATAAGCTTCAAAACGTTGATTACAAATCTCACGGGAATAATTAACATGTTGTGTGCAGTAAATTCTGAACTGGCTACTTACCACTGAGGCAAGCACGTTCTGAAGTGAATACATAGTAAATATTACCTTGAGATATACCATGTAGGCATTGGTTCCAAACTAATGAAATATGAGATCTATTTATATGACACGTATTAGCGAGCCGGAAATTTCATAAATCGTTCTAAATTTTAAGAGTTTTGTGGATTCACAAATTCTTATATGCAGACCTAATTGCCATCGCATAGTGTGTTGCGGTGTATTATTGGGAGGATCCTAAATCATTGGGAGACTCTTTTGATTTGGGATGACGACGTGGTGATTATTTGAACTTAGTCGAATTGTTTAATGTCGTCGTTAACGTTTTTTTGGGCAATCAAGTCATCAAACTATGTACTTTTTTGTTCATCTCGGTCTTTTTATTAAGGGTTAATACCACGAAAAATAAAAAAACTGGTACACCTGTAATAATTTTATCCAAAACTATTTTTTTTATCACAAAAAACCCCAAACTGGTACACCTGTAACAAATTTACCCAAAACTAATATTTTGACTACTAAAAACCTCAAACTGGTACATTTATAACCAATTTATCCTCCGTTAGTTTTCCGTTAAATTGAATTAATATCACAAAAAATCACAAACTGGTACACCTGTGACAAATGGAGGGTAAAACATAAAACCGGTACATCAGTTAACTGTCGCATATCATTTAACAAAGCAATTTAACAGTAAAATTTAACGGAAACAAACTGAGGGTAAATTTGCCACAAGAACATTTCTTTTTCTTAAGAATGAAATAAAGGATTATTTTGTTTCACAAGGAATTTTTCATTCTTAATTAAGACATAAAAATCTTTTGAAAATTTTAGGTACTATTGCGTGTAACGTAGGCTTAGCGGTTCTAGAACCATCAATGATTGATGAACCCGCGAAAATTAGCATGGGATAAAATTATCACAAATGTATCAATTTAAAATTTTTCGCGATATTAATTCATTTATTAAAAAGCTTTACAAAGTTACAACATTATCGTTAGATGTCATATCAACACTCTACAGGGCACTCGTAGGGCTAATGTGATGGCACTAGCGGAGCCCCAGTCCATCAATAGACATAATCGCACAAGTGTGCTGGCGCCAGTGGAGCCCAATGCATCAAGAGAAGGGGGGGCAAGGGCCGCAACCCTTGCCTCGCCGCTTGCTGACAAGGGCCATTAAAACCCTGTTGCTAATGTGACCGAGGGCGAGGGTGACAACCTTGGCCTTAGATCTGTCATTTGGTCACGCCCTTACCTCGTTTTGCGGGAGGGGTCAGCGGTCGTCACCACGCACGAAGGGTTTAAGGGATGGCACCTTGCATGCGTATGGCGTGTTTGTGTCGACCCTCAACCCTCCCACGGTCCCACCCCCTCTCTCTCTCTCTCTCTCTCTCATTGTTTGCATTTGTTGGTGGTTAGAGACGGTAGTAACACATTTAGGCTGCGAATGATAATCATTTTATTTTAAAAAATCATTTTTTATCAGAAATTAATTTTTATATTTTCTGTTTCTGGATGAATTTCTGAACAAAAAAATATATTTAATAACGATACAAAATTTCTATTTTCAAAATAAAAATTTATTTGATAACGGCACAAAATTTCTTCCTCTAAGATGGCTGGCGAGTGGACGGCAGGCGGAGGGCAGGGTGGATGGTGGCAGCGAACAGCAGGCGGTGAGGGGAGGTGGCGGCGGACGACAACGCGGCCAGTGCGGAAGATGGCGGTTGGAGGCAGCCAGTGACTAGAGGAGGGCAGCTGCGAGAGGAGGGTGGTCAGCGGCGGCCGACGGGGGGAGGAGGGCAGCGGCAAGAGGAGGGCAATCGGAGGCGGGGGCGGTGGCCAGTGGATGGCAGTGGGAAGTAGGCGGCGGCCGGCGGCGGGAGACGATGGCTGGTAGACGACGGGTGGCGGCCCATGACGACCGGCGGTGGGAGGCGGGCAGCGGCCAAAGGTGGGAGGAGGGTGATCGGCGGCAGGAGACAGTGGGTTGGCGGCGGGAGACGATGGCCGGCGGGGGGAGGCGGCCGGCGGCGGGAGACGGCGAATGGCAGGAGGCGGCGACCGGCAAGTGGGCGGCGAGTGAGTGATCGATTAGTAGCGAGGGCGAGCAATGAAAAAAATTTTATGTTCCAAATTTATTTTTGGAACAAAAATTCATTCCAGAAATAGAATATGAAATTGCGTTACCAAACAGGTTTCTATTTCAAACCTATTTCTGTTCAACAGAATGATTATCATTCGCCGCCTTAATCGTCAAGAGGATTATTGGACCCTCGTAAATGGCTACCCGCACCCCTTTTTATTTTGTTGTTATATAATAACAATTAATCGAGAGAACTCCTAAAGTGACGTTGATGAAGTTGTCAGGTCAACAATTCTATAAGGTTTGTTAATAAGATGACCGCACAAAGGAAAAATCAATATTTATATTGTATGATTGGATAAATTTCAACTGTCTACTTTGATTGACGAAAGCACATACATAGAAAATTTAGGTTCACAATTAATAACGAGTTCATTGTGAAACCGCCTCAACTCGAGAAATTTCACAATCCGGCCTGGCACAAACCCCACGGACTCATGAACACGATCCCCTTTCACTCCATTTTGTACCTGTGGTCGGAGTATAATCATAGAAACGGACTTCACCTGCGTACCACGACCCAAGAGCCCCGTGCTTTTGCATAAGAAACGGCGGAGCCGACGCACCGGGGATGGCTTTGTTCCTCGCACCCCTCACATGTCTTGATGCAAATGTCCATTTCATCTTCGTGTACGCATTCCCAACAATCAAAGATATCAAGTCGGATGAGATCGTTGGGATGTTAAGGACGGAAATGGGGGATGGAATAGGAGTTCTCGTCTCCTCAATTCACCGTCACCAATCCAGACTTCAAATCAAGCCAAAAATCACCTCATCAAAAGTCGGATGGGAATCTGCCTGTCAGAACTTGACCCCACGAATGTTACATCTCGGTCCAACGTTGATTTTTCGCGCATGAGCATATGCTGTTTTTTCACCGTGGGGGGGCTGGCATCAAGAGAAGAGAAGCTCTGCGCGGGTCGCGGTAAAGTGGACACAACAAGGAAACGACAGGGGAAAAAGTAAAACACGAGACAAGGCGAGGGGAGGTCCCCCCGCCCGTGAGCCTTCTGTTAGAAAGGGAAGCGATTACCCAATTTACTATATCTCCGAAAGATCATTCTTACAAAAACATTTTTCAACTCATTAATTTTATTTTTCGCGAAATAAGCGGAGTCGTCCTTCTTGTACTCCACGGATCAGATATATGACTCGGATTAGATATATGATCGAGTCCTATCTTTGTAAACACAGGATCGAGCCTCCTGTACTCAAGAGCTCGCGTTGAAAAACTCGATAGGCGATGTGATGCATTGCGGGCTTATCGCAATACAATGTGACCCAACACTCATCCCACTGTTGTTAAAAAAGTTTCGTGTGGTCTGTTCCTGCATGATCGTGCTTTTTTAGTGGTTCGAGCCGGCATAAGATCCGGATTTGAGATTAGACAGGTTTTTGTTTGTATCCGCTGGTTTTGTTTCTTCTTTGCTCCTGATCCTAATCTTGGATCATGGTCGACAAATGACGACAAAGAAGTAATCATATGTTTCATTTTGCGCTATTGCCTTCCTAATCGGTTTCTAATTCTTTCCCACTCACCCCCGAATCCCAAGCCCCCCCTTGGTCACCAAGCTAAACGCGTCCTACACCGTATTGTGTGACTGCGTATGCCGTAAAAGCAATTACATAAGCGTGGATGGAAGCGATCATGGCATTGGCAAAGTATGAGCGTGGAGATCAAAAGCATACAATTGGGTAGATGAATGTAGAGGTGGGCTGTGATAGGTAATAAGGGTGCATGCGACAGAAATCGAATGGATGAAAATTCTTGGGAGTAGAAATGGCGAAGGTGGAGTTGGAGAGGCCAAGGTGAAGGCGGTAAGGTTCTTGATGGACTTCGGTGGCTTTATGGAGATGGTGAAAGAGTTCCTAATATTAATTCATGCTCATGACTTAAAACATGACATCTCATTTTGCCTTGTTCACCATGGCTTGGCGTGAATTTTTTTCATGTCGGACTCAATTTGTTGCCCAATCCGATAGAAATTTGCGAGAATGAAGTTTGTCGGCAAAGCAGAGCACCTCGGACAAAGGTGGGAAAACCCTATCCCAACACTGAACTTGCCAGACCTTTGAAGATTTTGGTATAGAAATTGAGTTTGTCATATTTCCTAACGTTAGTGAGATACCAAGTGCATTCGGAGCTAACTCACAACGTACTCCAAATAGGTTTATTGGTAAGTTTCTGCTCCTCTCTGTCTCTGTCTCCTCTCTTTCCAGCAAGGAAAAACAAAAGAGATTCCTTGTGTGTGGTGACGGAACCCCCATAGTGATGACCCCTCATATCAACAACATTACAATACATTCCATCCCATCCCTCCCCCACCCCACAATACAAAGCGTCCATCGAGCACGACACCCCATTTTTGGAGCATTCGCCTGTCTCGTCAATCCCCATTCAACCCCTTTTGTTTTTCTCATTTCAGCCATTCTGCATTTACATGGATTTCCACTGTTTTCACCAGTATTTTGTCTGTACAGAGCATCCTAAAAGAATACGCATCGTGCACTGTGTGGGGTGTTGTACTGTCCCAGTGTCCCGTCCTGGCTTTATAGGATTCGCTCGCAGAAACATCCCAAGGCCCAGCTTCCGCATGAAGCCCAGAACCTTTCTGGCCCAAGCGAAAGTCCCACCCGGTGAGTCTATGGGAATGTCATTCTCAATCTTGCCCGAATCAAATGATCATCCTACAAGCTCACACTAATTAAAGCTACAGACATAGTAATTATCAGATCACCATAGCTATTCCATCTATTAAAAGATGTAACCGGGAACAAGCTAGAACAATGCTAAAACTTTAATTTGATGTCTCCTAGAATTGAGAGCCGGATTCCAAGTTCACTCAGATGCTCTTCATCGCGGTAAAGGTAGACAGGCTATAAAAAGGCCAGAGAACGAATATGCTGATGGCTCTAACAAACCTACACTGGAATTTAGAGTGTAGAAGCACAAGGTATTGCTGCTCTAAAGTCTTGATTCTCTGTGGCACCATTTCTTAACCATACATGTACTTTGTACTTGGCTCTAAAGGAAAACTGAAGTAAAGACCATCGACTAGAAAACCCAAGCCCGGAAACATAGTATATTTCACATAAAACATTAGCAGACTGTGTCAGCTGCATTTTTTTTTTCTTTCATCCTCCTCTCATTAGATTGAAGGTTATCCATACAGAATAAGAGTCTTACCTAGACAATTCTAATTTTGCATCAGAATATGGGCTCCTGTAGGGTCGTCTCGGCAGGAAGTTGAAGCAACTCCCTGATTCCCTCACATACCTGCACAATAACCATCTAGCTACTTCACTCCAGCCAAATGAAGTGACAATCATGAGGAGGATTCCAAAAACATTCAATCACTCTAGTCAGCGTCGATCTTGACACTATGTATGGACAAGTCTAAACTTCTAATATCAAGAAGCAAACAAATCGAGTCATCATTGCAACGCATTAGTTTGGAGATAGATGTTCCCCAACCAGGGGAGTCTAGCGTAAGGATGATAAGATCTGCATAACCTAAGAACAGTAAGATAAGTGCCATTTTTATCTTCTTTGGCAAAAAGAAAAGGAAAGGAAGTTTGCAGATACAAGGAACCCTCAGGATTGTCTGGCCAAGAAAAAAAATACTCCTAGCATCGTGTACTGTCCACGTTTATATTCTCTAAGGGTACCAAATTTCAGCTGGAGACGATGTACAAGCATATTCAATTGGTTAAGCAAAAATGCAAAAGCATAAGCAGAAGTTCTCTTAAAACATACCATCTTTATCTGTGCCTTAATTGATGCAATCTGATGAGTGTACTCTTCTATTTGCCTGCAAGATGAAACAGAATGAACGGTGGGAGAAACGAAAAGGAAATAAGCAAGAGAAGTCCCCACCTCCAGTGTGGCAGCTATATCTAGACTTTTGAAATTGCATCAGTTTAAGTGCAAACCTGGCTAACTTCTCTTCCCTTAGTGATATGTAATTCAGAGCTTCGGACCACGTAAACTCCACATGAAATCCTAGTCCAACATCTACAAAAATGCATTGTGTATCTGGCCTGCGAACATGTGGCGTTACTGAATTAAACCTCAAAAGCCACCACAAACGAGGAAATTAAACCAGCACCAGAGGAACAGACTCTACATCCCCTATTTTTACATAACAAGTACTCGGTCTCATGCATTTTTCACCCACTCCAAATACAATTACATGAGAACTAAAGCTAAACAGGTTTAGTGTCCTGGTACTAATTGTAACATAATCGAAGCCTCAGCAACACTTGCACAAGCACCCTCTATTCACAAAACTTATCATCATTCACATAAAAAGAAAAGCACAAGCATATCGAGTATGACTATGCCGTTGCTCAGCAAGCAGTAACTTCACCAAAAAGCATGACAAGATGGCATAGCCCAAGACTTGTCTCCTACCAGCATTACAAGGTAGAATATTTGAAGGTTCCAGGGAATAATCAGAGAGAGAGAGAGAGAGAGAGAGAGGACTTACACCTCCGCCTGCATGTATACCTCAGAACCAAGGTTGACCATTGTCTTAAGACTAGTTACACTATTGTTCTGAAGGTTCTCAATGTTTTTTCGTAAATCTAAGCTAAAAGTAATACAATGTCAAGAAAATCAAAAGACTGTCGAAGCATAAAGTTGCAAATATAAACTGGTGAATGCTCTCGCAACAATCTTAAAAGAAACGAGATAATCAAAATTGTAAGTAAATCAAGTGTGTATGACAATGGATTATTCCAGATGCTAAGTAACAAATCATTCCATATAAGGACAAGGAATCCGTTTACTTAAAAAAGGATACAAAGTCTTCTGTTCTTCGAAAACCTTATCCCTGTATAAAGAAATGGGCCAAGTCAGCCACGCATCAGCAAATAATTGTACTAATCCATCCTGAGCTTACTAACGCATGGCACGCTTCAGCTTGATAATATACCACCATCTTCTGTTAGAAGAGCCCCTCTCCAAACAAATTACTCATAAACCATGACCCGGATAAATCTAATAAAATTAAGCCAAAATCAACCTTTTCAGGAATCTAAAAAGAAGGTATGCAGGGATTCAAGTCCAACTTCCAGATGATATATGACGACTCAACATATACGTCACAGTCATCCGACCTTACAGGAGCCTCAGAAGTGGAGGGAATTCTATACAATCCTGGCTTCGACAGTCAAATGCAGCTACAAATTAATAAGCTGCAGAATGAAAAAAGCGCAAAACAAAAAGAGTCCTGAAAAACCGAATCTTCTATTCATGAAACGAGTGCACAGAAGATTTATATGATATGCAATGCCTAAATGTAGGGGAGTGCTTGTTGTTTGGCCAGAATTAAGAGGTTGAGGATCCAGCTTCTATCGTTTAAGAAAATATTGTCATCAATCTATCGAGTCCTTGGCATCTCACATCACTTTCCCCTCATAGTAGTCATCCCTGACTTTTGGCCTCTGTACTCATAGATAAATGTCTTCTTGAAAATGCTCAACATATTAAAGATACTGTTTTTTCCCCGCACTTATCAAAGAAGAAAGTGTTAAGTAGAATAGAGCAGATACCGCTCGGATATGGCACGAACAAGATCTGGTTTCAGACGTCGATCAACAAACTCCTCAAATTTATGAACTTTATCTTGGCGGTAGTTGTCCATTAGAAACCCGAGGAGAGGGCGGGGAGAAATTCCTGCAAGGAAGAGTGAGGAGATATCAATTTAGCAAAAAAAAAAGAAAACACAGAAATCTCCTTCGAATAGAAAAAAAATAAGGTACGAAGCATTTTAATGACGCCAGTGCTCAGATCTTTTTTATAGCCACTTAGAAATATCATGTGGTGATCTAACTCCCAAGATAGCGCAAAGCCTTTTCCCGTGCTTTTATTTCGAAGTCGTGATTGGTTCTATTCCCCACATTAGATTGAAGGTAAAGTATTTCCCTTTCGGATCAACTTTTGTTGTCCAAGTTGATAAAAGAATTCCACAAAATTCTCACGCCATTTTCGTGTGCTGTGCCTGCTCTAACACGACGAAAAGCATTCAGCGAAAATCTAAAACCCCACCGTCATTTCTCTTCCTTCGAAATTCACTCACAAATTTCGTCCCCAGGAAAGACGCATTTCTCTTCCAACTTTTAGCCCCGAGACAATCAAAACGACAGATATTCAGGAACCTCGTTTGCCCAACAAAATTGCTCTGAACGAACAAACCATGTTCGAACACTAGAACCCCAGTTCACCACTGTCCTGTCTCAAGTTCCCCTCCAAAACGAACAGAACCGGCGACGCTTACAAAGAGGCATCGGCCAACCTTGCATCGGCACACCACATTGACCGGCCCCACAACGCTCTCGCTCGAGCCCAAGACTTCCCGCAGTTCCCAAACGTCACATTCGAAATGCCTACTACGCGCGCGCGCTCGACAAAATCTCCACGACAAGGTCGGCTCGCGACGAAACCCTAAACGCGCCCTGATCGTTAGCAAAAACACGAACGGAAGGAGGGGCTTTCTCGCCGCGCGCGGGAGCCATCGATCGCACTCTCGGGCCAAGAGGAGAGCTTCCAGGCCAGAACGAGAGAGAGAGAGAGAGAGAGAGATTACCGAAGGAGCGAATCGGTGCGCAGAGCAGCGGCGACGTGCTTCGTCGGGTTCGTTCCGGCCGAACGCCGGCAGAGAAAGAGCGCGAAGAGAGAGAGAGAGGGAGAGACTTCAATGCCCTTGGAACTGAATCGCAGGGCATTCTAATCCTTTTTAGGTCGAATTTATTAATTTGACCCTTTCATAAGCTACGTTTAGGATAAAATCGGATTAAAGAGAGATATAACCCGGAGAAAAATATCTATGGGAGTATGGACAAAGGTGAATGAGATTGCAAGCATTTATGATATGAAAGTTACTTTTTTTTCTAGTGACAAATTTCTTAAACTAAAAAAAATTAAAATAATAATTAAATATAAAGTAATGTTTGAATTCTGATATAATAAAAGAAAATTCAAAATAACAAAAGAAATAGTGGACAGCTTTCATTTTTATTTATGTATTTGAATTTCTTTCTGTTCTATAATGTATATACTGTATATATATATACATGCATATTTAGTATCTCTCTCTCTCTCTATATATATATATATATATATATCTTGTAATTTATTATTTAATAATTTTTTTATTAATGAATGATGAAAGGGAATAAAAAAGAGAAATAAAACAAAGAGAGGAAAAGTAATTAAAAAATGAGTAAATAAAAATGAAGTAGAAAAATCCTAATTTTAAATGAATAAAATCAAACTTGAAACGAATCTTTCTAAGTTTCTCCGTCTCCGTCTCCTTCTCCTCTGTGTCTCCAATTCACGTCGAAGTTTCACAACTCTTTCGTAGTTCTTTGTTTACGTCAAAACTTCATGAAAACGGCAAAAGAGTCTACGCTTCTTTTTCTCCGTAACTCTTTGGTTCACGTCAACAGTCCACGAAAGCAAAAAAGTAGTCGAAACTCCTTTTTTTAACGTAGCTTTGTGGTTTATGTTGAAATTTCACGAAAATGGCGAGAGAGTCGAAGTAATATACTTTTCGGAATCGCAAATTTGAATGATCGTGTTTTCATGTTGCCGTAGCTCATTTATATTTCTTATCATTGTTGAACATGTGACTCTGGATGCTGCAATGAGCTAGCTCCTTTTCTATTTAAAATATAGATTATACAATAATTATAAATTAATTGATGGAGGTTATCTTCATTTTTGCATTTGTGATTTCTTCAGCAGCAAATCACGAGAAATTCTTACTATTTCCTTATGTGCATTTTTAAGTTCATTTACATCGATATGCCGTTCATATCAAACAATAGATATTCAATATCCGCTTTATTACTGCGATTTACACAACAGTGGATTAAATATAACAAAATCTATGAATTTCATATCATATGCTATCCAGTCTTATTTCGACTAAAGATCTAGATGACCAAATGCAACTTTTATGTTTATCTTGTGAATATTGCATCAATAGGTACAACGTGCAATCAAGTCTTAAACCTACAATTGGTAACCAGGATAAAAGTTAAGACTATCATATCTTGTGCTTAGTTATTGTCGAGACAGGATTAGACTAAATATAAAAAAAGAATATAACCTGGATAAATTAATCCCGTGTGGAGGCGGGATTAGGTTTCCATGCCACTATTGAAACCATGAATACGTTCATTTGCTCCGGACGTGACTTATTGAAAATTCTTTGAAAGTGCATCCATCTTATATAGATTTACCCGTATATTTGTTCGTAAAAATCGACAGGCTTACCTTTCAAATACACCTAAGTCAAGGTTCGAGAAAATTCACTCTTCTAGAAGTCAAGGTTCGAGAAAATCCACACTTCTAGAAGAGCCTGTTCATTTTCAAATCTGGCAACGCCGAGCATATTTCGCGTGGATTAGAAATTATAAGTCTTCAAATCAAATTACACCATCATAGGAAGAGTTCAAACCTTTTGAAGCACTTGGCCCACACTTACCTTCAAGAACAAGTAAAAAGCAGAAATGCTTAATTTATCTATTTATTTATTTACTCTCTGTTTTTTTTTTGCTAAAATTATTTATTTATTTACTTACTTACTTATAAAATAGTAATCTCCGTCCTTCCATCCCTATCCGTCTGAAACATCCGCAACGACGACACGAGCTGCTGCTCTCGGTCATGGCGACACCGCCACCAACCCCGCCGCCGCCCCCGCCGCCGGCTGACTTCTGCACCGTGATCTCCGAATCGCGACGCATACTCAAAGCCCACTCCCGCCACTTCCTCGCCCTATCCGTGCTCTTCCTCCTCCCTCTCTCCTTCGCCGTCACCGTCTACCCCACTCTCCACCGCCTCCTCCTCCTCCTCAGCTCCTCCTCCTCCAACCCTTACCACGCCCAGGCCCTCCTCAGGCGCTCCCCGCTCCTCCTCAATCAACCGCCGCAACGGCAACAAAGCGGCGTCGACGCGGGGAGCGTGCTCGTCAGCGTCGGATACACCTCCTTCCTCACGCTTCTGTCCATCTTCGCCACGTGTTCCATCACCCACAGCGTCGTCCAGGGGTTCTACGGCCGGCCGGTCAAGCTCCTCTCGGCGATCAAGTCCATCGGAACGTCCTTCTTCCCTCTCTTGGCCACGCTCATCTGCACCCAAGCCATCATCTCCTTGATCGCGATCGCTTCTGGAATCTTGGGGTTCTTGATCCTCAAAGGGGCTGAACTTGTTATCGGTCATGAAATCAGTCATTCCTCGCCTTTCTTTCTCGGATTAGTGGCGTCGATCGCGGTGGTTCTGGTGCTGGTATTGGCTTATTTGCAAGTGCAGTGGGTTTTGGCGAATGTGATCGTGGTGGCTGAATCGGGCTTCGGGTTCTATCCGCTGAGGCGGAGCGCTTATTTGGTGAAGGGGATGAGAGGCGTGGCGCTGTCGCTGACGCTGTTCTTCGGAGCTCTGTCGGGGATTTTGGTGTGGACTATTACTCTGTCGACTTCGGAGTCGGCGATTGATGGGAATGAATGGAAGCGCTGGCATTTCGTGGTCCAAATCGTGGCGACGACGAGCTCCCTCGCGATGCTGATGCTGCTCAGTCTGGCCGCGAACGTCGTGCTGTACATGTACTGCAAGGCTGTGCACGGGGAGCTGGCCATGGAGATCGCCGAGGAGTTCGCCCGGGAGTACGTTAGCTTGCCCTTCGACGACGAGAAGGTCCCTCACGTGGTATCCGTCACGCATATGCTTGATTGATTTGCGATCGTGCGAGGGCACTCGATCATTGACTCGGGTTGTTGTAAGATTGCTTTCCTTTGCTACTCTGTTTCATAGAAATGTAGTGTAGGTCGACATCTGCTCCATATATGATATGTGGCCTCTAGGTGTTAGATTTTGTTTGTACAATCAGAGGCATGTGTATTGTACAAGCAAACTATACAGCAAATGAATTTTACATCAGTTAGGATCTGATCGGATTCGGCGTGATCATGTAATGACAGGTAATAAAGGTATCGCAATTCGATAGATGGAGATGTGCCTTTTTCTTTCTTGCAGTGGGATAAGTCATGCCTGCGTACCGAGTGAAAACATTGTCGCGTTCTATTGTGTTGCCACTTTCTATGTAGGGTGGGGAGGGATGCTGTTTGGACTCATGTTTGCTGTTCAGATGTTGTGGAATTCATTCTTGGCACATGTTTAAGTTGTTTGGTCATATACAAAACTGCAGTAGTCTCGGCTTTCTTCAGAAGCAAGCATCATTCATCGAAGGGCCGAGATTGCAGTCTGGTGTTTAAGAGATCATGAGTAACATATGAGTTGCAGATATAGATCAAAGGTCATTGAGGATTGTCTTTGGATAATATTGAGCATGCTTTTGTTCGGTTACATATGCTGTGGAGCAAATGGTGTTGGCAGGAGTATTTTGAAGAAGAGCAAACTAAGGACCATTGAGAATGGAGAAAACGGATTCTTCGGAGTTCTAAAAACCGATGAATATTATGTTTGCAGCCTTTCATGATCGCGCCAAACTATGTTCAGTTCGTCACCTTTTCTACTCTGTTGATGTTCTTGGGCATGGATATGTGTTGATTTGCTTGGAATGCTTATTCTGTAGCGTCTCCTAATACACCATGTCATCTCATCTCCATATATTACCGGAGGCATTTAGTTCGAGACTGAAGATTGTAATCCGTACGAATTACTGTGCTCTTTGCCCTACGCGAGCTGGTCGTCTGACTGAAGTACTGCGCGCATCTGCATGCTAGCTACCAGAACTTCTGCCGAATGGGCATCGTCTCGCAAGGCATATCCAGCTTAACCGGTTCCCTAGAGACAGAAGCTTCTCTGTTGGTAAGCACACATTGTAGCTGCTAAATCTGCTTTACATTTCTGCCATCGATCATACAGATACCGTAAAACAATAAACCGATTTAGATTGCGGTTTGTCCTGTAGCCATACACGTTATGACACCCATTCTGTCATCCTTATATTCTTGAGATGAAACGAAAATAAGCAGACAGATTATCACGCTTCCACTTTGTTCGCCCGTTTGTTCGCTTCCTTTGCGCATGTAGAGTGTCATACGGCCATTATTCACAAACTAACGCCGTCCCTGCTTTCTTTTTTCGTTCCAACGAAGGTATTCATGGCCTACTCGTCAATATACACGGCGTACCCTGGCCACTTCATTACGTTTGTTGAGGGAAAACTACAAGTCTAATCTCTAGTAGGAAGTCCCACTTCCCTTCCTGATTATGGCCTTCCGATTCGAGTGTTTGACACGAACTGTTAAGAACCGAATGTAGAAATCAACATCTGCACATTGTAACACCTTTGCGAGAGAGAGAGAGAGAGAGAGAATTGAACTTGATAAGCAACGTACTGTAGAAAGTAAGATCGAAATCAACTCCTTGCCAGATGAAGGATTACAAAAAGTTCAAATGAGGCAGCTTGTGAATCTCAAACTTTGCCTTTCTGTGGGTTTAGAAGAGTAAGAACCAAGATCTGCCAAGTTAAGACGACAGCTTTTCTCGGCCAATCCCACTTGCCAAATAGTTAATTCAAAAACTCTTTTTTACAGCTTATCGAAACTCCTTCAATCTAAAGATATCAGAGGCAATGAACAGCATTATAATGCAAAAGCCAAGATGGGTCTATTAGTCCTCAGAAGCCCGAATGACTCTTGTCCATGAATGAAAGAATTGTGAACTCCATCGCTTCTTCATCAAATCAGTTCGAAGCAAGACTTCATACAGGTCAAAGCTTTCTGTGATCGACCTGAGAAGATGAGGACGACGACGCTTTCAATCTCGCAACCCTCTGATCCTGATCAAACCCCAATAGAAGATTACTCCAGTTTGCTGACCTCTGAACAAACCTAGAAGGAACCCTGTCACTATCTTCCCCACCTGATGCTTCATACCCATCACTGGTCGATCTTGAGAGCGGTAATCCTCTCTGTGCAGCCATACCAGCAGGTAGTCCAGTCGGCCGCCTACCCTCTTCAGGCCCCGAGGAGGAGACTCGGAAAGGGTGGATGTCAGGAGACTCCAGGCTGCTGTCAGGGGAGGACCCCACAATTTCATTGGAGCTAGACATGGCCCGGCTTGTTTGGAAAGCACTCCGAGCCTCAAGCTGAAGAGGAGCCAAGCTTGTCGATGTCTCAGGGATACCTTTTTCTGTGCTTTTCAGCGAGAGATTCGTGATTGGCTCCATGGCCAAGTCAGCTGGGAGCCTCACCCGCTTACTCGGCCGCTTCCTATTATTATCAGGCCTCGGTATCATCCTTCGGCTACTGCTTCCAAAGTTGCTGTCAGCTTCAAGGCCAAATGGGGATTCTCGTCTCACAACAGGCTGCAGTATTTTAGATCTTTTTCTAGCCTCTGCAGCAGCTTTCGAGACCTCTTCTGCATTTAAGCGAGCGAGTGTCCACGGACTGATTTTCACTGCTCCAGGGTTCTTTTTCTTTGGCAGATCCTCTCCCACCGTCTTCTTGCCCAAAGAACTAACAGATCCAGTGTCCGGAGGGACAACATCAAACTGGAGGGATAAAAATAGCTATTCATGGCACACGACACAAACCTAAGCTTTGTAAAACTTCAGCAAATAGAGTTCATAATGCTCATAAAAGAGAATTTTGTGGAGACATCATAAGCAGCGCTGGCTTATTGCCTCGGCTCTGCCCAAAAATAATGCCCAAGGAGGCAGGTTTAATTTTTATCAAGGAACTTCAATGAGGATGATCTTGGCTTTCAGAGATGATTAACAACACACCAGAGCTGCATGTTCAAATGTAAGAAAATCTGTTTTGAACAATTCATACTTCCACGAGTTTAATGAGTACCTGATCTTCAAGGAACAATCGTGGCGGCGTGCACCATGCACCTCGGTGGAAAGTTGTGAAAGAGCTTGCACTGCTTAATCCAGTAAGTGAGCTGGCAGGAGACATTTGTGCACTTTGATGGCCTACTCCTTGTTGCTCTTGCTCTTGCTCCCTCAGAGCTATGATGTAATCATACGTGCTGATTCCCTGAGATTCGATTCAAAGCTATGTTACTACATCAAATATTCAGGCAAATTAAAATGTAAAACAAGTTCAATTATTTTCATCGCAGAAGCAAATAGCACAAGAATACCAGAAATGCAATGCAGTTTGTCTATGAAAAGGGAAATATTCGATAGAACGGTAACCACAGATGATCCACAAAAAGGTGACAATATTCGAACCAATGGCCAGCCAACCACCCGTAACCTAAAGCGAAGGCTAGAAGTAAACTAAAGATTCAATATCATAACCAAGAACTACCAGTTTATGAAAGAAGAAGATTTTCAAGAGCAAATACCCAATTCAAAACCAAAACGAGGGCCAGAAGTGATCATGTCTCAGTCCGTGCAAGAAGAGGAAGAATAGATTAGAATATCAAACTTAATGGTAGGAAAAAAAAACAATTAGGCACAAGAAAAAGAAAACAGAAAAAAGGAAAAGGGCTAAACCTAAACAATCAGAAGAGGTGCTCATGTACTACTTAAGAGCAAGTTGGTGGCGAGTTACCTTCTTTACGAGAAGTATATGGAAGAAGAAAAGCTGAGCTAGTGGTAAGGTGGCAATCATCGCCAGGATGGTGCACACCACCTGCAACATGACAAATTCCAGTAGCTAAGTAATTATTCAATAGCTTGTATATAACAATTAACACTGATGTAATAAGTTGAGACATGCAGATAATCTTAGTACATATGCAAGCAAGTTCAAATGAATCTACTAGAACATGAAAGAGCAGCAATCTTACCACTACAATCACAAAGGGCACTAAAGAAAAACTGCTCCCCAATTTGGTTGCAATATCCACCATAAATCGCCTCTTCTCGAGAAAACAGCATACAAGCACAAGCATACCCGTGGACCATTGCAGAATAAGCTGCAGTCTCAAGGCCAGGATGAAAATCCAGCTATTTACAAGTCAATAACTGTTTAACATGAAGGAAACAAAATAAAAGACGCCCAGGATGTAATTTTTGAGTCATGACACAAACATAAACCAAATTCAAGTAGCATTCACTCGAGGTGAGAATTATTATTGCTTCATGTTGGCTGAGCAGTATAGTAAATACCAGGTAAATGATGCAGACCTAAGACAAATGGCAAACCAAACAGGAACTCCTCAGACTCTATAGATGTAAAAGAGCTAACGTAGGGCCGTCCAGCTCTTATGCATATTAGAGAGCTTTCAGCTTGATTTACACTTTATAAATTGAGAAATGCATCATGCAGGCAATACATATCAAGAACGCAACAGAGTGAAGGCGCCCAACATACTGGAGATAATGGGAGACTGAGGATAAGAGGCCAGGATCTTAATGACATTTTAATAAACAGGATTTAGAAAGAAACGAAGTTGATGTATTCTTGCTTACCAAGAGAAGAGCAGACACCATAAGAGTGAAAAACTGCTTGTAGTTCTTTTTACCAATACAATTATTCAGCCACTATAAAGAAAAAGAAAAAAGACAAGTAAGATGATTTGATAAGCTCCAACTTGAATATAATCGAGAGCGCGAATGTATTAATAATCGGGATCTCGCAATACCCTGCAGTGATGATCAAATCTATCAACACATTTGTCACAAACTCTACAATGCTTGCTGTACTTGAAAACCTGCAACAGAAGATCATTCGAATTACATAATTTTATAACAACCGTCCGATGCATATATAAACTTATGATCTTGCAAATTGACAAGTTTATGATGCAAACGCTGTAAAGGAACAACTGTCGCATGCAGATGCTACTTTCAGGAAAAATTATCGACAATCTAAGGACAATTAATGTTCGAACCTCAACTTCACACAAGCTGCAATAAAACATGCCATCTTCACTTATGTGTTTCTCAGAAGATTCGTCACTCGAGCTACAGCACTTGCACATTAAAGCACAGGGAAGTAATGCTAATGCGCAACAAGTGGTGTGTTTTGACGGCCTCTCAGTTTCAGCAGTGGACTCCTTTGCTGCCGCACTCTCTACATCCTTGTCAAGAGATTTGCCTCCAGCTGCTGCATTATTGGCATCATATATAGATGAAGTTGATTCGCCTCCTAGTTTGGAATCCTTTTGTCGGACATGCTTTCCATTATCTAAAACTTTGAGATATTTTTTAGACTTAAAAACCCCTGGGTCTGCAGGATCAGCTGCGGCACACCAAATGTACAGGCCAAAAACACATGTAATCTGAAAGGCCAAAGGAGTTATTGGATCAGATCAGAAATAGCAGACAATGCATTATATATAAAATTAAAGGCAAAGAATCATTGAAATTCAGTGTTGAAAGACTTCAAATGATAATATGGTGGAGCATCTACTTTCGTCATCTACGAGAAGTTACAAGCAAAGAGAAGAAAAGAACTTTCATCTAATGTGCAGTCATCTAATGTGCAGAGAAGCCTAATCTATGGTGATTTATGCTGTAAGCTAGACTGCATCTTGCTCAACTTATATGGGTCCATCTGGGTAGTAGAAGTTTGCAGCAATGTCAAGCAACCTTGAATCCAAGGTTTTACCAGTCATTCAATTAAAAGAGGGCATGCCACAACCCGGCACCACCTAACTTTCAGTTGCTAATACAGAAGAGCCGGCAGTTGCTATGTAACAGTGGCGCCACACAACCCAGTTAGCCTCCTCACAAGCACCCCTCTAGATTATGGTCTTTAACCTTCTCCAGGCAAATATTGGCGGCAGTGCAAAGCAATCATCTGTCTACATTTCCCAACCTCAAAATAACGATCTCACTTAAAAGCAGTTCTAAAACAACGGAAATCTCAAACCACTTAAAGAGAGTCAAAGACAGCATTCCAAATCTTAACTCGAGAACAGACATTTTCACATCTACAGACCACCCACCGAATGGACAAGTTAAACGTGACCCGTTCAGTCTGAATAACAAGCCATCATCACGTCAATTGGGAGGTTAGTCGCGTAATAAAGCTCAAGGCTTTTTGACAAGTGTGATGCTGAGTGCCGCGAATTGAACACACGCTCCAAAGGATCTAAGAAAAAATGTACACGGGAATGGATAGAACCAAGAAAGGAAGAGGCGCGTATCATGAAAACAAGGACTAGCATAAAACAACCTGCGTTTGTTTTTTTTTTTTTTTGGGTCGAATATAACACCCAGTTGAAAAAACAGCAAAAATGGTACAGATCTGGATCCCTCTTTAGCCAAACACATTAAGCGGAAAGAAAATAAAAGGATCTTTGGAAGCAAAAAGCGAAGTACTTTCACTCACAAGAGGAGTGTAGATGCCCATCACAATGTACTGAAACATCTTCTTCCCAACAAAGGGGGCAAAGAACACATAGAAGGCAAACCCCAATGCCAGAAACACGGCAACTGCCACCACCTTCACAATGCAACCAAAAAAAGAGGAAAAATTATCAAAAATACGAAATTTTTTGCAAAAGCCACACCTGTAGAACTCAACTAATCCAATAGGAAGTACCTGCAGAGGGTGGTAAGGAAGCTGCCATCCATGCTTTCTCATTTTCCCTTTCAAGTGTTTGCAACACCGGGAGGAGAAAAACTAATAGATGAGGAGACGATAATGTATGTAACCCGAAAAGGAAAAAAAACATTAATCACTTGGATTTGTCTGCTCCATGATTTTCAAAGAGATTCCTTCCACTTTCCCTCATTTTCCGGGGAAAGCAAAAGGAAGAAAATAAATAAATAAATAAATAAACAAAAGCAGCGATTTTTAGCTGCAGGGCACGGCAAAAACAGATGCTTGCATTGGCATTTCAAACGGGTCTCGATTAGACAGACGCGAGCAAAAGAAACACGGGGAATGGTTGAGGAGCAAAGAACACGAAATTTTTGGAAGAAAACAGAGATCAGAAGAAGCTGGAGTCGGGTGCTTTCCCACTCCCAAAACCCAGATTACAGCTAAATGGAAGGTGGGTGAGATGAAAGATCAAAAGGGCTGTCTGGTTTCTTCTTCGTTTCTGCAAAAGCTCTTTTTTTTCACTTGGGCAGAGAGCTTTGGGGACTGTGAGTGAACTGCTGAGAAGGAGAAAGAGACAGAGAGAGAGAGAGAGAGAGAGAGAGAGAGAGAAAGAGATGTCTGGTCTGGTTTTGGGCCTCTCAATTCATGCTCGTGAACGGGGGTATAATTACAACTTACAAGGGCATCATGCCCCCCCTTTTTTTTTCACCTTTTTCTTTTTCCCCGTTTCGTGTTTTGTTGCTGTGCCATGTGTGTGTGGGGGGGGTGGGTGAATCATTGAACGAGGGAAGTTGCAACCAAACGCTGCCGGTTAGTTCGCCACTTGCCGGTACGCCATAGGCCCCAAGAAAAAAGCTCATTCAATGCCTTGCTTTCGAAGTAGACTTGATCACGAGCGGGGCGGTCCGGCGATGAAGCCGGCCCCTACCGGGGCATTTTCAACGTAGTTTCCGCAGTTTGGCCTCGCCATGGCTGGGCGAGGCCTCGCCGTCGCGATCGCGAGCCACCCTCGCCGGCCCTGGCCGATCCCCGGTCCCCGGTCGCCAGCCAGCGGCAGACCGGGAAGAAAAAGAAGAACAAACAAAAAAGGAAGAAAAAAATCAAGAAGAATCGGAAATGGAAAAATTATTCCAGAATCAAGAAGCTACTTTTGTTTTTTTGCTTCTTGATTCTGTTCTAAAACTGATTCTGGGAACAATTTTTTGCAAATTTGTGCCCGGGCACAAAAATTTTAGCAAACGGATTTATGTTCCCAAACTGATTCTGAGAACAAAAGAACAGAAATTTTTACTATTTGACAACTTGCCAAACGCCCCCTTGATCACAAGCGGGGCGGTCCGACGACGAAGCCGGCCCCTACCGGGGCATTTTCAATGTAGTTTCCGCGGGAAGTGTCGCGAGCGGAGCCCGTCGCTACCGTAGCTACCATATTCTTCTCCAATTCATAGATTGGAAATTTTGGACGCATCTACCACGCATGGCAAAGTTTTCTTTTAAGCAACAATGATGTGCTTAAATCGTCGCGAGCAGAAGAAGGTCATGTGTTTCATAGGGTCTATGAAGGCCCCCTATCTGCTCCATGATTTGGATCGGACGGATTTGTTTACAAGAAATACGTGACCTTCTCCTCCAACCACTCTTGTCTTCGGACGAAGTTTTTCCAACTCGAGTGATTTTTGGGGGAAAACACTGAGTTTTATCGTTAGAGTCAAGCTGGTCAATTTTTTTATACTAATATTTGGGGTGGTTGGTCCATGCCCAAATGGAGGATGAGATGAGATGAAGGCATAGAGAAGCCAATTAAACGATCTGATGTAAAGAGGCGAATTTTGGTTAGGTGAGGCGAGTGCCGACAAACAACGACGTTTTCTGAACGTTCCGAGAAATTGGTTACGGAGATCTCAGATGTGGCAGGAGCACAAATTTTCGTGGATCGGTGTATTCGGTTCGATGTGAGGCACTCGGAGTGGTTGAAATATTAGGGCACTGGGGCGTGAAATGGAGAACCGGATCATGCGCTTTGATATTGCATGGAATCCATGGAATGCCGTCCTTTCGAACCGAAAAACCTTGAGACGGTCGATGCTTCATTCGATATGCGCATTACGTTCGCCGAAATCCCGTCGCTTGCACGTCGAAGAAAATGGCCGTTCGCCGGAGAAGAAGGAAAGAGATGATCGAAATCGTCAAATAATAAGATTATGTGGCAAGAAAAGAGCAATGGAAAAAAGGCTGCATTACATCAACAGCTAGCTACACATTTTTTTTTTGCAAGTTAATAAAAAAACACATTGCTTTTTTGAGAAAATAACACAAATAATCTCTAAATTTTGGTCCAATATGCAATTCGATCCTTGAACTTTTAATTTGTTCAACGTAGTCATGTACCAAAAGTCTAGAGACCACATTGAATATTAGGCTAAAGTTCAGGGACTACATTGAACAAATTAAAAATTTATGGATTAAATTGCATATTTGATCAAATTTCAGAGACTATTTGTATCGTTATTCCTTACCTTTTTTTTAAAATTTTTCTATTTATCTGTTTTCAAACAAAAAAAAATATAAATTGCAGAGGGGCAGAGAGAGTGACCTAACATAAGAAAAGGACGATGTAGTGTTAATGGGGTGCGTCGTGTGAAGCGTAGCGACGAAATTGCTGTGTTCGGGGCTTTTTTTGAGAGGCCCGATAAGATGCGTTTGGCATTTTCTTGTCGGGACGAGATGGTAAAATCCAAGGTTCAAACATAAAAGAACGACGAAACTTTTCTATTGATTATACCTGAAATTGTGCTCGTTCCCCGGAGAAGAAAACTTCCAATAGGTAATAAGAAGGAAAAATGGCGCAAACATTCCGTAAATTTTAGCTCGATATATAATGCGGTCCCTAAACTTTAACTTAATGTGCTGTGTAATCCTTAATTTTTGGTACATGTTCAATTTAGTCCCTGAACTATGTAAAAATGCTTGATGTTCGAAAACTAAATCGAACATGTACCAAAAGTCAAGAGACTACATTGAACAAATTAAAAGTTTAGAGACCACATTACACATTGAACCAAATTTCAAGGACTGTTTGTGTTATTATACCGTAATAAGAATCTGAAACAAATCGAATCGTGTTATTGCCAAGTTAAGAAAATCATTTTCTTATAAGAAAAAGCCACAATAAAATTTAAATTATGTCAACTGTGACACATTTATCTTGAATTTTTTTGTGATGTCAAAAACCCTAGACTATCTCCATTGTGACACGTTTATTCTCAACTTTTTCTTATGACATGAAAATTCCAAAACTTGCACTTATATGACACTTTTATTCCTCGTTAAGGTTATATTAGAAAAAAAAATCGGCGAAAATAATATCGTTTTTATTTCACTTAAGCTACGTGGACTCAATATTGTTTGCTTTCCGGCGTCCATGTAGGGTGCTTTTTAACGATTCTTATTAACAAAACTTCGACAGAGGATGAATGTATCACACATGTCTTCATAAAAAAAAAATTCAAGGTAATTTTAGTGTCGTTTTGCCCTTTTAATGATCTGTTATCTCCTCATCTGAAAAGAAAATTGTGGATATACTTTTTCTCCCAATTATAGTTTTAAAAAAAGAGTAGATATGACTTTCCTTAATTTAACTTCAAACGATTTTCAGTAGGCGATTGAATTGCTTTTTCAATGCTATGTCTGTTTTTCGAATGATACAAATCAAAATAGAAAATATGACTTACTTTCTGACTCCAAATTGACCCGAAGCTCTGGTCTAACGTATTAATTATTACCTTATTTTTATTTGGAGAGTTTTTTAGGCCCATTTTCTAAGGGCCTATTTGGTTCAACGTTGAAAATACTATTTGGGAGAATGCAAATACCTTTGGGTGAAAGCCCATTGGGGAAATGTAAATGGCGTTTGGTAAAAATATTTTGTAAAGCTATTTTGGTTAAAATATAGTGTTTGGTGAATTTTTTTTGCAAATGGACTTTGAGAATTATCTTATTTATTAAAAAAAAAAACTAACCTGCCCATCGCCGGAGCCGGCCGTCGCCCGAGGCCAGGCGACCCTCGGAGGGGGTCGCGCGACCCAGGCGGCGACGGCCTGGGTCGAGCGACCCCAGTGACGGCGTCGCCTGGGCGATCGCCCGATCCTAGGCAACCTCGCCGGCCCTTCTCCCTCGCCGGCCGCCCTCGCCGGCTGCCTCGTGAAGAAGATGAACAGCTTCAAACCAAAAAAAAAAAAAAAAAAAAGAGACGTGAACAGTAGCATTCGTGGAATGCTAGCATTGGCCAAATGCTAGCATGAAAGTTGAACCAAACACCCCAGCATTTTAGGAAGGGGCTTTCGAGGCTCAAAGCCCCTTCTCAAAGCTGAACCAAACACCCCCTAATAAAACATAAGTACGTGTTTGTGAGTGTTACCACATCGCCTATCTACGAAATTGTACGCTTTTTAGTTTTTACGCACGCGTAGCTTCCCTCCTTTCGTCATTTCACATCCGAATTCTAATTCTAGTACTTAAATTCCTTATTGAAATAATGACATAAATTGTTCTTGAACTTTGATCTAATATATAATGCGGTTCTAAACTTTTAATTTATTCGATGTTATCCATAAAATTTACCCCAATATGTAATGTAATCCCTAAAATTTTAACTTGTTCAATGTATTTCATGAATATTTTGTACATATCAAATTTAATCATTGAATATCGAACATTTTCATATAGTGCATGAAATAAATTGAATATATACAAAAGATTCGATAACCTCATTGAACAAATAAAAAATTTATAAGCGCATTGAGCTAAAGTTTAAGAATCGTATTTAACAAATTAAAATTTTACGGACCGCGTTTCACATTTTTGGGTCATTTTCCATTATTTCTCTCCTAATGATAAGTTTTATTTTCGTGAAATCTGCGGTGGACCATCCCCTTTTTATTTAAATTTTTTATTATTCTGTACTTTTTATATATTGTTTGAAAAGTGAGTGGACTTTTCAAAAAGCTGCTGTATTTCACTGACGCAGTTGTTCGGCCCGCATTAACTTCTTTTGGATCACCCTCTGTCGCCCCTGAAGACATTTGAAAAGCACGTTGCTCCCCTCCCTCGGCCTTCTCCAAATTCCCAAAACGCCCTTTCTCCCCAACATAAATTTAAAAAAAGCCAAAAAACCACAAAAAAAATATTTTTTAAAAAAGAACTGAATATTGTAATACATTCGTTTGAATACAGAGATGCTCCGTACTCTACTAATCACCCTCAATCATTGGAATTAAATTTTAAGGATTTTGTTGACAAACATGAAGGTATGCCAAGTAACTTTAATAGACAAAAATGTCTATTTTGTGACTTAACACCGTTCACGTATGAGCCGATCATTACATTACATGCACAAGACGGGATAAGCGAGAGAATCAAAAAATGGCATAATATCGAGAAGTAAGGCAAGAGAACAATCGAAAGGGAATGTTGAGATTGGAACCCTAATGTGTGATTTGATACCACATCAGAATGTTTAATTCACAAACCTTAAACTATTTTATGGAGGAAGGCTGCATAACGACAAGGCACGTTACAAACGCGGTTTTGAGCAATGGAGGATTGCACTTAACGCTCCCCCTTATGTGTAAGCCGATCCCTTAAACATGCATGACTCAACTCTATTGTTGCGAAATGGAGGCAACTCCTATTGCCTGAATTGATTGCTGTGAGTTTCATGAGCAAGTCAGTTTGACAAAGAGTGTTGGTATATTTACAATATATTTCATAATATACGACTATTTTTCTTCGCGTGTAAGATGGGATGAAACCACATTATTGGCGGAATAGGAAAATGGGCAAAATTACTGGAATTAACCTTTTGACATGTGCTCTAATACAACGTTAAACAGTTCTTTTTTGTTTTCGTTTATAGACAATAAAATCATTTAACCTGTTTGCAAAAATAAAGAAAAGGCAATTATTTTTCAGCAGAAGAAATTCGCAGCCTTTTGACGCCCGGTGTTTCCATACATTAATCTAGAATTAGATATATAAATTGCAATTCCGTTTGGAACCCGATTTTATTTATGGAAAAACAAAAGCAGCTTTACTTTTAAGATAATAAATCATGTCGGTTTCTGTGACTGTTCAAACAATATTTTCATGTCAAAAAAGAAAAAAAATATGCTCACGTAAACATAACCAAACGGCCTCTAAATCGTATTGGGTGGGGTTTATACTCCTTATCGACAGGAAGATACATGGGCCCTGTTCCTTGGCAAGCAAGCGCGGGTCCAGGGGGCCGCCCCGGCGGAGGTCGCAGAGGGCAGCGCCCTCTATTGGATGCAGTCTGAACTTGAACTCATGAATAGTTATTGAATGGTCTTGGGATTTCTTGGCTCTTAGGATTTTCTTGTGCAGCTCATATATAATTTTTTTTCTCTTGTAATTGAAAAACGTAACAGAGAGATGAGAGCCAAGAAGTGCTGATTATAGTGGAATTCTCTGCTAGATGTATCCTTAATTTAATGATAAACCGGGATAAAACTCTGCGTTTCGATTTCTTTTTTTAAACGCTACTCTCAATTTCGTCGTGTTCGTACGCCTAATTCTAACAAATCGCCGGGATACATATCGACAGCATATTTATGACATACGATTTAAACATCCACCAAGCAAAAAATAAAAGGATACGAACGCAAAATGTTCAAATTCTCTCCTTCGTTTTTCGGTTCCCCACCTCATCCCGTTTCATCCCCTACGAAAAACATCATCATTCGATTCGGCACGAGGCTCGCAAATTCAGAGAGACGGGGCATCAAACTAGCAAAACCGAAATTGAAAAAAAGCACAGAAGAGAACAACAGGAAGAGAAAAGGAAGTGATTGGGGAGCAGAGAATCTGCAGATCTCAGGAACGGAACAGGAGATGAAAAACCAAGGCCGACAGAATTTTTTATTATATAAAAAGCAGAACGAGAGAGACAGTGGGTTACGTTTGACCTCGGCGAGGAATCCAACCTCGCTTTCATTTGTTTTTTTATGATACGAAATGGGTCGGAGATGGTCTTCCATACCAATGGCGACGGCCCGCGTCGTCCCAAACCCAAGGCACGACGCTGCGCTTTCCGTCTTTTGTCCGAAACGGAACAAATCTCGAAGCCCGTGAGCGACCACCACCACCACCACCACCGCCAACCCCCTTCTTGTAGCCACGTGATTGGAGGGTTCCCCGTGAGCTATCCTATCTCCCCCTCTAGCGACGGCGCTATGCGCCAGCGCGGGACTCGCCTGAATTTTCCAAAAGCAAGTACTTCCCTCTCTCTCTCTCGCTCTCTCTCTCTGTAGTTTTTTGCTGTTCTTTTTGCCATTTTACCCCCACCAAAAACTGGCTGAGTAAAATCTCTAATCTCTCAGCTTTGTAGGGCCGTTGGGGTGCGGGGTGGAATTAAAAAGGTGGTGGAAGAAGTGACGGCAATTCTCTCACCCACTGTGTAATCGAAAGCGTTGGGGGGGGGGAGGATGACTTTCATCATGCGACTTTGGGCAAAGCATGTGACTCCATTGATGATCAAAGCTCTGTCCATGGAGCAATTGCCACGGTCCCACGGCAGTCCTATTCTCTCGTGCCTCCTCTTCTTCTTCTTCTTCTTCTTCTTCATCAATCTATCTATCTACCAAACCCAAAAGGGTCCTCCCCCCCCGCCCCCTCCTCCTCCCCATAAAGCCATTCGAGCTTTTTCTTCTCTTCGGGCCGTGTCGTCGCTCGAGGAAATAGCGACTCGCGGAAGACGATTAAAGCGGCTTGACGAAGGTCGATTGCTCTTTTGAAACCGACGTGTCGATCGCCGCGCGCTCGCTCTCTTGCCTTCCATGCTTCTTGTATTTGTGTATTGTCGGTTCCATATAGTCATACAAAGAGTTTTACGAAGAGTTTAGGAGCTTGGATATAGAGAGATGCAGAATATTAGTGGTGGGCCTGCAGTCCAAATCGTGACCCAAATTGGATACGGACTTGGGTTTCTCAGCCTCTTGGGCTTACCACGACTTTGGGGAATGACCACGTTCTAATGCCATCGACTCTCCCTCCTGGACATGATGAATTGGAGAACAAGAGGAAGAATGAGAAAAAGGCCAGAAAGTCATCTGCAACGCCAAACAATTTTGTGGACAACACTTATGTTTCCATGTACAGAAAGAATGCACCCAAGCGAAACAAATCTCAAAACAAATCGTGTTGAAAAAAGCCTACAAGTTCTACCATTTAACACTACAGCACAACAGTACCTCCGGAGCTCGGACCCGGGCGATTCGCGATTCTCCCTATAAGCGGCTTTTTCGGGACTTTTCTCCCGCTTTATTTTTCAATATATGCAAAAATCAGAGCAATTAGCATTGACCAAAATCTGCAGCCTCCTAGTATGAAAAGGAAAATCAAGCAAAGCAAATTAACTTTTGGTTTTTAGCCTCCTTCACAAACATATCCTTGCACTGCTCGCACCACATTCCGGGGGTCGCAGACAACGAAACCTATGTTATCTGTTCTTCCTTTAGATGTAAACGGGCCGTCAGCTGTTGCGCGCTGGTTCCGAACATGGCGTGCTTCTCGGCTTCTACATTCTGTTGCTGTCTCGATTGTGAGGCGTAGCTGTTGGCGACACTGTGGCTGCTCGGTTTAGCAGCTGGAACGTCGTGATTGTGTTTGCCTTCGTATGTCGTTATGACGGCTTTAGGGTCGCTTGAAGCCCTCTCAACATGCTTCCGGACATTGCATCCCGGAGTAGTGCATTTGTAGTAGCTCCTGTGTGTTAAAGAAAGAAGATCAAAAAGTTCAACGACAATAATTGAAACAGCAGTTCCGTTGCAAATGCGTAGCTTGAGGTTCTAATTTTACAACATAAAATATTGATGATGTAAACTATGCTACATTTTACATTGCAACACCAAAATTATCTTGCACATTCAATCGCATGATGGATTCCATGTCAAACACCCGCCTCTCCCGAAAAAGAGGAAAAAACCGAGTGACGTGGCCTCAATCATTTTCACTCTGAACAACCGACGGAACATATGCTGATACTTATTTACAGTCTAAAATTTGCAGAAGAGGAGCTCTTGAAGGAAGTTGAACAGAAGGGTCAGGCAGGATTCAGAAGTGACAAGTTGTATACCTAGATTACTACCTGTGTCTTAATCATTTTGACAAAAATCTGGCGCAAAAAGCGAATTCAAAGTTGTCGAAAACCTGTACTTTTTTAGTCAAAAAATAACAGATAGGAATGGTAACTAGGGATTTAGCATGCCGTCAAAGCTTAATGTTATGTAACATCAATGACAATATTCAGTCTTCAAGAAATATGTTTACGCTGCCTTGTTTGTCCTTCAATGTCAGAATTTCACTGTAAAATGATTCACTATGCGGTATGGAAAATATTGTTTGATAAGTGAGGGACATGGTAAGGATGGGGACAATGAAACTACGGTCCATGGCCAGTGATGCTTTGGTAGTCTATTAGAGTATCGGAAATTGCAGCGCAATTTGGAAATGAGTTCATAAACACATAAAAATAGTATAATGACGAGCAACGACATCTGGATTGAGGAAAGAGGAGAACAGAGGGACTATCTCGGATAGGATTTGGATTCTACTCGAATAGACAAGAATGATAATTAGAGAAGTCGTCATTGCACCTTGGATAAGGGTTGCCTTTGACAACTTTCTGCCCATACTTGCGCCACCTGTAGCCGTCGTCCAAAAGATCGACTTCGCTAGTCGTTTGCACAATTATTTTCGGTTCTGTAATGGTCCTATGCAAAGATCCTGCATCCGAAGCCATAACCTCCATGTTTCTGCAGCACAAAGATGTAAACGTATCCATCAGAGTCCAACGAAAACCGCTCGATGATGAAATACTAATGGTACACATTAGTATATTTGGTTTTAGTACCGTCGCTTCGGTTCAGGTTCATCATCATCTCTTTCATCCGCTCCAGTCTCAGCATCGCCAGCTTCCTCGCTGTCGCTTGTACCGGACAAGTGCGCAGGCGTAACCTGGCTAGACTCCTGATCCAGCGGCATCAATGCTATGGGAAGCTGAGAACTTTCCTCGATGTCCGAACTCCTGTAAGCTACTCCAGAGTCCTTCGCGCGCTTATTGCCCTTGGGGGGCTGATGATTGTGCTGTCCCTTGTAGATTATCTCGGTTATCTGACCGTCCAGAGAGCGCTCGACCTTCTTCTTGACGGGACAGCTAGGGTAAGTGCACTTGTAATAGCTCCGGGGGAATTCGCTTCCCTTGACCTGTTTCTGACCATACTTCCTCCAATTGTAGCCGTCATCGGCAGGCTTATCCACGGCAAATGAAGACGCAAGAGGTCTCTGATCAGTGTGAGAGAAGTCGATGGGTTCTGTCTCGACATTTTTCGATTCTTCCAAGGATGAGGTCCGCTGGTTGATCATCGACGTGGTCACTGTGAAGGGCGGAAACTGCATCGTTCCTAAGGATAGTGCAGCGGTTGAGGAAGATGCCGATGCATACCCAGATTGGACGTGATGAGGTTGAGCTTGCGAACCTCGAGCGCCCATGCGGATGAAGCCGTGCTGGTGTGACATTCCTAGAGGCCCCTGCAAAAACCGCGAACTTAATCGGTTAAAAAGTTAGCCGAAATGGCAATTTACATAGCAAGATCAGTGTCGGAATCAAGAGATCATCAATTAAAACGCGAACCCTACTAGGGCATCTCTTGCGCATTAAAGGAGACACTTTTCGCCAAATCATGGTTCTTCAATGGAGGAACATTGTCTTGCTTATTAGCCAGAAATCTAATATTGTACTAAACAATACTCAGCAAGACAAATGAATTCCATCTAAGCTTGGTCGCAGTTGTAATCATCCATGCTTTCTGGAAGCAAGAAACGCACGAGATTGATCTCACTAAGAATGATTACCGGAACAGAAGGGAAGATCCCCGGGGAGTCGAGCAAAGCCGCGGGGCTCAGCCCCGGTGGTATGGCGAACAGTGCCGGTGGCAGCGGCTGCGAGACCGCCAATCCGTCCGGACGGCTCTGCTTGAACCGCAAGTCTTCTTGGGGGACGGCAGCCTTCTCGGACGCGCTGCCGGACGCGGGCAGGGAGAAGCCGAGCCACTGAGCCGTGGGAGAAGCCGCGGCGGCTCCAGAGAGGAGCTGGGAGAAGGACTTGCAGTCCTCGCCGTCGGAGAAGAGGCGGGAGACCAGGGTCATCGGCCCCGGGCTCAGACCCAAGCCCATACCGCCCGGCCATCCCCCCCCGCCCCCGTGCCACCCGCCGCCGGGGTAGAGCGAGTCAACGGAGGCGCGTGGGGGGAGGGCGAGCGAGGGGCGCGTGGGAGCCGTTGTCCTGGCAGGGAATGGCGGCGGTTGGTCGTTGCCCGCCATCCTGACTGGGCGAAAGGGGCAAATCTCTCTGTCTCTCTGCTCTGCCGTCTCTGTGTCTCCCTTTTGTTTTCTCGTACTTTTCTATGTCCGGAAAGACACAGAGAGGAAAAAGGCGCCTTCTCGTTTGTCGCTCAGCCCCCTATTCCCCTTGCCTTCCTAGATTTTCGACGAGTTTGTTCTTTTGGGTATTTTTTGGGTATTTTGCTGGTGGGTGGATTCAAGGGAAGGCGAAGAACAAGTCCACGCATCACCACCACCACCATCGTGAGAGAGAGAGAGGAGTTTGTCTTTGCCTTGTTCGAGTTTCTTTACTTTCTTCTAGAATTAAACTGCGAAATTAAGAGAATAATAAGAATTTTAAAAAAAAAAGTAACACACAAACAAAGCGATTAAATAAATTTTCGAGGAGAAGAAAAATCGTGTGCGTGCAGCTCGAAAGCGGGGCGTGATTGGAGAATTCCATGCAAGTTGGGAACCCACCCCACCCCTCCCCCACCCCTCGTGGAATTTACCAGTTCGTCCCCGACGACTTTCGATGCATGAGTGGGACTTTTTGGCACGTACGACTCTTGGGGAAAATAGTATAAATATAATATATCGGGGGTCAAGAAGTTGCAGAGAAGCAGCCATTCTTTCTAGGGCTTTTCTCGAGATATTATTTTTTATATATATAGTTTTTTTTTTGTGCCTCTTTTGGTAGATCTTGAATGCTGCGCGAAGTTTAGGGCGTGATTGATGATGCGCATACTTGGCCTTTTCGAGCAAAAGCTACAGTCATCGCCCATCCCGTGGAGTTTTAACTTAGTTCCGTGGGTTCAGACTTTCACAAGAGAAGAAGAAGACAAAAAAAATAAAAGGGTTGGCATGATCTGTAGAGTTGCTGCAATAACACTAGGACGTGTTGCCCATTTCCTAATTGTTAACGTGCGTGTACGCACGCACGCACGCACGCACGCACATATGTATTTTATCGGCGAAAGGCGGTGAAGGGCGACCGGCGTTCCAGATCCCTATTGCCATGAGGATCCCATGCTCACGGTGGAGTTGTTCGGATTAAGCCGCGACTCGGAGGTTCGAGATTGGCGAGCTTGTGCCGAAGTGCTAGTAGCCATCAAAATCAATTCCCGTGTGAGTTATGCCGCGGCTAAGCAATGCCGTACAGGTCATTTGTAGATTCGCTCACGACGTAAATGAAACCCGACCTAATGGAAGAAAGCGAACCCCTTTTATCATTGGACGGACAACCTTGTCGATCTCTAAATTGCTCAAAGTACGAGATAAGGTTTTCGTGAATACGCTTCGTTTGAAAGGATCGTGAAGGATACCTTTTTGTCCCTCCTCCACACCAAAAAAGCAAAAGGGTACGTGTGGACTTACAAAATTTCAGTCTAATCGAGCAGTTTGTGTGTGTGTGGGAGGGTCACGGAACAATCTGTAGATGGGAAGAAGGGACGATTCAATTCATAAGATCATTTGACCGAAAATAAAATAAAAATTCATAAGATCACAAAGCGCCAATCATCGCATCGCAATTTGTGTCTCTCTCGTCTTTTACGGTACATTTCGGGGTTCGCATCGCACGTTATCTATCCAATACATACGACGAAAAATGGGAAAAGACGCCCCGAGAGTGATGGGCAAAAGCACCATTTCTAATCTGTTTTCTAATCAACACTTTCCGTACCAGTTGACGACAAACTGGCAATCGGTGTTCGCCTTTTATTTGCTCACGCCACGACTAATTTCGTGCCACCACGTACAGACTTAACTCGGACGGGCAAAGATGTAGGCCATTGAAAACTCTCTTCCCATGTCCTGCCTCCCGTTCTGGGGTAGACTCTGCATTTATGTACGAACACAAAGGAAAGGTCGTTGCGGATACTTCCCAAAGTGGAAAGGGCAACATTCGAACTCGAGGGCAGAAATCCAATACATGATAACAGATTCAACAATCCATGCCGTGTCATCTAAGACTGAACCTTTTGCAAGGATCAACATTCATGAGTAGGAAACGACGGACTGAGGATTTTGGTTTTCAGGCCGAGCCGAACCAGCAGCTTCAGATTGTCTAGCAGCAAATTTGATGCCAAGCATGCGTGTTCAATGCTAAGGGGAAGTGACGCTGGAACCACACACTTCAAGACTATACCAAATAATCGCAGCCCTGTTTTGTTCAATTAAGCAAGAGGTTCGAGACAAGAGAGTTTTCACTGGGGTTACGGATAAAGAGAAAACCAGAGCCCCATCCGATCCAAACTATTCAGATGTGCAGTGCTGAGCGATCTATGCGCATAACTTGCTACCTTAATAGAATTATAGAAGCACATATCCTACCAAAAGATCAACTTTAGAGCTCAAGCCCCACCCCTGCAGCTGCTCCAATAAATTTTATAAGGGGGCGGAAATATACATCCTCTTGTAAAAAGACCACTGAAAGCTTCAAATGGCTTCAGTATTGTCCTCGGCATAGATTTCCCTAGACTCTCGTTCATGGCAGTAGAACCAAGTCACAATTCAAAACATAAAACAGCCTCATCAGAATAAACACTCAAGTTCGCATCGACTCGGTGACATTTTCGAGAGTACATTAAATCTAATTTGCAAAACTTGCTAAGTTATGCGGCAATTCTTACTAAGTATCGATTACGACCCACTTATTTAAATATCTATTAACAAACTAGTCTTATCCAAGCAATTTTCAATTTCTATAGCATCATGGCCTGAATAGTTTTCTCGCATTTAGCAGTCATGGAAACAGCTAGGGCTCACCAGCTGGTGCCCATCCCCAAATCAGCTTTCAATCGACGGACACAGCACTTGTTCCAGAACACCCAACTTAAGTTCCTGCATTATCTTTTGGTGCAATAATACAGCAAACAGATGGAAAAAAAAAGGCAGCAGGTAACAACAAAGTTCTACCGCAACTTGAACTTTGAAGGAATGTGGTGCAAAAATGGTTCTGTACAGCCTTTGCCAGCTAGTTAATTAACATTCTCCGCACCATAAGACAGGCAATGATCCACATAGTTCTTCAGAGAACACGAGTGTCACATAAACAAAATAATCAATGCCAAAACGCTTCTTATAAGTAGGGGTCACATCTCAATAACCCATCACTAGAGATGTCAACCCCAAGTTGTCCAACCAACATAAAAGCAAAGCTGAAACCATCATCCCATCAGCTCTGAGCATTATGAATATACTAGAGTACAGTCACTTGGGACCAATGTCCTTGAGAGCGCAGATCTGCTCCTCTCCCATGGAGGACATAGCAGTGACAACCAAATCTTTACCTTCAGCAAATCCATCCTTGATCTGTGGAGCTCATGGGAAAACACGTATAAGGTATAAACACCAGTAAGTGATAAGTAAACAAAAGGTAACATGACATAACACAAGAAAAAGAAGAAATCATTAGGTTGCTGGAATTCTAGCGAACAGAATGGTCAACTGTAGCAAAGGCTGCTAGGAGATCTTTTTGAAAAATCTTTACCCGTAAATAAGCACGAAAAGCTAGCAACATCGAGTCAGACACGGACTACTTTATGGAAGGCTGATAGCAATAGGTTGGAAATAACAGTCCAGAACATTGCCATGCTGAGTTCATATGTGAACCAATCACCCATCAAGAAGAAGATATAGAAAATCTCAAGATCCTATTTTACATTGAAGTAGACTAACCTGAGCAAGCAGAGCTTCATCAGTTGGAAGCCTCAGGTCATCCTTTGTACTCCCATTCTCAGTCAGCAGACTCAACTGAAATTAGCAGAGCCTCATGAGCACCTCTATATAATTAAAAAAAAACAGGAGACTAAACCAAATTAAACACGATCTTACAAATCCATCCTCAGAAATATCAATCAGCTGGTAATCAGTACGAGTGACATGGGGAACCTACAAAAGCAGGATAAAGATATTAGCCTCATTAGAAATAAGAAATATATTTAAATACATGGAATATATAAATTAGAATTAAAAAAATCCATACATCACAGTTGTGAGATGATGGAACAATATCTTCAAGCTTCTTGCCGTTAAAGATGTCGATTCCAACAAAATGACACTTAGCATGGCCATGCTTGCCAGTTTTAGAAGTGGAAACCTCAACAACCTGTAGTAAACACGGAGATATCCAGACAAAGCCGATTATTAGACCAGAAAATTCACAATTTCGCATCAAATGCTAACAAACTGCAGCACAAAACAGCGAAGCCAAAAAAAGTTGGAAAAAAGAGTATTAGCCAAGGACGCGGGTACATATGCTCAATCATAAGTCAAACAACTCCTAAGCATGGGAGAACGATCTGCAAGCAACAAACATTGGCGAAAAGATGCTTGGTAGCCAGATGACATAAAAGTACCCGTGCATGGAAGACATATCGTTGAAGTTGCAGCTCATAAAATTAGCTCATTCTGTTCTTCCGGCACTGTGCAAATGCGCCGATAGTATCGCACAGAAACTTTCGAAGACAGGAAGAGGGGAAAATGACCGTAAAAGTTGAGATTTTCAATATGGGTTGGCAACTCGTGCCAATGCAGAACAACCCCAAATCACAAATATAAATGATTAGATGCTGATTATTTCGAAGGGTAGGTCATGTGGACGATCAATTTACTAGCGCTCGCGCCTCCTGTTAGATTCGTCCCCCAAACACTTTTCACTCGCTTCCTGTTTTGAAGATCCTTCGTCTCAATAAGCCAATCCCCGATTATCTCGACAAGTACCGGGGAACCACCTTTGCTAGAGAAAAGTCAATGCGAACACGCAATCAAAGCGGGAATTTTTCCAACCGGTAAGAGCAACAAAGAGCATAATCATCAGGAAACGAGACCGATGTATAAGCTTGGCAAACTAAAACCCGCTGCGCATCGACCCCAAACCACTAAAATCTTCAACGATTACCGTCTCCTGATCGCCTAAATACCTAATCTAACCCCCCGACCAATCACCGATTCCACGACAAGCGACGCCAAAAAGGGACAACAACCGCGTACCCAAGGGGCCCCGAAAAAGACAAAGTTCTAGCGCGCGATTGGGAAAAGAATCAACCGAAGAACACAGCGGCATCGACACGAATCAAAACACCACCCAATCGGGTCGATCGATCGACTCGAACGATGAGGGAGAGAACGGCACGCCATTTCTGGGTTCGGGGGGTAAGGAGAAGAGGAGGAGGACCTTGCAGGGCCTGTTCTTGATGACGATGTAGCCGTTCTTGCGGATGGTGCCGGCCTGCTGTGGGTAAGTCTTCGAGGCCCCGGCGTCGGCCTTCGACTCGAAGTGGTGCTCCTCGTCGGACATGGCTCCGTCAAATGAGAGAGACAGACAGAGAGCGAAGGGAGAAGAGAGAGAGAAAGAGAGAGAGAGAGAAGCTCTGCGGAAGAAATCAGAGGAGGAAGGGGGAAGGAGGAGGAAGGAGGAGGAGGGACCTAGGGTTTGCACGATTTGGATCGGGTCGGTTTCCACCGTTGGATCCCTTTTTCTCGACGATAGAGAAAAGAAAATATCTTCACACTGTTTCACAGGATAAAAAAAAGGCCAAAACGGGAAGTGCCAAAAATAGCGCACGTGGGCTGCTTGCTGCAGAAAAATTGATCATCTCATCCTCCTCCTCCTCCTCCTTTCTTGCGAGTTTTAGTACTACTCTGCAATTATTGTCATTCGCGTCGACCTACCACGTAAAATTGAACTCGCAGAAATATGTAGGGTGCGTTTGGTACAGCATTTGGAATGCTACTTTGGGAATGCAAATGCCTTTGGGTGGAAGCCCTTTACGAAAAATGCAAATGGCGTTTGGTAAAAACTCATTTGCAAAGCTATTTTGACCCAAGTAGTGTTTGGTTAATTTTTTTTACAAATGGGCTTTGAGAGGGTTTTTTTAAAAAAAAGGCAAAAATACCCTTCGCCGGCTCCGGCGAAGGGCTACGGCTCCGGCGAAGGGCTACGGCTCCGGCGAAGGGCTACGGCCGCCGGCGAGCCAGATCTGGCGCCGGCGGCCGTCGCCCGTCGCCCGTCGCCGAGCGACCCCGGCGAGGACGCCGACCTCGGGCGACGAGGCCCGAGGTCGCGCGACCCCAGCCGACGGCCGCCCGGGTCGCGCGACCCAGCCGACGCCGCTGGTCGCGCGACCCAGCCGACGGCCGCCCTGGTCGCGCGACCCAGGCCGACGGCCGCTCCGGGTCGCGCGACCCAGCCGACGGCCGCTGGGTCGCGCGACCCAGGCCGACGCCGCCCGAGGTCGCGGGACCCGGGCGGCCGCACTGGGCGGTCGCCCACCGAGCGGCCGCCCCGGGCGATCGCGACCCGGGCGGCCGTCGCCTGGGTCGGGCGACCTCGCCGGACCTTCATGCGTCGGCCCTTTGCCCTCGCCGGAGTCCCTTTGGTGAAGAAGATGAACAAGAACGAGAGGGAGCAAGGAATATTGAAATTTGAGTGAGGGTAGTTTGGGAAGTATAAAAATGATTTTGGCATTTGGTTCAAGGTGAAAGTCCAAAGCTAGTCCCGATAGCATTGGGCTTTCAAGCATTGAAAATGCTAGTTTTGAGCATTTTCAATGCTCAATGCTAACTGCTTTGGTTCGGCATTTTGGGAAGGGGCTTTCGGGGCTGAAAGCCCCTTCCCAATGCTGTACCAAACGCAGCCGTAATCGATCTCGCGAAGTCCGCGCGGAGTATGTTGAGCCACAAGAGACCGGAGCATGGGACTTCTTTGCATCGTCGCTTTGGCGGTGGCACGTCGATGCTCGGTAGAGTCGAGTCTCAACTCGATGCTGCCGCCGCGAGGGCCGAAGTGGTTTTTTCTTTTTTTTTTCTTTTTTTTTTGTCTACATAAGGGTCTTCGCTTTGTCAAATGTCATAACCGATTTGATGATTCGTGCATCCGGTCGGATGGATGCAAGTCGAAGTTCCGATGGATGACCCGAAGGCGAAATAATGCGAAGCTTGGTATGTCGAATTTGTGGCTCGAGTTTGATACGTACGCAAACACGAATCTATTTGCTAACCATTGGTTCGAGAGATCGTTACTTACAGAGAGGTAGAGCACAAATTATCTATCGCAAGCTCAATTTTGCACTTAACCGAATCGAAATACGAACCAAACAGAACCGAAAATTTCATGCATTTCGATTTGGTTTGGATTTCGGTTCGGATAATAAATAACCATTCTTTTTATTTTGGTTCGATTTGAATAAGTTTGGTTTACAACGAAAGAGAGAGAGAAAAACGTTTATTACGTGAGAGAGATCTGGAGTGGTCCCACACGCAGCCCCCAAGATCAACATTCCAATCCTTATCGCTTCGTTTGCCTACCTTTTTCTACATCTCCGTCCCGCCGTCTCACCAAACTGTTCTTCTTGCCGTGTTCCCCGATCGTGGAGTGGGTCCCACGAGCCGTTCACGATGGCCCGTTCTCGCTGTTCCTTTTCTCTTTTGTTGTCGCCAAGCCCGTGTCCCAGTGACCGTGGCTACAACGACGTTCGCGATACCGAGAGCGAGCCCAAGTAAAGCTCGAAGCAAGGTGAGTTCTCGGGGCTCGGAGTGCGAGAAGGGAGACGAGTTTTGTTCAGGAAGCTGCGGGTAAGGTCGACGAGTTTGTGCAGGAAGCTGCGGGTAAGGTCGACCGATTTGGAGTAGGGATTGTTCCCGCCGTATCTTTGGCCCATAAACATTGGTGACCGAACCATTGACACGCCTACGCTTAACTACCCAGTTGAAGATCAATATTTAGCTTGCTACACAGAATGCTAGAAGACCATTCCTTCATTTCAGATTATTTCTCTGAAATTGTCAGGTCTCTATATAAATTATAGGTTGCACTGGCCAGACAAGGAACAACAAAAACGCGAGGTACATGGCGATCATTAGCGGGGTGCATCAATTGATGCTCCGGAAGAACAGTAATGATACAACGGTACAACATGTGAAGAGGGTACAACGAAAACAGAAGCAAAAGATTACTGCTTATCCAAGCAGCCGACAGCGAACGTTTCGTAGATAATTCTCATGACCTCCATTTCTGGTATCAAATTGACTGCATTTTGGTGCCTGAACTACCGGCAGCAGCTGATCCGGGGCGAAGCTCGTTCGTTTCGAATATATGTATTTCAGGAAGTTCCTCTCTGCTAGGAGAAGACAAGGGCACAACCGATTACAAAACCTTGCCACTGACTAAAAGCCAAGACATGGAATGCTCTTTTAGCTGTTAGGTTGTCAAACATAATATCATCTAGGGAAACCTTAAACAAGAGGAGGGGAAGTTCCGTTAGCAAATCCAGTCACTTTTCAGCTGGATTCTTTTGCACAGTTAGGGTCGAATATGCATGCACAATTCTATCTAATATGGTGCCTTTCATATTTCCTTTTTGTCTTTAATCCAGCTCCATTATCTTCAACTGAACAGTGAGACAAAAGAATCCTACTTACAATTCATTAGCTTCTTGGTATGTGTAGCTTGACGCAACTGCCAAGAGACGAGCCCCGTGGTTATAGGACAAAGACGCCACGCTATTTCCGAATCTGGGTAGCTGAAAGCGGAATATCACGGAGTGAGATATGCAAAATAGCTCGTTACCGCTAACAGTGAGAAAAAATGGGCAAGCACAGAAACAGCAAAAAATGGGAGGGGATTCATGCGGCAAGGTGCTGATACGCATTGGTCAAGACATGAAACAATTCTTTTAACTTGAAGCTGGATACAACCAGGCACAATTTATAAGATGACAAAAACAAATCTTCAATCATCATAAAAATGCCTTTTCAAATATCTGGTGAATATATACGGTACAATCTACCAAGGTGGAGAACCAGCTCCCTGATCATGATAGATGTATTGACCTCCCTAACACCAGAGGCACATTCAGAAAGCATTGCCAAATCACGTAATGACAGGAATTTCACTAATTCGCCTGGAAATACAGGATCACATGAATAGCACCTCGAATAGTCTTCTCCTATTGTGAGCATCCCATAAAGCAACATACCCTTCATCATCACCAGTCACAAAAGAACCCAAGCCCCTGCATAAACATCCATACGACTATGAATTCACATAAATTGCTAAGATCAGCTACCAAAGGAATTTCACATACAGCGGATTGAATACAATGTCATTCACGGATACCAAGTGATTTCTTCCATTCTTTGCCTTCGGATGGCACCGGAATGTGTAGCTGCAATAGACCACATAACTCAACATGTCAGTATTTTAAGCCATATAAATGGCGCAGTCTGGCAAGAGAAACATAAGGAGGAAAAGAGGAACTTTGATTCTGTGTAAGACAAAAGATGAGCACGATTTTACACTATATTGATGCTTGAAAATGCAAATAGGTTTTCTTCACCAAAATCATATACAATGTCCAGAAACATTTCGGAATTCTCATAGTGAAATAGTCATGAAAATAATACTTTTTCCACCAAAAAAAGTTGTCAATCACAAAAATGGTGCAGTTCCGACAATTTGATGCAAAAAGGCTCTGGGATATAACGTGGATTGTCAGACTAGAACAATCAGTACTTATTTTAGTTGAATGGAACTTATATCCAATTATCCTATAATCCTAGGGTTTTAATGTGTGCATGCCAAAGTATCGACGGCTGAAGAAGTACAGCATAATACTGACCTGCTGTCATTTGAATTGGATGACGAAGAAATCTCAACAGCTACACGTCCATCGACTGATCCAACAGCGAATCCTGCATAGACATCACCATGACAGTGTGTTTAAAGCATCAAAGTTACCCCTTCCATGATCTCACGTAGGGTACAACACTCAGCCGTATGCAAACTTAGGATAGTCCTCAGACATACCTTTGAAAAAAACACTCGAGCTTATGCATCTTATACGAGCATCAACTGGTGATTCTTTCAATTGAAGTGGTCTTTTTAAATTGCGCAAATCATACCCATATGCTGAATTTCCAATTGCAACCATTAGATTACACCCAGAGAGTGAGATGGACTCCACCTCTCCATTTACATTAATTGAATGTGAGATAACTTTATCCATGCGCACGTCCCAACAAATTACTTTTTTGTCTAAGCCAGCTGTAATCACTTGACCTGCACCAAGACACAACACCAAGTGCAAAAATTTTCATAAGCAGACAAGAAAAGCTTGTGATTATGAGTGACCAGAAAAATTAGAATCTGACATCACATTTTGATCTCCTTTTTGGCTAGCTACTTGTCAGAATTATGTAAGGCCCTACTCTCATCCCATGTATGTGCACCTCCAAGAGTGCTGGGGATAGATCACTTAGCATAGAATCAAGAAGTAAGCTGTCTGTAAGTTCTCTTTCACATAGTTTGTCGAATACCCAATACACAGTTGATGATCTGCATTAAGCTAAAGATGAAATAAGAATACTAAGTGATAACCAGGAACCTGTGTCCCCCTAGATTTACAACTAAATAGTCGATAGGAACCTTTCGTGCTAGTTGAGTAGAAAACTAATTAGAGCTTCTCACAGATAAACGTATTCACAGTCCACCCAAAGTGCCACTAATAGGAAAAGGAGATGTCAAAAACTGAGAGCCTGAAATATCTTACTCTTCACAAAGGAAGATCTATAATCTTGCAACAAACTTATTATTGAAATAATTATTTTGATCCAGATGTCTCATGCGCAAAACAAGCTTCAAGTTCCAGATTTAAACTTCTCTCTAAACCCATACCGGAAATTGACGCCAGGGAAAGGACTTCATTGGAGAGATTTTTTCCTTTAATGGAAGAAATATGTTCAGTATCTGATACAACATGGGTGAGATAGTGTTGAGAGCTTACAAGTTTGATCAGAGCATTCAATGCAGGTTGCTATATCAGCATGACTTCCAATTGTGTCCTGAGCTCCAGAGTGCAAATTGTACCTATATACAGTTTTCGAAATGCTTCAGAGAAAGGATCTTACTAAAGGCGAAATCCAGCCAGTGGGGCAGTCAAATTGAGAAGCCCAATTCAGAGTGCAAATTGACGCAACCTCGTGCTCATACTTTTGAGTAAGACCATGTAAAGTCTAAATCTTCGAAAGATGTCATGGTCACAAGCTTTAGTTTAGAACATTTACTAAGTCACGAACACCCGAATCGGTAACAAAATCCAAGTTCCTAATTAAGAAGCCCAATTCCACAAAATTATATGTCGACTTACTCGTGCTCATACTTTAGAGTACGACCATGTAAAGTCTAAATCTTAGAAAGATGTCACTCTCGCAAGCTTTAGTTTAGAACATTTACTAAGTTACGAACACTCAAATCGGTAAGAAAATCCAAGTTCCTAATTCAGAAGCCCAATTCCACAAAATTATCTATTGACTTGCTCGGGTGGAGAAAAGGCACAAACACATGAACCAGCAGCATCAACAGATGGCAAAGAAAAAGTGCAGCTATTGAAGATGGAAAAGTGAAAAAAAAAAAAAAAAAAGAACTCAAGGTTCTGGTACGGTTTCAAGATTCGGATTCACCTTATCACAGAACCATCAGAGCCAACGCTAAAAGCGACAGATTCGTCCTGGAAGCAACAACCGAGAAGGGCGGCTTCGGAGGGAGCTTCTAATCTGAGCTCGGAACCATCCACGTCGAACAACCTGAGGCACTGCACAAAGCACAGTCCACCAATCTCTAACAAATAAGGAAAACAAAACTTGACAAAACCGAAATACTCGGGGAAAAAAACTCATCAATTTCGAGACAAGCCGCGCTCACGGAGTCCCAAGAAGAGACGAGGAGGTTGTTGGACCGGGGAGCGAACTGGACTCCGGAGATGGCGTCCCTGGCGGGGTTCTCGAGCTTCCGGCGAGCCGCAATCATCGGGACGCCGCGCGCGCGGATCCGGAATCGCACCGAGCGACGCGACGGCACGGCGGACTTTCAAGATCGCGCGCGCGCTCCACCGTTCTTTCCTTGGGAGGCGACCGGAAAACCCAGAAGCGAAACGGGCGCGGCCGGGCGACGGCAGCGAGAGCTGCGCCTTGCGAAGAAGCCAAGGTGAAGAAGATGCAGGTAGAGATGGAGAGAGTAAAAGGCGTGGACATTGCCCTGAAGCTATCCCGCAGCTTCCCGCTCTGCTTTTGAAAACTGAGTTACCTGGGGAAGCGTTCATGGGTCGGGCCAGACAAGACAAGCTCGTACCTTCAAGCCCAGCACCGAGAAAGACACGCATGTCGAGAACGGTAGTTGCACGAGTCATTGGCCCAAAATTTGACCTTAGGCCTTCCATCAACGTGGATCTACACGGAAGAACCAATAGTCTCGCCGAGAATGGTCGTCGACGAGAGACCTTTCGCCAAAGGATTGATCGTCGATTTTTTTTTTTTTTTAGAATGAATCGAGCTTTGTAGCGATTCGAACGGGAAACGATGGGATATATACTGAGGTGATAATAGAATGGAGGTTTGCAAATGAAGAATTGATGAGTAAATTGCAAGGATAAATTGATGGGTGATCGATTACGGTTGCTTTTGATTCATCAACGACGCACCATGAGCTCTCACGGATCCACTAGAACTCGGGATTATTTTTAGAGCATTGCCAAGCATAACAGTTTTTTGATCAACGTGAGAGTAAACATAATGTTGCAAGCCACAAATTCTTAAAAGAGCAGACCCCACGATAATTTATAATTATTTATTATTTTTACAATCCAGAATATGCTGTAAATCTCTAGAGAAATTAAAGAGGGGTCACTTGATCACGTGACAATCATAAGAAAAAGAGACAGAAAGTTACAACCCAGTCCGGCGTGCCTCGATTCAATCACGTGCTATCTCCATGAACGCCTTGGCCTTGACGTAAGACCTCTCTAGGGACGCCCTAAACCTCCCCATGTCCAGCCTCACGTTCTGCGTCTTCAGATACAAGCTCATCTTCTCCCACTCCCCTCCCACCACCGCCCTCGGATTCTTCAGCACCGCGCTGTCCACGCCGTACTTCTCCGCCAGGCTGCTCTCGTTCGCCTCGATCCTGTACTCCACGTATTCCAGCCCCAGCTCCCCCGCCGGCCTCCCGAAGTAGGCCTCCGACAGCCACTCCGTCCCCACCGGCACCACCTGCAGCAGCACCGACCCCGGCCGCAAGAACACCGCGTGCGTCATCGCCGCCCCGTGCACCCCGACCATGGCGTGGCTCCCCTGCACCAACCTGTACGACTCCGCCAGCCGCATGTCTAGCGTCGGCGCGAACCGCCGCACCTCGAACCCGATGCTCTCCGCGAGGGCCTCCAGCTCTGCCTGGTTCAGGAATGCACGGCCGGCGCTCCTCGGCCGGCTCACCAACACCAGCCGCGGCCTCCCTCGGGCTTCCGGACTCGGTGGAGGAGCCGCCGCGCGGCCGCCTCCGCAGTAGACGCCGTGGAGGAAGGAGGCGAAATCACTTAGGCTCTTTGGATGCGGAAGCAGCTTGGGATTGATAGTCATCGGGCCGTGCTTGATCAGCCCGACGGTGATGGACGGGAAGCAGAGAGTCTCCTTCTGCCTGTCAAGGTTGATGATGGGGCGGTGGCTGAGGTGGGAGAGCACGTCGGCGTACTTGCGGAGCCACCGGTCACCACAATCGACGACCGCGAGGGTGACGTTGTGGTCAGGAAATATGGACTCGACGGTGATGAAGAGCGGGACGAGGCCGTCGTCGAACTCGTGGAAGAAATTGCCGGTGTAGCCGCCGGCGCTGAACACGAGGGCGGGGGCGGCCTGCGTGACGCCGCCGCACGTGGCGTTGGGCGGGGGCGAGGAGGCTATGGTCAGCTCTTTCACCCGCGAGAGCGCACGCAGGTCCCTCTTCCGCGTGTAAGGGCGGGTCTTCATCGGGGCTTGCGGCGGCGAGGCCCGGTCCAGGGAAGAGATCGTCGTGGTCGCGGGGTCGACCAAAGCAGGGCCGTCGATGGTGCACAGATCGTAGGAGGGATGAGATCGGTCGCAGGCGACCGGTGATCCGTGGATGTCCGACGATGGCGAGGCCGAGGTCTTCAGCTTGATAGCCCATGCCCAGCCCTTTAGGCCTGCACGAAAGGAATGCTAAATTCTTGTTTCCCAAAAGCTTATCGAATGTGCATAGCTTACGATGTCCGGAAAATTATAAAAAAAATCATAAATTTATTTTATAGATGTCTATTTAATTATCGATTTTTTAATTTGGTTGATTTAGTCATAAACCTATTGCCAATTTCAGCCGAAAACTGTGACGTGGACGTCGGCCATCTTGATGTGGATAATTTTTGCAACTTCAAGAAAAACGAAATTGATTTTTTTTAAAACAATTCTTCTTTTATTTTATTTTCTTTCCTCTTTTTTTTTCTTTCTTCTTTCGCCAGTCGCCAAGCCTCGACGATGGCCGACAACCGAGCACATGCAAGGGTCCACCTCTTCGGGATCTACCGACAAGGCTCGAGCTAGCCATCAACCGGCGGACGAAGAAGGAAAATATTTATCAGAAAATTCAAAATAAAATTGCAAAAATTATTCATGCTAACAGTTCTCGGCCAAAATTGACCAGAATGACTATATTAGCAAATTGTAAAAAATATTTATGACTAAATTGACCAAATTAAAGCTTTGTGACTAATTTGACATCTTTACGGTAGATTTAGGATTATTTTGATAATTTTCTTTTACGACCCGACGTGTTGATAGGTCAACCAAACCAATAAACCGATGATGATAAAAAAATTCACGAGAGATACCTTGAACCAAGGTCAAATCCGTCGAGTATACTGCTAGATCAATGTCGAGGGCCAGAATTATCACTAGCAACCCTAGAAATGTTGCCACGGTCGCGCTTATTCTCCTCATCGTACCGTGCTCGTTCCCCCGTCCCGCGACACTATCGATGGGACGCACAGCGATGCACCGATCAATCAGCACGTTGTCCGGTCTATCGCTTCTCGGCGCGGTCCAGAACTCGGACCGGGGTCCGGGCCGCAACTCCGATCTTCGAAAGGAAAAGCGATTCGTGCTACGACGCTGGATGCTCTCTCACGCGTGCAATTTGGTGAAGACGCTTCGCTTTGCCTAGCCAAACGGCGGTAATCGGCAAAAGAGAGAGCGTCCAAAGGTTTTAATCACCCCGCGCGCCGTACGACAACGATCAGGTGGCTGTCCTAATAATCGAAATGAAATCTCTGAAACTGACGACAACATTAGGTAGGTAGATAGATCAGAGATCGATTCACTTGGGTCGGATTCGCAGAATCTCTCGAGTCTCGACACATGGAATGAAATCTTTACCTCATTTAATGTTCTTCTTCCTTCGACGACTTTGTCAGATTTCTGTCCATTTTCCTCCCCTTTCCTTAGAAAAAAAAGTTGTTCTTAACGAGGTACAAACAGGATACAGACACCACCCGCCTGGGTGGCGCTGCTGAAGCGCGCACTCTTCCTCTCGTAAAAGATTGAGTGTTCGAATCCCGGACGCCACATGGTGACTTAACCGGTGGCACGTGTGTGGTGGCTAGACACGTGTCGCCCCCAGGGTTTACTCCCCGGCTGTCGGCCGTGCGGGGGTTCCTTGAGTTACCAAAAAAAAAAAAAAAAAACAAGATACAGACAATTTTATCCCAAAGTATAAAGTTGTTCTAGCCAAAAAAACAAACAGGATACGGACCAAAAAAAAAAAGTGCAAACGGGATGATCAACTTTCCTGGAAAACATTTTGGATTAATATAACGAAAAATCCCAAATTCGTATATATGTGATAATTTTATCCCGAATTAATTTTTTTATCATAAAAAATCTCAAACTGGTATACCTGTGACAAATTTATTTCGAACTAATTTTTTTACCACAAAAAACCCACACTAGTACATCTGTGACAATTTTATCCCGAATTAATTTTTTGACAATCAAAAATCCAAAACTAATACACCTATGACAATTTTACCAAAAACTAATTTTTTGACCACTAAAAACCCCAAACTGGTAACAAATTTACTTTCTATTTGTGTCTATTAAATTGGATTAATATCACGAAAAATCACAAATTGGTAAACTTGTGACAAACAGAGGAGTAAAACCCCAAACTGGTACACCCGTCAACTACCACGTGTCATCAAACTTAGCAATTTAAAAGTAAAATTTAATGGAAACTAACGGAAGGTAAATTTACCACAGGTGTACCAGTTTGGGGTTTTTAGTGATCAAAAAATTAGTTTGGGGTAAAATTGTCACAGGTGTACCAGTGTGGAGTTTGATGTTGTCAAAAAAATAGTTCGAGGTAAATTTTTCATAGGTGTACCAGTTTGAGATTTTTTTTTGTGGTCAAGAAAATAGTTTAGGGTAAATTCGTCACTGGTTGGTGTACTAATTTAGGGTTTTTCGTGGTATTAACCCAAACATCTTTGAAAATGACTTACTTTCGAGGAAAATTTGATTGCACTTGTAAATTATATGGAATTCGTTTTTTTTTTATGTATGTTACGAGAAAAAAAATTATGGAAAGACCCCTATGAACACAGCTCCAAGTCCCAAACTCGCTATCGGGGGACACCCGAGCCTGGCAACCAGGGTTGCAACTGTAGGCACCGAAGGCCCTTTAAAGATTATCCAACATACTTTAATACCCCGTTTGTTTCGCGAAAAATGAATGATTCGGAAAACGTTTTCCTTACAAATAATCGCTCGAAATAATTAGCCAATGGAGAATATTTGTTTCGTCGATAGCAATTTGTGTTTAAATATTTTCGTATACAATGGAAATAAGCGCGCCTCCCGCGTCGGTCCATTTGTCGCGCAACCAAGCGACAGACTTCATGATCCTGGACAGGAAAGGTCCATCGAACATCCGAAAGAGTTGAGCTGCTCGGCCCGGCCCAGCCCAGCCCAGACGCTTCCGTACGACACGTGTCGGGACGTCGAGGTCGCGGCGACCCCCGAGAAGCAAACGGAAGAGACAAGAAAGAGAGGAAGCGACAAAGAAGAGGAGCAGCAGCAGCAGCATCATCATCATCATCCGCCGCACGAAACGTGATCCTTAAAAAGGACGGTCATGATGAGGATGCAAAAGGAGGCGACACGAGATTTTCTCGTTGGCGTGGACTTTCCCCGAAAAGGCCCGAGGAAAAAGAAAAAAGAAAAAGAGCTCCTCCCTCCCCCTTCCCCCCCCCCCCCCCTCCTCAGGAATCTTTGGGAGTCGCGCGAGCCACGTGATGGGGGAAGGTTGCGCCAGACGCGAATCTTCTGCGCGTGGCTGCACTTAATCCTAATTGATATTTGGGTTAATACCACGAAAAACCCTAAACTGGTACATTTATGACACATTTACCCCAAATTATTTTTTTGATCACAAAAAACCCCAAATTGATACACATGTGACAATTTTACCCTAAACTTACCACAAAAAACCCCAAACTGGTACGTATGTGACAATTTTACCCTGAATTAAAATTTTAATATTATTTTTTTTCATTTTTTTCGAATTTTTATTTATTTATTATTATTATTATTTTTTCATCTTCAACCTTTGGCCGGTCGCCTGTGCGCGATCGGCCCGAGGTGGAAGCCGGCAAGGCCGCCTCGCCGGATCCGGCGAGGGCGCCCTCGCTGCGTTGGGCGAGGGCAACCTCCCCTGCGTCGGGCGAGGGTGGCCCTCGCCGTCGTCGGGCGAGGGCCATCCTCGCTTGCGTCGGGCGAGGGACCGCCCTCGCCGGATCCGGCGAGGGCAAGCCTCGCTTGCGTCGAGCAAGGGCCGACCGACGCAGCGAGGGCGAGCCTCGCTGCGTCGGGCGAGGGCCGCCCTCGCCGGATCCGGCAAGGGTGACCCGCGCCTGCGTCGAGCGAGGGCCGTCGGACGCCGGCGAGGGCGGCCCACACCGGCTTCCGCCTTTGGCCGGTCGCCGAACCGGCGACCGGCCAAAGGTTGAAGGCAAAGAAAAAAAAAAAGAAAAGAAAAGAAAAAAGAAAAAATTCAAAAAATAAAAAAAATAATATTAAAAATTAGTTCGGGGTAAAATTGTCACATGTGTGATTTGGGGTTTTTTGTGGTATGTTCGGGGTAAAATTGTCACAGGTGTACCAGTTCGGGATTTTTTATGGTCAAAAAAATAATTTGGGGTAAATGTGTCACAAATGTACCAGTTTAGGGTTTTTCGTGATATTAACCCTTGATATTTTACCTTCTAATTTTTCACTCCATTCGAATTTCGCAGTAATTTTTCTAGTATTAATGCCACGGAAAATTTCAAAATTGATTTTTTTGGCTACTAAAAGCTCCAAACTGATACACCTATGATGAATTTACCCCATAATTAATTTTTTGACTATCAAAAATCTGAAACCAGTATATCCGTGATAAATTTACCCTCCGTTAGTTTCTATTAAATTTTACCGTCCAAATTGCTAAGTTGGATGACATGTGGCAGTTGACGGGTATACCAGCTTAGGGTTTTTACATTCTAATTTTTCGCACCATTCGAATTTCGCAGTGCGCGTATTTTGATTTTTTATTTTAAATTAATAAAACATGAAAATTTTATGATGTATGAATGTGGACCTGTATTTTGACGTATAATTTTTTTCATAACTTTTTGAAATATGAATGATATTTCGAATTTTGGCTAGAATGATAGAAAAGAGGGTTTTATGCTTTGATATAATTAAGTGTGTACAAACAAGGTGTAAATCTCCTAAACATGTTGTGATTTTGGGGATCCGGAGAATCATTTAGGGGTTTTAAAGTCGTGTCGAAGTCCTTGGCCGATGGAGAATAGCGAGATCGTTACATCGCCACCGCTTTCCTCGTTGGTTTGCTCCAGAAAAGAGAGACTAATCGAGCCAAACTCGGAGAGGACATTATTAGGCACGAGAAGAGAGACGAGTGAAATGCCGATGAATAAGCTTTCGACATCGATCTGTACCCTGATTAGGTCCGACATTTAGTCATCAACGATCTAGCACTCACATGAAAAAACCGTCAAATCCACCTATAAAAGTCCACATTATGTATATTTTGGCTTTAGGATGGTCTTAGCCTTAGACTATGTCCATGTGATGCTGGACACGGCTTTCGATGTTGGGCGAGAAAGTTGTGAACCCAATACCATGATTTGTGCGAACAAACGCTTTCTTGCCAAGTTAACCATTTTTCCTAATATGTTAAACCACTAGAAAATGCGCGGTTAAAAAAAAGAACTTGTTTATAGCGTATTTTTTAAAAGATACGATGAGGATGCAATTGAGGGATATCATGTTACAATTACGATTGAACTGATTGTTTTTGCTTCTGTTTTTTTTTTGGGGGTCTGCTCTTGATATTATCAACATTGCAAGTCCAATTGTTTCATAGTGCAATCGCTTAATTTTCTGTTTGAAGGCGTAGGTTGTTTACTTTATTTATCATTTGAAATTGGGCAGATTTCTAACCTCCTCTCTCGAAAATCTTATGATGCCGATCATGTCCATAACTCATCACACTGGGGTAAAGTTTAGAGACCACATCGAACAAATTGAAAGTTCATGCACCACGTTGTACATTGGACCAAAGTTCAGAGGCCATTTATGTCATCATCCCATCATCCGAGCCTACGTGACGAGGGGCATTTTCGTCATTGGCCGCACTTTGGCCTAATTTTTCGTGGTGAACCTGGGTTTGGTTTCTGAGGCAAATGGGTTTGAAAAGCCCAAGATTCGTGGGCGCGGATAGGGGGGGGGAGAGAATCTTGACTCGATTGAAAGGAAATTCACCTTTTGAGATCTTGATTCTATACTCTGAACTTCGCCACTTGTTCTGGCATCCATTTGAAGTTAGATTTGACCCCCCCCCCCCCCCCCCCAAAAAAATGGAATCAACATCTTAAAAT